TTGTGGTAGTGAACAATATTAATATTTATATTAATTTTTTATTATTAATTATCTTTTATAACTATTTTATAACCTTACTATAACTATATTATAACTATTATAACTATTTTATAACCATACCACAACCTTAAAACTAGTTTATAAATTATAATACTAGCTTAAATACTATTTATAATATATTATATATCTATATGCTTACTATTATTATTAATACTGGATTATTAACCACGTTGTTACTAAACCCCTCGGGCCACTACGTATCTTGTGGCTTTGCTACCGCGCTGCCGTCTGCTGCATCTTCCTTCCTTTTTTATATAGCGTCGCCTAGTCGAATGCCATATGCGTCTTCATATGAGTGAGATTGTTCGATTATAACAAGGACTAGAGCTTCTACAGCACCTTTTATGAGAGAGCATCGCCAAAAGACCTTGGTTGGGTCAAAGACTTCGAGCTATGACCGAATCTTGATCTCTCCAGGATCCACGCCGCCACAATGTTGGACCCACGATGGAGATGACTTGATTGTACGGTAGCAGACTTGATGACGGAGGGGCTTCAAGGGCAGCAAAATAAAGGCCTCCGCCACCATTCCTATCGTCCAGACGGAGAGAGCTCTCCCTACCCATATACTTGAGTGCGTCTCATCCTCATTATGTAGAGTCGCCTCTCTTCCTTGCACCTGCACGAAGCAATATTTGCACCACTTTCTCCTGTACCTTGTATGATGCTGCCTGAAGTGCATCTCCATACCTGCTTCCTTGAGCATGCATATCAGCCCCATTATCCAGAAGCATTTGAACCACTTTCTCGTGGCCATTATACGATGCTGCCTGGAGGGCATTGGAAAAATGTCCTCCTTGACCATTGACATCAGCTCCCCTGTCCAATAACACCTGTACCACCTGTGCATGACCTTTATATGAAGCTGCTTGGAGGGCATTGCCATATCGCCCATTCTGCGCATTGACATCAGCTCCTCGATCCAATAACATCCTGACAACCTTCTCTTGACCATTATATGCTGCTCCCTGGAGGGCATTCCCATACTGTACTTCTTCAGCATGGATATCAGCTCCATTATCCAGAAGGACTTGCACCACGTTCTCTTTTCCATTGGATGACGCTGCCTGAAGGGCATTGCCAAAGTTTCCTCCTTGAGCGTTAACATCAGCCCCGTTATCCAGCAGCATCTGCACAACCTGATGATGCCCATTATATGCTGCTGCCTGGAGAGCATTGCCAAGATACCCTCCTTGGGTATTGATATCAGCTCCTTTATCCAGCAGCATTTGTACAACGTTGCTATGTCCATTGTAAGAAGCAGCCAGGAGAGCATTGCCACAATATCCACCCTGGATCTTAACATCTGCTCCCTTTTCCAACAGTGCTTCAACAACCGCAAGGTGTCCATTCTCTGATGCCCACATCAGTGCGGTTGTTTCTGTGGTATCAGTATCATCAATGTGGTATTCATTCCTGCCAGTAATGTTCTGAACCACATTGATATGTCCATTGAAAGCTGCGAGATGAAGTGCATTCATTGGACATTCTCGAAATGGCATGGCTGCGTCCCAGAAGAAAGGAAACCACAAGTCAAACCGGGCAGTATCAGTGTCATATAAACGATACAATCGACCTTCCACGTCAGGATCCATTGTCGATGACATGTTTCGGACGTGATCCGGCCAGTGCACCGCGGAATATGCCAGGAGACTTTGAATGTTGGAGTTTTCTTTGGTTGGTACACTACCAAGGTCGTTCATTGTTAGATATCGAATACAGATTTCTGCCATTTGTGTCTCGGCAGATGCGACGTCGAAGAAGAACGTATAATTGGAGGTGTCCGCGGTTTCCATTCGCGTCAGGAACTCCCTGGCAGTCTGGTGGATAAGGTAAATCCTTGAATTGTTGATAAAGACAAACAGACCACATAATTGTCGTATGATTCTTTTCATTCTTTCTGGATCCAGTCCGGCCTCTTCTGGGGTAAGCGAGTGAGGCGAAATAGCCACACCCAAAGCCATGGCCATTTCCTCGATCGTCAGAGGGCGCCTTGAGGCAACGATAATCTGAAAGATTTTTCGCACCGTCTTTGCTTGGTCTAACGGGATATTGGCGAGGATCTTCCTGTATGCATTATCCACAGAACTCGGAATCAGTCGAATCGACTCTTCATCGGGTCGAAGGCTATTCTGAAACATGGTGCGGATGTCCTCGAGAGCCAGATATAACCAAAGGTAGGTGCGATGTTGCATCTGAAGCAGCTGTTGTTCAAGTCGCCGGTGTATATATGGTGATAGTGATAAGGCTTTAGCTAACTCTGCCACCCTCATTTTCACAACAAGATTGATCTCCTCGTGTATCTGATCGTTTTCCTCTTCACCTTGGAGATGAACATGGGGAAAGGAATCCGTGACGGTTTGGAAATGGTATTTGATATCGTGATAAGGGCGACTAGTAATCAAGAACTTCAACCAGGTGCCGTGAGCTGATGAATGAGTCTTCTGGTGGAAGGATGTAAATTTCTGAAGTAATCTATCCCGGTCATCTGGGCGGCATTCATCAAGCGCATCAAGAACACAAATGGTATTGACCAATGCAGGATCAGATGTTGCTGTCATAAAGAGGCGCCAAAGTTCATCAACTTCTTGCCGGATCTTCGACCCGTTCTTCTCCCATAATGGCAAGGCATACTGTAATAGATCCGGCTGCTGTGCGAAGAGCTGATGAAGGATGGCACATAGCGCTGTAGCCAGGTTGTTTTGTTCATCATTGTCCTTGAAGAAAAAGTAACAGATGGATAGATCCAGCCCGCATGTTTGGAAGTCAAGGTCAATGAGTGATTTTGCAAGCACTGATTTCCCACAGCCAGGATCAGCCGATATCCATAAAAGATCATTGCAGCTGCTCTTCCACCAATTGAGATATTGGGGGCTCTTCAGAACCCATTCACATGTTCCTTCTATCCGGGTTGGGTTGTTGTTCTTGAACTGCTCATACGTCGACGTCTTGAATGCCTGGTGACAGCGTTGTTGATAGTCGGTCAAGAACCTTGTGGTTTGTTCATGATGGTAACTTGCTTGTTGATTTAGCACTCTGTCTAATCCTTGACCGATGCCTTTTAGTTCACCGAGAATCTCAACTACAGGAAGCTTAGTAAAGTGACATCGTAGGAGTATTAAGTGACCATGGATTTGAACTGCTTTTACTTACCACAGACCTCTGCCACCAGCTTTTCTTGCGACACTTGAGCGCGAGGCACATATCCAAGCAACTCCTTGGCATACGATGCAGCCGCCAATGCAGCATACCCTTGCCATTCCTTGTTCTTGTGTGAATCGGCGTAGTCACATATACCGCGGATGATTATGCAAGGAAAATCCAACATCAGACCTGCTGCTTCCATTTCAAAACATAAGGCACCGGTCTCCTGGCGTAGCTGTTCTCTTGTCACTGCATGCTTCATGACCGCGTTCCCTGACGCAATGATGCCATAGTGCGGTCGTGGGTCACTATTATCGCGCTCTATCCTAGCCTCCTCCCACTCTGCTAGACAACACTCACACATGGCTGCAGTGGCAGGATGCTCATACTGAATTTTGAATAATCGATCCCCATCAGGTCGGCCAAAGGTTTTCCTTGTTCGTACAGTTCTTGTCATCGCGTTTTGAATGTAGTCGGGATAGCAATGGTCATCAGTGAGCTCGACTGCTCTCATATTGCTGACAGCGGTCAAGAGTGACTTTGGTGGGCTGCTTAAGAATCCAGTGCGGCGAAGTTTACCACCTTCACCAACTTTCCCCATGTCATATTGAAGCACACCACCACAGACACCCTCCGGGTAACTGATTGCGATGTCGCCGAGTCGAATATCATGGGTGGCGGATGGGATTCCCCCTCCAATACCAACCATCACGCCGATCCGCAGCGAGGCGGAAAATGTACGCATCATGTTGATTGCAACTGTAGTCGCCGAAGTGGTTCCATATTGGCCGCCGGGAAGGCATGCGATGACGATATAGTGGTTTCCGATTCGGCCCAAGGTGTATGAATTTGTGTCTGCCGCATCCTGCTCTTCAAGGATGCCAAAGTTCTCATCAAGGAGCAGCTTGGATGCTGCTGCCTCGATAGGCAAGGCGCAGATCCAGCCGATCTGAAACAGCTCCCGTGCGGGGAAGAGCTTGGCCATCCTCTCCATGAAGTTATTTAGTCAAATAATACTACAAATATGAAGAGATGACAGGCTTTCAATGTTGACTATGTTGATACCAGGAGAGAAGGAGAAAAAAAAGAAGAGTACTGCTGTCAGCTAACTAGCAATATTCAGCCTTGTTACAACTGCGGGGCTCGGCGGCAAGAAGCAACACAGTATGAGTATCAGGATGGACACTTTATCACCAATGGAAATAAAGATAGGGCAATGGTGGAGACTGGATTTCTTCGAACCCCAATAAAAACAAGGCTGGAAACAGAGGCTTTAAGAATTGGCGCCTAATTACGCTGGATATACGCATATCCAACATCGGATATCTATCATTGACTTCCGACGGACATTTCTTATTAAAATCGATAGTATTAGAGAAGAACCTAAGACTATTTGATATTGTTACTTTAAAAGCTATCTGTTTTGTCGGTTTAATATAACTATTTAGCTCTTTACAGTTTCCTTAAGTCAAAAGAAAGGCGCAGTCGTCCCCGGGACAACAGCCACAGTGCTCTGGCCTGCGCAAGGTCGGGGAGTAGCATCAAGAGAGCTGTCTCTTGCCAGTCATCGGATGCAAACCGACGAGACGAGCAGGAAAGTGACGGCGAGAGCGAGGCTGAGTTAAGCCACAGCCCAGCAAGAGCGACTGCCCACCTATTTTATGTTGCTTATTCTATTCACCAGGGAAGGTGTGAAAGACATAGGGAGTACAGGATATGTAATTTGATTAATTAGATATCAGTAATAGGGTGAAGGATTCCTCCTTATCCCTAAATAAGAGCTCTTCCATTCTCTGACTGAGCTACAGAGTATTTATTGCTTTATTGCGGGTTACTAAAATAAAACCAACTCGTGAAACAACAAGTGCTAGCGAGGCCTAATAGAGATATATTCTTTAATGTCATGGCTACACAATAAACAGTTTCTGGCTGGAGCATCATATCAAGTGAATGAATATTACAGTAATTGCTTAGATATTCCTCAAAGTTGAAAAATAATGTTGTTATGCAATTCTCTCTATAGATACATGACTTGAAATATGCCAATTGGATGGACTTGTATCAACGACACGCCATTTTGCAGATCTGAATCAAGCTGTACACCATCTGATTAGCCTTCTCCCAAGAACAGAAGAATATCCATTTATTAACCTCCAGGTAGCTTAGAGACAGGCGATACCGCAGTAGCAGTAGCCCCCGGCGCAATAGCCCTCCCCATCCGTGGATTTACAGCAAGTCTTCAAAATCTCCTTGGGGCAGTGCTTCTTATGACAGGTTTTGGCCGCGGCAGGAGATGCAGCCACGACAGTAGCAAGAGAGAGGACAAGAGCAATCGAAAGAGAGGTAATCTTCATGTTGGCGGCTATTAGGATTGTTGATGGTAGATCGTTGGTAGTAGGATTGTTGGGATGATGGAAGGAAAGGAAGATCTGTATGGGAATGAACACCTTTTTATATCTGAAGACTCCGCCGGATTATTTCCTATTTCATAAACATCACATGGTGTTCGCTGTCCATGCATGGTCTAAACTGGCTGATTGAGCTTGATCAATCAAGCTTCCCAGTATCCTAGAGCAAGTGGATTGATATTTACCAGTGATATTCTAAATATACCCAGGCAGGGGTACTCGGCTAGATTGACCATTGTCTCCCAGTCAACAGTTCGTCTTCTCCAGCGAATTGAATATAATTAAGTTCAAGATAAGCATTTCATCTCTCCTCCTCATAATTTTTATATCGACGTATAGTTACAATTGTATTGCTATCCCATACTGCCTCTCGATTGACATTTCTAGGCCAGTTCTTTGTAGCAAAACACGAACCAGGCAGGCCAAAAAGACCACCCAGAGCAGACGCCTTGCCTCGGTCAAATCCCGAGCTTATCATAGAGAGCCTTGCCCGGCGTCTAGCGCGACATGCTTACTGATTCCAATGCTAGGCCTGAACGATACATGTGGGTTTCCGTCGTTGTACAAAACGTGGAATGGTTGGAGCGGCCGATCAAGTCGTACGGCATACATTCAATCATCTGAGACTATGATTCAGGTAATTAGCAGTCATCGGCGCCGCTAAGGTCCAGTGGGCCGTTATTAGTATTTGAATCATATAATATTATCATAAAGGTGTTCAGCTGCCTTATACTGAGTAAGTGAGCATGTAAAGTACTCCATGCTGTCTTATATGCCTCGGCACATCTACTCACCAGAACACTGCTCTACAGACTATACGGAATCCAGCTTATAAACTATAACGCCCAAGACAGTGCCGTCTTGATGATACTAGTGCGGAGCGTGGAGAGATATATGATGAATCAGAGATGCCTTTGAAGCTGAATAGATTAGGAAGCGTGGTATCTAGATGACATGTTACACGGGTACAGGCCGTTGCCAGTAGACTGGCGATACCCGACCCATGTCGGGGTCAGAGCATCAGATGCTGAGATTTGCCTAAGGCAGCCCCATGCCCACCCATGGGAGCATGAGCTCCGATTGGATGGCCCACGGGTACCCATCATATATGACTAGCAAAAGATTATCCAAAATAGACTTAGTATGGGCCGGGCTCTACCCATGCCTGACCCATAGAAATTACAGTGGTATTAACAGTATCATGAATACATATATAATGAACCTCGGTTAAATCTATATAAATTCATATATATATAGCTTATATAATAATAATTACTGTCTTTAATATGCTACGGGGTATTGCAATTCAATATACGGAGCGCCTGTGGGTTAAGCCTAGTCCGACCCGTGGTGGGTTTACCCATACTCCTTGGGTGGGTCTTGATGCTTGATTTATGGGTTCCACCAATCAGGACCCTACGACCCGGGCCCGGGTCGGGTCAGGTTAAAGCAGGTTGGGGTGGGTTCTATGGGTCGGGTATACGGAGGACTACATACTCCGTAGCCAGCCTAGCCGTTGGCATTAGCAGTTGCTGGGAGCTCATCTGCTGATCAGGATCAGGTCTGCAGCCGGTGGAGGTCGAGTGGTACGACCATTAGACAGCACCAAGAGCCGTCTTCTAACCTTTATATAATAAGTGTTGCGGGTGACCATATTAGCGGAAAAATAAAGGTTTACAAAAGAAGGAATGCTCATACACTATAAGACTTAACATAGTTCTAATTCATCTACCTTTCTTATATCCCTGTACTGATATATAATACATGTATTAGCTCTGCAACTGTGTGGCTTTTCAGCAAGGTCTATACCTGACAACACGGAGCCCTGGGGAGCTAAAGTGTAGGGTATAGGGTAGAGTTACAGCTAGTATAGGGGCATATACACCTAGATGATGGTGCCAGCTTTGAAATTTCCAAGGGTTATCGACAATGATAGTTGCTAATTTAGGAAGGTGAGAGCGTGATGTAGCTCTTAGCCGCCAAACTAGAGACTAGCAACTCTAAAAGCTTTTGGGCTGTAATACAGGATAATGACAATACACATAGGTCTGCATTGCCCTTCAACAACTAAATAGGCCTCTCTAGCAAGTATCCGATTACTTTATAATATATATTTACTGGGCTGTTAGAACATTATGCTAAAAGCAAGCTATTTGGTTATTCATAGGCTGGCTCGTTAAGCTCGTTTAGTTGATAGTTAAGTAGTTATAGTGCTTACTTTGATGTAGTGTCCATACGAGGTATCAACTTTCTTAAATAGAACACTCTTCGGTCTTTCTGCGATTAACCATATCTATTCCATACACCATCGACTACACTCTACCATGTCTACTATTGTAGTTATTGCCTGCCCGCCCATTCCGGGCCATACAAACCCCCTCCTTCCCTATGCCGCGTACCTAAGACATCAGGGCGGCTTTGAAGTGCATTTCATTGGCGGCGATGCTTTTGCCCCGGCGATCATGCAAACAGGGTCCATCTTTCACCAGATTGAAGACAGCCGCGTGCCGGACAGTCAGCATCAGCTTCCCCCAACTCCAGAGCGATTGATCGACAAAGTCAAACACGCTTTCATCGATACGACAGCTCACCGGATGCGCTCATTGCAGGGTGTTCTCGAGTCTCTCCGCGCGGCTCACCCAACACGCGAAGTTGTCATCCTCCAGGAGATCATGTTCATGGGCGTCTGGCCATTTCTGCTCGACGCCCCCTTACCGGCGGGCTACAGCACCTTCCCAACTGTGATCACCTTTAATACAGCCCCATTAGCCGTCTCGAGCATCGACACTGCCCCCTTTGAATCGGGATTTCCCCCCGATGCGAGCCCTGAGGGTCGCGCACGCAATGTAGCCATGTACGCGGCCGGGAAGCCCTTACAAGATGATCTAGTAAATTATGCCAATGCAATTTATTCACAACTTGGCGCCAAGCAGAAAATGACTAGCATGGATGACTGGTGTTACCTCTCTGGACGGCTCCTGCAGCCCTGTAGTCCAAGCATTGAATATCCACGCAGTGATCTCTCACCTGTGGTGACATTTATCGGCGGACTGTCGAGGAAGAGGAACCCTATCCCTATCGTTCTCAACCTGCCGGGTGGTCTTGTCTCAGACAAGCTGTCGAAGAAGAAGAGAATTGTGGTGGTCACTCAGGGCACGCTGGTTCTCGATTACACTGCTCTGATCATCCCGACCATCTGTGCCCTGGCAGACCGGGAGGACCTACTCGTGATAGCCCTGTTGGGAGTCAAGGGGGCATCGCTGCCGGACATTGAGATTCCTTCGAATACAAAGGTCTTTGATTATCTCGCCTATGACGCCATCCTGCCGTACACGGACGTCTTCGTGCTGAACGGGGGATACGGCGGGTTTATGCACGCGGTGATGCATGCAGTGCCAATGGAGATTGCAGGAGCAGGACGTATGTATATCTATTCATCATCTTATCTCTTACACTTACTGCTTACCTACTGTATGTATGCTAATTTCTTATGATAATCAGCGGACAAGGCCGAGGTTGCTAGCAGAGGAGAATGGGCAGGAATTGCAGTCAACATGAAGACAGATAGACCAGGTGTTGGGGATCTCAGACGGGCGATTGATAAAGTCATGGAAAGCAAACAGATGAAGAGCCGATGTCTGCACATCCAAAAGGAGAATGAAGATCTGAATACCCTGCAACAGGTAGAGAGGGTGATTAGAGGCCAGACCTAGACATCTTAAATGCATTGTATGCTTGAAGCCTATACAATAGCCATATGCCTCTATAATAAATACCATGGTCATATGTCTTAATCACCCCATCTATAGCTGCTTTGTACTGCTGCTTTGCCTTCTCCAGCAACATCTCATCAGCCAAAGATGAGCCATCGCTTTAAAGTCGGTGATATTGAAAAAGGGTATATTAATAGATTAGATGTCTTAGTGAACTGTTTTCCGTCATACTCTACGTACCTCCTTTCCATTAACTAATATTCAAGACCTCAGGGCGAAAAGAAGACTACTATTATAAGGATAGAGACAGGAATAGTGCGTCATCTAATTGTTCAATCACTTCTAACATTACCACTAATCAGAATCCACCCAGGGTAGTAACCCTAGCTCTCTTGCTTGCTTCTATTGTCCGTATGCTACTCCAGGCAACTCCGCTCTATCCCTCTCAGGTAATTCAGACATACTCTTCGCCTGGACCTCGACCAGAATAGCACCAGCAGGAGGACGAGAAGGAAGAGGGGGCAAAATGGAAGGATCATCTTTGTCACTACTGATATTCCTTTTTCGTTGTCGTCGGAGGACCGCCAGTAGAACAAGGCAGACGGCGAGTATACCAGCACTGCTGCCCACAGCAATGCCTACTGTGTCTGCTGTTGTCAGGTTTGAATGTCTGGGTGGAATGGAATTGGTGGAATCTATTGTATAATGTGTTTGGGCCGCCGCTGTAGACGTAGAGATCGGGGTCGTTGTTCCAGTAGAAGTAGAGATGAATGTCGTTTTTTCAGTAGAAGTGGAGATGAATGTCGCCTTTTCAGTAGAAGTAGGGAAAAGCCACCCGTTGACCGGAATAGCATATGCGAGCGAGGCGGTATTGACCGTCGATGTATAGGATGACCATGTTGATGCCACTACATCTGAGAGGACGTATTCGATGACCTGGCCGACGTGTAGCTGCGAGGAACATTCGCCTGTATTTCCCACCCCCATCCATTCCACAAAATCGTAGGAACTTGAGCCGCAAGGGTTAGCCGTGTAATATACATCTTTATATAAAGAAAAAACACATACCTCGGACAGCAGGCAACCAAAGTACTGCTAGCCTCATTCACACTCGTCGTCGCCGTGGTATAGGCATCCGGGCAGACAACGGGCCCGATACTGAGCTGCGTCGCATGCAAGTCCACCTGGGACAAAATATGGTTGGCATCCCACCAGGATGTCATTTGCGGGGGCTGGCAAAGGAGGCCAGGCTGGACCCAGATACCATATCCTGGATCCCATGCTACAAGGGAGGTGGGCACGTATTTCCATTCTGAACTTTCACAACCGGAAGTAGATGGTCAGGCGGTCGACATGGGCAGCCAGAAGGTCGTCAATCCGGCTTGCACCTCGGGGGGGTGGGTGGCCATTGCCATTTTGAGTGCTGGATATGAGTGAGGAGAAAAATGAAAAATGAGGTTGTTCTGATGAGGAGGAGCTGTACAATGGTTACACATAAACGGCTCCTTGGTCCCCTTACCTCTACTCCTCACCTAGTCAGGTGACTGCTTCATATGACCTTCCTGTGTACTATATATAATAAAGAAGATAGTTATATGATGAATCAAGTTTAATGCACTAGGTTTGAAATTTAATTGCAGCAGTGGGCACAATGGTATGAAAATATGAAGATACTTAAGAAGGTATTTAGAATCATCTTCCAGGTAGAGGTTTGCTTCTACTTGTGCTACGTTCTCTAATACTTATCAGAAACTTCATTTGACTTTATATGATAGGACCAGACATTATAGGGACGAATTATCTAGGTAGCAGCCATGACATAGTTTCATTGAATAAGTCAACGTTCTAGTATCTCATAAGAATATTATCTGTCATATGCTCTTCTCAGGCATACCGCATAGGAGAGAAGATTTAGGTAGTCTGATATAAACATCTATCATTTCTATTAGAAGGGTTTGAGGAGAATAACTGGGTTATATATAAGAGTTAGTACTTATATTATTAACATACATGATGCAACCTTTGCGCATATTAGAGATAAGATGAGGTCAGTTTGAGATTCAATGACTCCTCAATTGGTGTATATGGATGATAGAGATACCTAGTAGTGCTGGTCTAACAGTAACTAATAATGCTGTATAAGAAATACAAGTATGATACCATCAAATCTCTTTATATAATCGCATATATATAGACCTATTTAATCATATTCATAGTAAGCTTAAATATTAAAACTACTTACAGCTTGAACATATAGCTCAGCTGATGATAAAAAGTCATATAGCTGAATATGATGTGCACTCATCATGAATGAATGGCTCCTCGCCTCTCTCCATCCGCCACCGATTCGTCGCCTCTAGCGCCCCAGGCAACCCTCTAAACAGCCACCCCCATTTCCTCATAAATCCTTCCGACATTTCCCACCCCTTGATATCCCAGGGTGGCGACCACGCGATGATGCCGCGTTGCTTGATCTCATCATCAGGAAAGCCCTCATACAGCCCGCCAATACAGTCAGCCCACAACTCGTCCTCGTCAAAAGTGCCGACGGCCTGGATCAGACGGTCTCGTCCCTCTGGAATCGGGAACAGGTCAATCCAGTCACCGTGAGGCACTGTTTGTTGAAGGAAGGTAGGCAGGAGTGCTGGAGGGAGTATTTCAGGCTTACTAGGGTAAGGGATGACATGGATAACTTCTTTAGCACAATCGAGTGGCGTGGCGAGGATGCCCGAGATGAGAGTGCGGTTGACGGCCAGGGCGCGGAGGGCGTTGAATTGAAGAAGGGTGATGAGGTGGTCTGGACAGAGGGGGAAGACAATATTAAACTGCTCTTTTCTCGGGTTAGGTGGCAGTAAGGGATTTCTCGCGTTGTATATTTGCTTGATTCGCGATGCTGGGACGAGGGAGACGGTTTGCTGTTCATTATCCCAGCATTCTACCAGCGCTTCTGATCTAACCAGTGGCCCCGCTGCAGCGCTGGGTGTTTCCGCTTTCTTTACCAGGGCTTTACGTTTCCCTGGTGGACGGTTAGTTTTGATGGGACAGAACTCAAGGCGTTACTTACGGTATGCCCTTGTACTGAGTCTAGTCTGTGCCCGTCTGCGTGCTGCAGCATCTTTAATGCCAGTCCAGTCGTCTTCCTTGCCTATCGCCTGTACGCCGCGAGTGAGTCATGTTCTTTTTGGTAAGCAACGCAACCTGGTACGTACCTCGGCTAATTGTGGTTTCGACGCGAGCTGGATGCTTGGTGCTGTTGAAATTGCAGGCTGATGTGTACGAATCATGCTGTACGGAAGTTATCATCGCAGTGATGATGAAACTACTGATGAATGATGCAGGTTTCTTCGCCTGTAGTCTGCTCACGGTGGCACTCGGGAACGGAGGAATTGTTATCCCTACTCTTCAGCAGGTGTGGCGCAGACAGACAGGGGTAATAGAATAGTATGATATCATTGGTAATTATTATAGTTTCTAATTTAATCAAGTCTAGCGTCATGCAACCTGCTCACATCGCCCACAAGGATTATAAGCCTTATCATATGCTTAACAATAGCTAGACATTTAGTAGTAAGCCTTATTCTTTATGCAGCTGGCTCACTTGCCCACTTGAAATTCACTTATTAGTCTATTTATAATGTCTTGAAGTTTGATACGCTGTGATTGTTCCAAGGCTATGCAGCTTGCTCACTGTATCTAAGATATATCTTAAGGATTATTTTATTAGAGTAATATAAAATTATGGCAATATTCCTTTCATTTTTAACAAACATAAAGCTTGATATAAAGTATTAAATTATCTATCATAGTATTGCCGCCTCAATTGCCTTGATTTCTCATTTAAACATGGCTTTCCATCCCGACACTCTCCCCGATCTCAAGGGCAAAGTATTCATAGTCACAGGTGGGAACTCTGGCATGTAAGTCTCCCCTCTCCCTTGGAATAATGAAGCCAGAATGGCTGATATGAATAAACTACAGAGGATACTACACTGTGGCCCACCTAGCAAAACACGGCGCCCATGTTTATCTGTGTGCCCGATCTGTAGAGAAGGGCACCGCAGCCATTATTGAGATCAGGAAGAAAGATCCCTCAGCCAACATTGACCTCCTACAAATGAACCTTATGGACCTCGCCAGCGTTGCCGCAGCAGCTAAGCATTTCCTGAGCCTTGAAACAGCGCTGCACGGCCTGGTCAACAACGCAGGGATCATGGCGACGCCCTTTGAAATAACTAAAGATGGCCATGAGGCCCAGTGGCAGACCAACTACCTCGCGCACTGGGTTCTCACGAAACACCTCCTTCCTCTGATGCTACGGACAGCTAAGACGCTCTCTCCCGGCGGCGTACGCATCGTCAACCTCACTTCATCGGGCCACTTGGGGGCGCCCAAGGGCGGCATCAATTTTAATGACTTATCGCTCAAGGATAGCAGCCCGTGGTCGCGGTATGGACAGAGTAAGCTAGCAAACATCCTCCACACCAAGACCCTGCACAGGATGTACGGGCCTGGCTCTGCCTGTGCACGGAACGGGGAGGGCGAAATCTGGGTTTCATCTGTGCATCCCGGGCTGGTTGATACGAACCTCGCCGCATCAGTACTCGAGTCGGGGTCAGGCATGAGCAGTGTCCTCTCGGTTCTACGCTTTTTGGGATTGAAATGGCCTGCAGATAAGGGGTCGTGGACGAGTGTCTTCTGTGCGGCGAGTCCGGATATGAAGGCAGAGCAGAGCGGGGCATATTTAGAAATCTTCCGGCGGTTTGGAGAACCGAGGTGGCAGAGTAGTGCATCCCAGGATGGCAAACTAGCAGAAAGGCTGGAGGAGTGGACTGAGGAGGTGATGAGGAGAGAGGGGTGGGTTCAGTAGTCTTGATTTTTATATGAAAGATGATCTTCAGTTATTATTCTTTAGGCTATATATTAATACATATCTATAATAATAGGATCACTATTATCTCCCACTTATTCTACCATGTCAGCTAGTACTATTACTACAGTTTTTATTATTATTTAAATATTCAGGTGTTTTAATATATATGCACTTCTTCAGATTCATTATATAGGTTTTATTAGAATCTCTTCATAATCTAACTGACTGAAAAAAGAAACACAAAATATGGAAAAAGTCCCACTGCTAGTCATCCATCTTGTCATGTACTCGCCTCTTGTACTCTGGTGACGGGGAGATCCCCCCACGATACCAGAGCGCCGTGTGGTGAGGATCCGGGTCGCCATTTGTACGCAGCCCCAAGGCCTGGTCCTTGACCACGTCCTCTTCCACCCACTGACAGTCTCGAAAGGCAAGCTTGAGATCCTGATAGCGGAACCGACCGCGCCCATGGTAGTGCTTCCCGAGCAGCGGGACGATCGCCCGGCTCGCGACGGGGATGTAGTAATGCGGGATACGGGAGAAGAGGTGATGTGTGACGTGGTCGGACGAGATGTGGTGCAGAAAGTGAGTGCCGATGATGCCAAAGTCGCGGTCGATGGTCGCTGTCGCACCGCGCAGAAAGGTCCACGAGTCGGCCGTGTACTTGGGCACGGAGGGATGGGTATGGTGGAGGTATGTGATCATGACTAGACCTATCAGTGCAATCCATAAGAGAAACACACGCTCAATGACTCGGTAACAGTGTTGTTCTACCTATCCAGTGGTTCGTCCAGGTCCAGGGGACAATATAGGCCCAGAAGACGGTGGCGACACCAAACACTTTTGACAGCCTATACAGCACAGCGATGGTCGCAAGACAGCCCAGATCGGACATGATGATGGCCAACCGTTCTGAGTCGCGGAACAGCGCGCCAAAGGGGTCGAAATGGCTGTGGCGCCACGCCGACATGCCCTGCCGGACGACGGCGGACGGTGGACAGGTGATGTTCGACAAGATATACCAGTTCCAGCCGATGGCTTGCTGGAGCAGAATGCGCAGGAAAAGAACTAGCGGCGCATCCTGGCCGATATCATCCAGCATCTCGATTGCGCGGCCAATCTTGCGGGCGTACTCTGCCCGCTGCGGAGGCACGTAGTTGAGATCTCTGTCAATGTGGTTGGCATAGATATGGTGGCGGCGATGGGTAGACTTCCAGGAAAAATATGGCGCCAGCAGGCTCGAGTGCAGGACGAACCCAACAAGATCGTTGACCAGACCTGAGGCCGAAAAGGCTCCGTGGCCGCAGTCGTGGGCGATAATCCACACTCCTGTCCAGATAACGCCCTGGCACACGCCATACAAATTGACAATAAGATAGTAGAGAAGCCGCGACTCGTTCACCTCTTGCATCTGCCACAGGCGGCATAGACCAACAAGCAAGACCGTCGAATACGTCAGGTCGCGGGCGAGATAGAAGGTCGACCAGAAGAGTGAGGGCCGGAAACAATAGCCCGGCACTGCGTTGCGCAGCTCCTGGACGCTGACGGTCTTATTCAGACGCTGCATCGTGAGTCAGGGAGACTGTCAAAACATTACTGGAAGATAGAACATACACCCCCTTCGACTAGCTCCGAGGGATGGGACTCATTCCCTGTCCCCCAGCCAGTCCTATTTGTTTCTATTTCCGGACTCATCATCACACATCAATGGTTGAAGAGAAAGAGTGTTGAGGATGGCCGATGCAGTAGAAAATTGTCAATTTATGTGGCTATCGCCAAGGAGATAATGCTACAGATGGATGGCCTTTTCATTCTCCTTGCTTGGCTATAAATGATGCAAGGTAACTGTACTACCGCATGGGCACTATCAGGCGTCCTATAATATTATCTGGATTGAAGAATATGGGTATCCATATTAATAAGAGAGAAAACTGTTCTATATGTTTGTGAGGATTAATATATGATCTACGGTCCTTATATTAAGCACGGAATTCGATTCTATGATTAGTATCACCTTGACTATCTATTAGAATATCCTCACCATGGCGTATGCTGATGACATAGTATTTGAAGCCCAGTGTCACCTCTCATATAAGGAGGGTATCACAATGATCTTCAGTACTACACTAGATAGAAGCATCACAAGGTCTCGCAGATGACAGGAAGACATTAAATCATTCGCCAGATGGCACATCTACGGCGAATAAGAGTCTTCACCTGGCCAGCCAAGTCGGCGCCAAGGAGCCAAGAGAGCAAGGGAGAGAGGAAGGGCTGGAAACGTGTTTCTCTTCAAGTCATATGATATTTCTGCTGATGGACTTGGACTCCTAATAACTACCTAGTATTATTAATATATAACTCTCCTTTAATATATAGATAGGATAAGTATGTCAATAGCTATATCTACCGTAAAACTCTGATATAGGATGCTTATATGATGGTGTTATATAGAGAGAGATATTGAAGCTATAGACAGGAAATATTTGAGTACAGTATATACTTCTATAGCTCGAAGGATTGTTCTACTGGGATACTTTTCTGTCAATGAAACCAGCAATAAACAGTGTTGTGTTAGAGAAATAAAGTAGAAGAAAGCATTTATTTAGTTTAGATAATTAAAAAACAATCACTTTCTCTATTGATGAAACTGGATAGACCAGCCAACGCCAATGCTTTAGAGTATCAGGACTAAGAGTACAGGGGGTGTTGGATACATGACACATGAAAGAAATAGGATAGGAGGGAAGGGGATATCAATTCTCCTTTCCGACAGTGCGGCTCTGATACGGCCAGCTTGCCCGTGCAGAAGACTGGGCAGCAGGCTTCTGCTCCTCTGCAGTGTTCGGCATGACATTCGGTCGGCGGACGTTGGGGTGCCGCTGCTCCAGGGAAGGGAGTCTGCTGACAGAGAGCAAAGCAGCAAGATTAGTACTCCCATCGCGGGCAATGACCTCAATAGCATCATAGTCCCGCAGCACTTTCTCGGTGGCGTCTGCCCGCCCAGTTGCGTGGAGGATCTTTGCAATTGCAGCATGAAGCTGCAGCAAAATCGGTGATGGCAGCTCATCCCTTCCATCGTGCGCGACAAGAGTGACCTTGCTGCTCGTGGGCAAGGCCATCCGGGTAAAGCCAGGGAGCAAAGGAAAGGTTAAGATCTCATACTGGTTGGGGACAGCGGTGGGCTCGAGGGCCAGATTAAACTTGCCAAACTCAGTGTGGACTCCCCTCTCTAACATCATGGCGTTGGCGAGACTGTTGATGTTGGTATACTGAAAATTGATCCGGGATCGAACGCTAGGAAAGTAGCGGTAAAGAGTGTTCCAGACTGAGGTAATGTACTGGCGCTCGGGTTCATCTTTAAACGAGGCAATCGCAAACGGCACAATGTGAGCAGCTTCTAGACGAGCCGTGGTCTTACCAGGAGGGACAGTCTCCAGGCTTTCCGCATTGTAGAAGCCGCTTATTACACACATTTCTCCGTCGCGCCGGCGGCACTGCTTCCGGAGTTCCTCCTGCTTTCGTTTCATTGATTCATCAATCGTGCTCGCCAGATTCTCGATAGAGTCCTCTACTCCGATCCTGGGGGAGGGCGTGATCGAGGGTATTTTCCCGCCTGCCACCTGAAGTGGTGTCAGAAGGCCGGTTATAAGATGCTGCCCTAGTTGGTAGACACCGCTGTCCGACTGGCAGTTAGCGATGTCCTCGGCGAGGTTGGCTCGGCCATCGGGAGGCAAGTGCTTGAAGGTTTGACGTAAAACCTCAACGGTATCGTCGTCGGCGTCAATCGGGTGGTATTTTTCAAGTCGCGACCGTACATCAGTAGGCATCTCGACAAATAGGGTCACATCGCTCGTGGCGTCAGTCAGCTGAGAAGGACTGCCCACGAGAGAGGAGCCCATGGTGAGTAAAGTATGCTAAGATGAAGCTAGACAGTTCTGGAAGGTTTTGGTCAATAATCTTTTGCAAAAATGAAAAGGTTGCGGAGAGCCAATCGAGAGGTGGTCAGGGAAGAGGTAGGGAAGAGATTAAGTTACGGCAGCCTGGATACTAATCTAGGCTTAGTACGGATCTACGGATTTTCGCTTAGGGACTAGCGTCGTCGCACGGGCCACATGGTACGGATCACTCCGCACAATGGAGATTTATAATTGGATAAAATCACGTCTTGATATAAAACCCTTCTGTCCCAATAATAATAATAACCCTCTGGTATGAAAAAGCATATATATCAACACAATCTACGGCCAAGTAGATAAAATAAAAAACATACAACAGTAGGGATTCGCTGGTGGTCACCCACCCAGCTACTAACCTACCGGCGTGTGGCTTAAGTACGGCTGAGCGGACGGGAAGCCCTGTTTTCCACACCCTGTGGTCGTATGTGATAGATCTTTAGATGCAGTGAAGTATATAGGAATAGGACCAGATTAGAACACTAGAGCTCTGTGAAGTGTGCAACGGTGCTGTTCGCAGATCTGATACTTTACAGAGAGTTAGCCATGCCTTAGAAAAGAAATTTTCAGTCAGTATCATTAGTACTTGGTGTTGAAGGTGAGGCCAGGTCCTAAAATGGCAAGATAATTGCTGTTCCAAGCTATTTAGACAACACGCTTTCCGTGATAGGATCTAGGGCGTCACCAGGGACCACTCAGTATTACTGGACGTTGCCACCCTGGCCCAAGTAGTCCATAGTCACGTAGTTATCTACTGACTAGTAGTAAGTAGTAACTTCTACATAAGCCTGGAAGTATCTGTTTCCAAACCCTAGCTCCGGGCGTTTTTCCCCCGGGGGGTTAGCGTGTCGCCCGACTAAGTAGGAAGTAGTTAGTAAGGAGGATCAATACTATCTATTTTCTAAAGGCAGCAACATTAAGGCACTGAGCCATCACAAAAAACCAAGTAGTTCTCTGCATAGATATCAATGATTGGATAGAGAATGAGGCAGCAGCATTTAAAGTGTGGGGTGTGCTTACTACTAGCGACTTAGCATGGGGCCGTGACAGAATTGCAAACATTGGATCCCTGATTGATAGTGATGATTGGATGGAAGGTCGAGAAGCAAGGCAGAAGGCAGCAGCATTATATGGGCCAGGATGTATCCCAAGTTGTGGTCACAGCAACGCGCGACGTTTCCAGAAATCAACAGGGTATATTTGAGTATCAAGGTTCCTCAGCAGTACCACTTAACTGGCTATATACATCTTACTACTCATATACTACTACCAATTTGTCTGAACAACAGATATGTCCTCTACAGAATATCCTCTCGCAGGGGTTCGCAAGTTGCAGTTGGTTATTGCAGGGCTATCTTTTCCATGGGCCATCGCCTCAATTGCTGATAGAAGAGGGAGTCCAGAGACTATTTTCCAGCTCATCACAGTACGGAGTTTCCACCTATCCTTCAGCAGTACTTCTCCTGACAGCTAAACTGATATCAATAGTTGATCCTTTCTATCTGTGCCTCTATCTATATACTCTACAATCACCGCAAGACAGGAAAGCAACACCCCGAATCTGAGATTCTGAGCGATGTTTTTCTCCTCGTGTTGTTCCTCGCAGTTTATATTGCCGGTATTGTGATTCTGTCCTCCAGAGTGATGAGATATGTGGTATACGCACGGAGTATCCCTCATGTATACACCAATCTCGCATGTTTACTTATGTGGTATGAGGATAACCCTTCTTTATGTATATATATTTACTTTACTAATGGAATAGGCTATCATATGGATACACAATCTTCATCGCCATCTACCACAAATACCTGATCAACCTCCTCAAACGCCGCCGATGGGGTAGTACTATGTACATCCTGTGTCCATCCTGTGATCGGGCAGCTCAGGCCTCGCAATCCGGATGGAACGGAGAGAGAACTGCGAATCCGTTCGATAATACCCCGAATCTCTATACGGACGAGGAGGCAGAGGGTCAATCCCTGCTTCACAATGAACCGACGAAGCAGGAAACTGGCATTACCAACTGATACTAGTCAGCCATGCTCTAGATGTCTCTGGGGCTACTGGTAGGAATTAGACTCGTCATACCTTTTATAGGGTCTGGTCATTGGAACGTCTGAAGCGTGTGGAGGATTAGAGCGAGATTAGAGATGGTGTAGATACGCATTATGATACATATCATATTAAAGTATATTGGATAAGCATATTTGTTAGCTTTTTATTTAGATTTAGATGGCAAGACAGCCTCAGGTTTAAGCTATACTTTCTAATAGATGGCAGCTTATATAAACAGCTCTAGTATATTCCAGTTATCACAATAGGTGATGACTTAGTATACTAAGAGAAAGAGATAATTAATCCATTGATTCCTCAACCCTTCGGCATAGACTCCATACTGACGGGTGCTCTTAACTATAGGGATAATTCGAGTCTTTCCTCATCTAATTAATCATAACAATTGACAGTAATTTTGTCGAGAATACCGACGCAGCCGTCATTCTTATTGAACCATTCACACTGATTGTTTGTACAGGTGAATCCAAACTTGATATAGTAGAAATCGGCGCTGTTCCCCTTTCGTTGTGATCCGCCACAGTCAGAGGTTATCTGGCATGCTTTGCCTTGAACCTTATAGCGATCCATACAATCTCCCTTGTAGCAGGAATAGCCATCTGTCGCACAATCTGCCGTTGTCTTGCACCGCTGTCCATAGCCCGAGGTAATGGGTCGTCCACAGACACGGGCAAACGCACTATCTGCCTCGCCCTGGTTGGGCTGACACAAGAACTGTCGCCCAGCGACAACCGGACAGTCTGTTTCTGACGCGCAGACGATGACTGCCCCCGAATCGGGTGCGCAGACACCCTGGACGCAGGTTTCAGACTCGCATTCACCATTCGACGAGCATGTTTCTGTGACCGCTCGTTTTCGGCGGCAGATGCTGCCATCACAGTAGGCCGCACTGCTGCATTCTTGTACGATGCCACATGGGTCTTGACCACTACTTCCATCGGATAAACACCGTCTCTGCCGATCATCACACAGCGTCCCTCGTCCGCAGAGATAGCCATCGTCGAGGTTACAATAACCATTGAGCCGGCTTTCGCGCACGCATCGGCCACCCACACAGTATGCGTCATCGAAGCAGGGTCTCGTGAATTTCGGGTCACACGCCTCCCCAACCTCGGGAATGGATTGACAGACAGAATAGAGAAGGACTTCATCCTCGCCGTCTTGGTCGGGCACGTCGTAGACTCCCCAAGCCTGCCGGCAGGATGTCCCATCACAATCCTCATCCGACCGGCATCCGATATGTTGACTGGCGTTGACGTACTGACACAGGCCATGCGTGCACTGGGCGTCGACAGGGCACTTGGTGTGTAATTCACTGGCCTCGCAGGAATCGCCCACCTGCGGCCTCACCTCGCAGGTCGAATAGAGCAGGTCTTCCTCATCATCAGCAACAATCCGGCAGAACTTATCGGCGGAACAGCCTGCATCGGACTCGCAGGCTGTATATTTATCCACATCCGTATACCGACACAAGCCATGGCTGCAGTAGGCGTTGTACGAGCAGGGATTGCAGGTTCCATCGCCCGCGCAGTTGGTGATCAGATTCTGGGGACAGGCATCGCCCACCTGGCCCCGGTCATGACAGAACCCATCGTAGTAGTTCTCGGTGAAGCCTGAAAAGATGCTGACTTGACAATATTGACCGGCAGGGCAGGGGGTATCCTGATCGCAAGAAACATCCGTAGAGGACTGCGTCTCGGAGGACTGTGCCTTGGTGAGCAGCGCCAGGGAAAGAAAAATGAGCACACGGGGCCACATTGTAAAGGCAAGGCCGGTAAATGGAAGCAATCAATACAGTATAGAGAGGAGCGATGAAGGTTGAAATATAGTGCTACATTCCCAGCGCATAGCATACCTCACGTCTTGAATTTTACACATTCTTCAAGTCTGAAGGATTCCAGACATGAACTTTAAAGACTACACAGTGATATAATCCTTACAACTATAGTGTGGTGACCATGAAAATTGTAATGCCATGATTAAACTACTATAGTCTAAAAAATAACATTCTTAGTGTAGTGCTGCAAAGCCAATCAAGTCTCTGCAGTAGAACTATCTAAGACTATTGATATATATTATTGGTAAACAGTTTAAGATTGTTGCTGAGGCTTAGTTTCGAATGATCTTAGCTCATATTAAATAAAATAGTTATAGGGTTTTACCAAACTTCCTAAGAAGCAAGACATTATAAGATATAATAAATGTTATAAATCTAATAATATCTGTGTGCTGCTTGGAAGGTATACATTTAGAGAACAATACACCATAAGAGTGCAAGGGCTGTGTATGTCAATAGAAAAGAAAGACTATGGTACATAATTTAATCCATTTAAGCAGTGTTAATCTCCAAAGTCAAGTCTCCCGGCTGCTCCAAAATAATCAACGGCCCAGCAACAACACTCTCCTGGGTAGGAGCACCTTTCTCATCCGCAATGTTGACAATAATGATGCTAGCTTCCTTGTCGAATTCGGCGGGGATTGTAGTAGTGTTGGAACTGGTATCGAACGGCACACTGATCGTGTCCAAGCCGTGATAGAAGACAGCATAGTAGTCGGTATCGGCATCAAAGCTAGGCTGATTGTCCGCTTGCTTGAAGACGATCTGAATCTCTGAGCCGGGAGTTCCAGTGGTCCCGGTCTTGTTGAACGACAGCTGAGGCAGGTTCTGGCGAGGATCAGGGTAGATCGGGTTGATGGAGGGACAGCTGCCGTCCACAATGAATGTGTTGGTTGAATCCAGGATCTGGTTCGGGTAGGGATAGATGGTGTCCGAGGGTCCAGAGAAGGGGTTCACGTCCCATGCATCAATCAAAGCCCAGGTGTTGTGGCGGGATTCCACCTGTCCAATCGCCACCAGGGCCGATTTGGAAATGTTCAGGCTGGCCTGGTTGATGAGTCCAGTGAGAAAGGCCATACTGGACACCTCAAGAAAGACCTGCAAGGCGAGATAGCTCACAGGGTCACCCTGGATGGTCTCGTTGTAGTTGTATTGACAAGGGCCCGGCGTGACGGAGTTGTTGGAGATCTGGTCCTGGAAGATGCGGACATGACCGGCTTCATTATCGCGAATCTGGACAAGACGCTCGTATGTGGTATTGGGGTAAGGGTCAGGGAAGTCGGAAGCGTCGAACATCTCCGCCCCGAGTTGGTAGAAGGAGTAGATGGCCCATTCGGCGGCGAGCAGGTTTTGGAAGAGGAGATCGTCTGCCCCGGCAGGGCCTGAGCCTGTCGCGGGGATGGCTCGGAGATACTCTGCCGCGAGGGGGGTGTTCTTGCCCTGATAGTTCACAAAGAGGGAAGATTCCCCTGGCACTGCAGTTTGAAGACTGGCCTGGGAAGCTGAAGATGATGTGGGAAGGGCCAGGGCCGGGAGGGCGATGGCCAGAGAGGCAACCAAGGTAGGTTGAAAGTGCATGTTTCAAACGCTTTGAGGGAATTAAGATTGATTAATGAAGAGGCTAGGTGATGCTGCTGAAGTCTGAGGTGAATCTTCAATCTAGATGAACAGGTCTTTTATACCCAATCTCAATACTATTACACTAATTAAGGATTATAACGACAGTATACTAGCTCATGGCTAATAATAATGAATTCAGGCGGTGCAAACATCTCGGCTACTGAATCGAGATAGATCTACGGGCTATGACATCAACCAGGATCTTCAGGGCTGGCTGTAAGAGAACCGACAAGTCGCAGTCTAGCTTCAAGCTTTGTTCCCCAGTTTAGTGGTGTAGGTAGTTTAGCGAACTGACTAATTAAAAGCTGCGTTATGGAGTACAAGGCTGGGGCTGAAAGGTGGGCCAGGATTTCCCCACTAAAAGGGTCGAAGAAGAGCTTAGGAATAATCAGACCTAGCCTATTTAGGTAGGCGAGTTGTCCATGAATTATGATCGTCAGTCATAATAAGAGGATATCAATAATTTGAGGCGCAATGAACCTAGATGATTGAAATGACTGACTAGACACTCCCATCATTATGGACTATATGTCAGCATTAAGGCTGAGGTTCAACCTTATATATAGCTTATTAGGAAATAATCAGCCAGGCCTATCCACAGGCAGGATAAAGGTATTTCCCGATGTTTCTTATGAGGCCTAAGTACCCCTAGGAGAAGTACATGTAATACATTACAATATTAACAATGGTAGAAAGATTAATTATATGGCTACATGCATATACTGACTTCCCAGGGACTCGTTCCCATTTTGGTATTTAAACCACTAGAAATTATTACATACAGCTTGACTTCCCTGCCATTAACCCAAAAAGCATATATCTACTCAATCGACGGCCAAGTATAAAAAACATGCAACAGTAGGGATTCGCTGGTGGTCACCCACCCAACTACTAACCTACCGGCGTGTGGCTTAAGTACGGCTGAGCGGACGGGAAGCCCTGTTTTCCACACCCTGTGGTCGCATGTATTAGAGATGTACAAATAAAGAATTATATAGATATAGTGTATATGTATATACAGCAGCTGGAGGCGCTGGACTTGCCGGTGACTCCATTGAGTGGACCGTGGCAGGGGCCCGTCACGGCCATCGCCACCATGGGTACCTGCACGCCCAGCTACTTCAATGCCGAGGGAGATATATCCCGTGGGACACCGTGGGGAACCGGTGTGAATGATTTCAACCAGATTCTGCACGACTGGCGGGCCCAGGGGGAGATGGACGGGTTGGAGGTGTGTTAGTAGTATAGAAATATTATAGTTTAGGATGTAGTAGACCTTCTGAAGAGGGTATATCTTGGATTCCTAGCAGCTATCAGCTTAGGGTCTAGATGATATAGCCCCTTACCTCTGAATATATATTGTTATAAAATTAAATCTTGCCTTTATTAATAGTGACTATTTCTAAATCTGTAGTGTCAATGTCTAGAATTCCCAAAACCATTTCAACAGTGGACATCCCAGAAGGCAACACGAAGTATAAAGTCAATATCAGAACTCCCGTCTTCAGCCAAGTAAAACTCATCTGCCTCCTGCTTCATCTCTTCCCAGCGGCGTAAATGCCGGTCAATTTCCTCTCCCATGCCTGAGGCATGAAAGACCTCGGCCAACCGATAGTGGCAATCGATGTATTCCCTGCAAGGCAATGGCAGGTCCTCGCAGCCGGGAGCCTTCTTGAAGGTGATCTCTACGCCGTCGGGGGCGAATGGCTTCATCTCGATGGAAAACCTCTTGTAGTGCACAAACACATACGTATTAGGTGTGTCCTGAAGATAATTGTTAATCATTACCTAGTTGGCTTGTGGCTCACCTTGGAGACTCACTGTGGGACGGAAAGCGCACTGAAAACGGCCGAAATCATCATGAATGGTTTTATGAAGCAGAATACCATTTTCTAGGTTATCAATTGTGGTGGATCGTAGGGTTTGATGGGTTGATGGGAAACAGCGATGTATCATAGCCCACATCGAGGATGCTCTGTCTCTGGAAGCCTTTGAACTATTAGCTTGTAACTCTCTATACGGAATGGGAAGAATGGTACCGTAGACTTCTCAAACATTCCGAAGCTGAAAGGTATGATATGAGCAGCCTCAAGCCGCCCATATACGGCATCGCTGGGCTCACCTCGCTTTTCCCATTCCTCTTCATCAAGGAATTGCGAAGCAACACACTTCTTGTCATCGCGGGCAAAACAACCATCAATAAACTGCTGGCTGCGCACTTGTGGCTTCGTCAATTTTGCACGCTCAGTCAACTCGCCCTCTTGATTTTCTGAAAATGGGGATGACATGGTAGGAGTTTTACCTCCTGCTGCTCTCACTAAAAAATATTAACTCAGTCTAGATATATATCCCAATACCTAGAATCACCATATATAAAATATTTTAACTTACTTGGCGTGAGGAGACAGGTGACAACATTTTTGAACGCATCAAACAGCTGGTCGCTCCCTTGTGCCTTGACAACGTCCCGGGCGATGGCTTCACGGCCGCCTTCTGGCAAGAACTCCAACAGCGCCTGGTAAGTGGTGATCAATTTAGCATCTGTACTGCCCTTTGAAGGCGAATACTTGGAGAGAATTTCCTGTGCTTGGGCTTTGAGGGCTTCCCAAGCTCCGGCATCGAGAATATCGGGCGTTGACACAGTGGCAAGTGAGGATTCCTCGCGTAGTGAGGCTTTAGGCTGAGCCTCCTGGCTTTTCTGAATCCTGGCTGACTGACGTAGGATTGACCTGGGGGCATCTGCGGCTTCTGTGGACTTTTGCGGAGAATCGCGTCGCTGCCGCTTCGTGGATCTTTCCATTCTGAACCCAAGAGAAGAGGCTGCAAGCCACTCATTGACACAAGCTGGATTCCTACCAATTCATCTGCTGTCTACCATAATGATATGGAAGATATATGAAAGACGATAGGGTGTGTTTGAGGTATTTATGACGCAAGGTATAAATAGGTGGCACCAAGCCTAATTAGGTAGAGCCTGTCAACATTGAACACCAAAATACTTCACTATAACTTATCTTACCTTATAGCTTGACTTATTGCATGACTTGAATAGTTTGACTAAATTGTTTTTATGATTCTTAAATGAGTACTAACTTAGATGATAAATAGCCTAATCTGTCAGAATTAACAACTATATCAGTGAAAGGATGAGGATACTTAGATAAGTGAATAACCTTAGGCTGATGCAGGCTGTAATTTAATAAGAAATAGAATTATGCCTACTAAGATGAAACTATGGGAAATATAATAGAAAAAATATAAGTAGTCTGTACAACATCATCCACTCGTTCATCCATTTGTGCAGCCATTCCATTCTGACCCCTTCTATATTACCCAACAGAATACTACACTCTGCCGTCTTGCTGATTAAAACCAGGTGCAGTCTGTGTGGGTGGTAGAAGACGAGCTCGGGGGAATGCTCGGGGGAATCCTGCAGCAGTCCCTTTATCATTTTCATCTTGTTCCGTCCATCAGGATAGCCAATGGACAGTATAGCCAATGGACCGTATAACCAACTATACAGCTTCTTATGAGGCACTTATAGAGGTCCGACTCTATAGAAAGAGCCAATTCTGCAGATCTCATTCACTAAGCACCAAGTAGAAATAATTAGCATGAGAGAGTTGGGTTAGGGTTAGGGTTACAGAGGTTACTACTAAGCTAGAATAGGCCTAGTTAAAATACCCTCCGAACACTCGGAGGGTTTCTCATCAACAATAATCAACAATAATCAACAATAATCAACAATAACAAGAGGTGTATCCTGAAGTTTACCCTCAGAATGAAGGCAGCAAAGAGATCTGCCTGCGACCGGTGCAGGGCAAAGCGAGTGCGATGCCCCCGTCCTGCTGACAGCATAGAGCCCTGCGCCCGCTGCGTGCGCCTGGGGGAAGCATGTGTTACGGGGTCCCCTGGTTATCCCGGGCGGCCGCGAAAGATGCCAGCAACGCCAACGCCGACAACGCCGTCAGCAACACAACCAAACAGTCTGGGGCTATTGGATGCGCCTGCAGGGGAGACAATGAGCCGGGCTGATTCATGGCTGGATCTATTGGATGATGGGTTCTTTAACTTGAGCGAAGACTGCACACTGCTCAACCACGAACTGCCCAGTGTCTACCCAGGCCACGACTCCAACCGCATCAGTGCCGATGGTCTCGAAAGTGCAACAGGTTCGCTGGTACAATTCGGAGAACGGATGGAACGGCGTGTTTCAGCCATAGATGCCTTCTTCTCGGATCCTCGCAACGTGGTGGAAAACTGCCCGGAGGAGGGGCCAGGCATGACGGGTGAGAATCCGGTGGCGACAGCGATCCAATGCACGGAAGAGTTCATCCAAATCCTCCAGACCGTGATGACATCGACTCTCAGCACAGAAACAACTCTCTTGATCCTCACGGGCTACCTCCGACTCATGCGATTGTACGATTCACTCTTCCGCAACGTCTACCGACGCCTAAGTCAAATCCCATCGGAAACCATCCAGTCCGTCAAGGTCAAGGCCGTGCTGCGTATCGGGGGTATCTCTTCCCTGCAAGACATGTCGGGCAAGGTGTATGCCAGGGGAGTCATCGAGGTCATCGAAGCCCATCTTCAAACCGTGGAGCGCTGCTTGGGGCTTCCCGTGGAATACTGTCTCTCAGGCAAGACAGCCGCTCCATCAGGGATCTTCACCAGCGATGATCGAGCACGGCTGCTGCATACTGTCATGGCACAGGAGGATGTCGGAGCGTCTTATGTACAGTCAATTCGACAACATATCAGGATGACAGTCGCATTGTGGGATTGAAGCTCTTTTCAGTATACTCTGGATGATATGATACAACTATCTCTGTGCTATAGGTGCCATCTAACTGGCTTGTATATCGTCATGCTGCGTCTTCATGCCGAATTCACTCTCAAGCTCCTTTCTCAAAGGCACCTCCTTGAGAAGGGCAGAAACAAGAACCCCGACGCCGGCAAAGGCAAGGGCCACCTGCCATGAACGCTGCAGACTGCTGTTCTGCACAGCAGTGACCTGCTCGCGTGTCTCTGCGGAAAGGGAGTCCAGGAACGACGCTGTAGCGTCCTGGTAGGCCCTGCCGGCGATGAAATCGGCCGTGACGGTTGTGTTTGTGGTGATGGCGCCCGCCTGGGCCAGCTGTTCTGCTCGGTTGGTAAAGACAGCACCGGCAATGGCCACCCCCCACGTCAGGCCGAAGCTGCGCATAAACGCCCAGGTCCCCGTCGCCAGCGCTGTATCCTTGTCGGACAAGGGGGCCAGCAGCGCAGGAAGCAGGGTGGGAATGGCCAGACCCGCGCCGGCCGCCTCGATGATCTGGAACCCGATCCAGGCCCCCGCGCTCGAGGACGGACCAAGCAGGGAGAAAAGGCCGAATCCGACGAGCATGAGGGCAAACGCAACGATCAGGATCGGCTTGTACCGGCCGAGCTTGGTGAGCAGTAGCCCGCCCGTGATGGCGGACGGCACCAGGGCGAAGATGGTGGGCAACAGCATGACGCCCGACCGGTACGGGGTCGCACCACGCACGCCCTGGAAGTACACCGGAAGGAAATACAATGCCCACATGGTGAGCAGGCCGTGGAGAAAGGTGAGGGCAAAGGTGACTGCCGAGGTTCGGTTGGCGAAGAGGTGAAGCGGCATCATCGGGTTCTTTGCGGCATATCTCTCGATCACCATAAATGCTGCCAGGGCAAGCAGTCCCAGGATAAGAGGCACAATGGTGTGAGGCGAAGACCATGCGTATTGGCCCCCTGCCCAGCTCAGTGCAATCAGCACAGAGCACGACGCTCCCACAAAGACAGTATTGCCCAGCCAGTCGAGCGCCCCCAGCTTAGTCGCCAGCGCCGTGGATTTGTCGTAATTGACATGCAGGAACATCACCAGCAGGATCAATGCCAGCCCGCCCACCGGCAGCGCCATGTAGAACGCCCAGCGCCAGCTGCTGTAGCTGACCAGCAGCCCCCCGAACAAGGGGCCCAGCGCTGCTCCCAGAGAGACCATCCCAAACACCAGCGCCATAATGTTTCCTCTCTCTCTCAGGGGGACCAGGTCGCACACTACCGTCTCGGCGAGGACGCTGATGCCTGACCCTCCAATGCCCTGCAGGACGCGCCCGGCGATCAACGTGGACATATTCGTGGATCTATTCAATTAGAGTGTTCTTCATCCGAGAGGGTTCATGATATGAATTCACTCACCCCCCACATATACCGCTCCCTAAGACAGCAAAGACCGTTGCCACGATCATAGGCCACCGGCGACCGAAAACGTTTGCGATTTGTCCGAACATGGGTTGGAAAGATGCCCTGTCCCGTTATTCTGGAAGTTATGGTAGAAGAAAAGGGGAAAGCATACGCGGTTAACAAATATCCATTCGCTACCCAGATGTAGTTGTCGCCTCCGCCCAGGTCGGCAACAATGTCCGGTAATATCGTCGAGGTGATGGTGGCTTCCAACGCTGTCAGGAGGCTCGTCAACGCGAGTGTAAATAGAATGGCCCAGAATCGAGGGCTGCGAGCCTGGTTGACCATTGGGGTGGGCGCTGCGTCTTGCGACATTTTGACCGTGATCTTTATATGTATAAAATTCTAAAGAATAGTTGTTTTGACTGGAATTTAAAGAATACTTATTCAAGAGTGCGTTGGTTCTATTTATTCTTTGACAAGCTCGGAGGGTTTCGGATATTTCAAGGGGGGATTTAAAACCCTACGAGAAGCCGGCAGAGTTAATATATTAATTCAACACTCAGCTTTTATAACTAGCATCAAAACTCTTGGCCTGGGAGCTTATATTCAGCAGATCTCACCCATAGACCAACATAACCAATTATTAGATTCCTATGAATGAATACCACCGAATACCCGGATTTCCGGATACCCGCAGGCAGAGTGAATATCCAACTTCACCTTTACAGAGACGAGGATGAAACACCACGCACTTGACCATTCTCATCTTGACCACACTCATCGATACTACTCTTACATCAGCAGCACCAAAGAGAAAGGTAAGACACGCTCATCACTCGCCTGCTTTCCCACATCTTGGTCAAGACGTCTCCAACGGTGTCAAAGACCATATCACATCTTTGATACTCTCTTCCCAGCCTGCAGTATTGTAGTCGTACACTTCATATACACCAAGCTGCTCCAGAGTGCTATGGTTCTGAGATGCAACGAGAGTAATCATATTAGTGCTAGACAGCTTCATCATAAACTCCACTTTACCTCCCAGGCTATAAGAAATGGATAGATAATGTAGTGGCTTCTCTATGCGTCATAGGATTCACGCCTCCTCACCAGCATAGAGATACACAACATCCTACTCTCTGTTCCACATAGGGATAAACACACCATCAAAAACATACACAGTAATAGTATATTAACTCAATCTACGGCCAAGTATAAAAAAACATACAACAGTAGGGATTCGCTGGTGGTCACCCACCCAACTACTAACCTACCGGCGTGTGGCTTGAGTACGGCTGAGCGGACGGGAAGCCCTATTTTCCACACCCTGTGGTCGTATGTGGAAGATGGTTATAGAAGAGGGATTATATAGATATAGTAGTATATTCATTGTTGTTGTGTTTTGTCTGGAAGTGCGTGGGAAGCTGAACATGCAGGAAGAAATAAATAATTTCACTATAATTAAGAGTATATGATTATCTTATTATAAGTCCCTCTACCTACCATTTTCTAATGATCATATGAGATTCTATTTTGGGGGATGCTACCTAGAGATGAGGCCTACTATTATTAATGGAAGCTGATCTCATCGCCTCGTCCAAGCAACCTTCTATTGCAACTATTTGTCAGGCATAGATTATTTTAGAAAAGTACTAGGTATGTCAATCATCCGGATCCTTCTGTCCTTACATCAAAACGAACGGCTCAAGATCATTGCAGGGATTCTCCCGGCAAGTAGCCTGAGACACGGCAGATCAGTCAAGAAGTGATAGGGGGCATCTGGCGGCCACAAAGGGCAGTCAATAGATTATATAAGACATTGCAGAGTAAAGCTCTGTAGATTAGAACTCCCACTTTTCTGGATCTCCATTCCAATCCCGCTCCGAGAGCATACGAGAAAACGGAGGTGTCTTGACCAGGTTGTATGTGATAAATGCCTTGGGACTCCAGTGATCTGAAGCAGCTACCCGATCACATCTCCAGAAATCAATAAAGTAGCTATCATTAGTATAGTCAGCGTCAATGCCATGTTGTCGTTATTATTATAGATATTGTATAGATGCTGTGCCTTTCTATCCTAGATAAGATTATTTGCTCTGCCGAAGCTAAGAAGATATCTATAGTCTAGAAGAGTCTTGTATCCCTCCTTAAACGCCGAACGGAGGGCATCACGCTCTGACCTGGGTAGAGTCTAGAATATATCCCCGCCAAAGGCGTCTCCGAGACGGGTGCCCGGAACAATCTCCCAGACCACCCAGACAATGAACCCTTCAGGCACAGGAGAGTCCTTCTCCTGCCTAGATGACCGCCAGTCCAGTAGGCGGGGGGTACATTGCACGCATCGCTCGGTGAAGGTCTGCAGTGCAGCCAGCTCAGAGGGAGTGTACTGTGTTGCTTGTTGGGAGCGGGTTGCGAGAGTCTCGCCTTCAGTGCCGAGAATGGGAGTCTGCAGATAGATCAGCATAAAGGCAGAGGTTTCTTCTTGTGACTCTTTTTCCTTGTTTGAATGACAGAGAAGCTGGACGCAGCTGTACAACGGACCATATCCCCGGTTGAAGTCCTCCTCATCAACTGGGAGATTGTGTCGGTCCACCTCTTCGACAATCGTCCATTGAGCTCGGTTGAGTTGGACATGAGCACCTGGCGCCGTCAGGCGCCGACTGAACCAGTTAGCCATAGCGAAGATGTGATAAGTAGGAGTGTCAGAACCAATGTCGGTGCTTTAATGGTGATGTGGAAAGTGACGATATAACTACCTCATCAATCAGACCAACACCAAGTGATGACCCAGTTACCAAACAGTAGTATGATTATTATTTATTGGTTGTTCTGGAGTAAGTACTTTATCACAAATCCTTGTAATAGCCTCAATTCGAGGTCGAGCGGTGTGATATATTTTGTATATCTAATCAGTTCTTTTTAGAAATAGATCATCCCATATAAATACTCCATATGCTAGGTTAATTTCAAATATCAAATCTGCAATTAATAGTAGTTTATAATGAATAACAATAAGTTGTACTCTCCTCCAGATGGAGTTAACCTTATGATATCATAAAGTAATAGCACCATTATCTTAATAATAGAACAAAGTGGACGCTTACGCCAATTCCATCATACTTTGATTTTATGTCTCTTCCTAGCTGACCTTTAGGTATATAATTGTTGGTAGTCCACTCCGGTCAGTTTTAATGGTATAAAGAATACCCCTCTGGGTAGTAGGGATTACCAAATCTGCCGGTATCATATGTCTTCAACTAGTATTAGGCATCTCCGAGTAAACACTATGATTGGGCCACTTGTTAAAATCTCTAGGGTTGTTCTTATAACCGGGCCTATATCCGGTCAGACCTTATGTCCGGCTTAGATCGGACCTGCCTGTTCCGACGGATCGGACGCCAACCGGACCGCTTGATTAGGGTTATATTAAGATGTACTCAGTCTTATTGATCTACTCATTGAGTCTTCTCATTCACTCTATTTCTACCATGGAAGAGCGTAAGGAGAGTACCGGCGACAGCCAGACGGACAGTCATGAAAACATCTCTGGCCTGCAGCTGGCCGCTGTTCTGGGCTCGGTCACTCTCGTTTCGTTTCTGATGCTACTCGACACATCTATCGTTGCAACTGTCAGTATACCCATGTTTATTATATTGCTACTATAACATACTGATCCATAAGTTTAGGCTATTCCACGCATCACAAGTGACTTCCACTCCCTCGACGATGTGGGATGGTACGGAACGGCGTATTTGCTGGCCAACTGCTCTCTGCAGCCGCTGACCGGAAAGCTATACACCTATTTCAGCAATAAGGTACTCCTATTCATACCCACGCTACAAGGGCAAAACACCTGAATAACCGCCGCAGTGGACATATCTTGCCTTCTTTACTGTCTTTGAGATCGGCTCGGCCCTCTGCGGCGCTGCCCAGTCGTCCAACATGCTTATTATCGGCCGAGCCGTGGCTGGAATGGGAGCATCCGGCCTGTTCAACGGGGCGTTCACCATTATGCACGCAAGTGTTCCAGCACCAAGGCAGCCTGGTAAGTGGATGGCGTATACCAGACAGTATCTTCTACTGACTATCAGCCCTCCTTGGTATAATGCTTGCGTTTTGCCAGCTGGGAACGGTCTCTGGTCCGTTGGTGGGGGGTGCATTAACCCAACATGCATCCTGGAGATGGTGTAAGCTAGCATTGTAATATACAAAGTATGTATACAAGGTATATACTGATATAATAGGCTTCTATATTAATCTGCCCTGTGCTGCTGTCGCTATCCCGTTATTGATCTTCATCAACATCCCCGACAACGCCCATACGACCAGCAATAAAGACAGCCTCTCACAGCTGCTGCATCGTCTCGATCTTCCCGGCTTTGCTCTCTTCGCCGGGGCATCCATCCAGCTGTTGATAGCCCTGAACTGGGGGGGCACCACATACGCCTGGTCGAGCTCGACCATCATCGGGCTCTTCTGCGGGTCTGGCGTGACGGTGATGGTGTTCATTGCCTGGGAACATCACCAGGGTCTGCAGGCCATGGTCCCTTTATCACTTATTTCCCGCCGCGTCATCTGGGCCAGCTGTCTGAATTATGGTCTCTTTACCGGCTGCATCCTCCTCTCGATATACTTCCTGCCCATCTATTTCCAGGCCATCCGCAATGCCACCCCAACCATGTCAGGCGTGGATATCCTGCCGACGATCCTATCAAACATCGTCTTCAGTGTCCTCACTGGCGCCGCCATTGGCCGAGTAGGCTATTACCTCCCGTTTGGCGTCGCGAGTGCTGCGTTTAACCTCATCTCCACTGCCCTGCTCACCACCCTCACCCCAACCTCATCAACAGGAGTCTGGATCGGGTTCCAGATCCTACAGGGCGTAGGGCGTGGGCTCGGCTTCCAGGTCCCGATTATGGCAGTGCAGAACAACACGCCCAAAGAGCTCGTCAGCATAGCCACGGCGTTGGTGACCTTCTTCATGAATATGGGTGCCGCCGTTTCGCTCAGTCTGGGCGAGACCATCTTCTCGACCGAACTCGCCAGATACCTTGCTCAAGACGCTCCCTCGGTCGATGCGGCAGCTGTCGTGGCTGCGGGTGCTTCTGCCTTTAGGGAGGTTGTGCCTGCCGACTTACTTCCAGAGGTGCTCAGAGCGTACTGCAAGGCAATCACGAGGGTGTTGGTGATGGGGGCTGCTGTTGGAGGGGGGCAGTTTTTGGTTTCATTTGGCACTGGCTGGGTGAGTGTGAAGAAAGAGAAAAAGGGAGACGAAGAAAGTGAAGAGACACAGAATGTAGAGAGAGAAGGAAGGTAAAAGGGTAAGAGAGTTATAGATTCTACTTGTATACTATATATTCTTTAGAGTAACTATAATATCAATCGATATGACTATCATATCAATCGACATTAGTGGTTGGCTGCAGAGCGGCTATAGCAACATATTGTAGTCTATCCCCACGAGCTCGTCAAACTGCAGATCCCAGAATGAAGGCAGATAGCCCAACCGCGCCTCCAACGCCTCCTTTCGGGCCTCTATCTTTGCCGCAATCAGACTGAACACGTCCGCCTCCAGCGTCGTGTCGAGCGGCACCTCGTCGCGCACCCGAGAAAAGTGGTTCACGACGGCGTTGAAGGCGGCCGGCACATCGACCTGTTCGCGGAACAGATTCATGTCCCAGCCTGGACAGTCGCAGGTGTTCAATCTGAGGGCGACAACCAGCCACCGGTTCATCTGTGTGAAGACTGAAAAGGGGAGGCCATAGTAATCACACGGCTGGAGGGTGAGAAACACGTCGACCCAGTTGCGTGCAGCGGCAAGATCGGCCTGCAGACAATCCACACGGGCCTGGCTGGGACCCGTGAAGAGCGAGTCGCGCAGCCCGATGTCGTGGACAACCATTTCTGTATGGTGCCGTTGCAGACGGAGCAGTTTGTTCTGGGCCAGCGAGGGAGGAATCCCTGCTTTGAATGAGCCGAGACGGTGCGTCAGCGAGTGGAGATGCAGCAAGGCGGATTCCTGATGCGAGGGATCATAGGCGTGGCAGTATGCTGTGTTGGCCGTGTCGACGATGAGCCGCAGTTTGGCCAGTTGGCAGAGCAGAAGATCGTCTGCTTCCTTGTGGGCTTCTAGAGTCGACACGCATTCATCCAGATACGCCGTCCAGGGAAGAGACGACAAAGTATAGCAGGCCAGCAACGCCCGTCTCTCCTCGACGGTCTCGCGTCGCGTCAGTCGCACGGGCTGCAGAATACATTTGACGTCGTAGGCCAGCCTCACGGCGGGATCCTTGGGCGGCGGTTCATGCAGACCGAGCTCGTACACAATGGCCACGGCCTGTTGGATCAGGTTGGTCGCAAGCGCCTCCTTGTGTTCTCGATGGCGGTCCCTAAGAATCAACATGAATCACATCCACGACCCTTGGAAACCAGTACTACTACTTACCACACAGCATATACCATCAGAGCCAACAAAAAGTCCAGACTGCAGGTCCCCTTGACAAACGCCTCGCGCGCAACGATATGGCGCATCTGGAGCGATAATTGCCTCTGGCGGCTCGCACACGGCGTTGCCACAGCGGCGATCGCCGCCCATAACAACGGCTTGTCCTGCTGGAGCTGAGCGGCAGTCGTGTCCAGTACCACCAAGGGGAGGAAGGGGAGAAAGTGCCGTTGGAAGAGCGTCAGGGTCAGCTCATCGTCGGTCGCTGGTGAGAGTGGTGATGGTTCAGGGCATTCAGGGAGTGTCTCGGCAGGGGATTGCAGCTGTGGTTGACACTGCGACAGTAAAGACGCCAGACTGTCCAGTTTCGCCTCCAGAGCATGCACATGGCCAACAGAGAGACGCGATATCGGCTGTTGTCTTCGCAGGGGGGGGGAGGGGGTGCATGTTTTATGAAGACGGAGGCATCTATAGTATTAGTAAGGAATATCAACATTAGTTCAATAAATTAGTAGTACCTCTCGCAGCCATTATGATTAGGGAGACATTTTGCCTTGGCCCGAACACAATTAGTACACGCCCTCACTGTTTTAGACATTTTACCTGTAGATTGAAGTGAGACGGAGCAGGGAGGATGTCCGGCGGATTTATACCGGAGACGGAGATGAAGGTCCGATTGGCAGCCTTGAGTTAAATTTTAATAGGAATGGTCACATGATGACGGCTATATTGTATTATGTAATTAAACAGAGAATAAGTAGTTAAGCTCATCGAGACAACTCTCCTTCTCCATTGAACCTGCCACAACTTCAAGTCTCAATAAACAAGATGGCAGATGGAAACCAACCCTCATTGATGGTCCGCAAGTTCATTGCCGCATCCAAAAACCCGCCGAAGCTTACAGAGAAGCGGCGTGCCTTTCGGAAACAATTCTACTTCTTCTACGGCACTTTGATGGACCCGGCAACCCTCGCTCGTGTCCTTCAACGAGACCGCGCACCAGACGTTCGCCCGGCTACGACCGTGGGTCCGCGATTGAAGCTATGGGGGGAATATCCTGCCCGTCCGAAAGGATCTGGCAACGAGGTCATTCGCGGGGTGGCCTGTATGATCGAGTCGCAGGAGGAGGCAGATCGCCTGGCAGCTTATGAGACAGAAATGTATGCAGTCAAGGGGTGTCCGATTTATTTTGATGATGGCGAGGATTCCGGGGGTCTGACCTTTTACTGGGTTGGAGATGAGTCGCTGCTGAGGGAGGGGACATTTGATCTAAAAGACTGGCTCCTGAGGGGTTGAGATATACTAGCTGTCTATGAAGCGACAAGTGGAAATAATAGAGGATATTGGAAAATGCAAATCCAGAGGATATCAGAAAATGAAATCCAGAGGATATCAGAAAATCTTCTGGCTCACTTGATAAGGCTCAACTCTGCGTCCATTGCAGTAGCTCTCTGATGGAAGCTTGCACCCTTTGACAGTAGCAGGATGCACAAGAAGGAGATTCAATCGGGCTGTGTTGGGTTAGGGTTAGGGTTTAAACCGAGGAAAGACTTATTTCAGGTATGAAGAAACATACTTGTACCAAGGGATTGTGAGATTATATCAGGCCTCTGCTAGTAAATTGACAAACACTTATGATGTCACTATATTTAATAGATCAAGTGCAACGTGTAAGAGCAATTGAAGGAGAAGAAAGTCTTTGGATGCCCATATCAAGAAGTGCGACGGACAACCCTAACCGGCAACCCCCTCTTCGGCCTCAACGTAAAACTAGGCAGGCATTCCATTTCAAAGCCAGGTTCAAGACTAAGATCGTATCGTCGGAAGAGCGTAGCGAGCGTCAGGGTCATGATGAGCATGGACAGCCCTTGCCCTGTGCCCCATCCATCAGTGTATCACCCGGAAATGCATGGTTCAAGAGACTCACCTATACAACTTCTTGGGCCGTACGAGAACGGGAAATAAGAGCCTTTAATCTTGACTTGACCCGGTCGCCACCGCTCAGGGTCGAATCTATCCGCATCTTCCCAGAGGGTGGGATCTCGGTGCACTGATGTGGTGAGTATAAAAGAAAACATCCGCATTCACTTTCTCACTGACCAGCAGGATTCCACAAAGCAAGAGTCGTGTTGGCAGGGAGCACAACTCCGTCGATCTCGGAATCGACAGGACAAGTGCGGAATGTCCCAAAGCCGGTCGAGCGATACCTCATCGTCTCTTTCAGGACCATGTTCAGGTATGGAAGCTCGACCTGGTCAAGCGACGGAATGGCAACACCAAAAGGTATTTGCGCGTCGACCTCTGCACGCAGCTTTGCGAGGATGTCGGGATGTCGAAGCTGTCACTTCTATCAGCAATGTACTGCGTTGTATCCCGTTGGGAAGCGCGTACGACTTCATAGACGAAGAATGACATGGTATGGGCTGTCGGGTCTCCGCCGGCAACAATAAACGTAACTATTTATCGTGAGGAACCTTGGCAGGATCGGAAGAGGAGAATAACATACTATAGTTGTCGCAAAGCTCCTTTGAGCTGAATGTGTAGCTCCCATCGGCTTCTCTCTGTCTGTTAAGGGCATCAGCATGCTGCTCATCGCTGCTCGAGCACACAGCAAACGTACTTGGCTAGGATCTCAAAGATCTTGCGACTCTGTTCACTGTGATTGGCATCCTGTCGGGCGTTTTGTACGGCTGTTGCCGCCATTGCCCTTAACTCGGCGATTGCCCGGTACATCTGTCGGGTTTTGGAGAGAATTGGGAACGTCTTGCGCAAGGGGAAAAGCCCACATTTCATCAACTCTGGGAGGATGGTCTCGAGGAGCCGCGAGATGCGACAGTCCGGCCCTTGACGTATGGCATGGAACCTTGCACCGTAGGCGACGGTGCCGACAAAGTCCAGCGAGAGAAGAACATGGAGAGAGGACAGCTCTACTGTGGTCTGGGCATCTGCTGCGGTGTCGATGTGCCGGATATAGTCCTAGAAGTCATAAGCACCATCCCTTCCTTGGAGATCCTCAAGTGATAGACTGACTGTGAGATGGTCAGCGAGTGCGGCATACTGCCCTTTGATAATATGTGGTTGAAATGCGGGCGCAAGCCTCTTCCTCTGCCTGTGCCACCGTTCATGGTCCGTTTGGAGGAACAAAGCATCGCCGCTCAGAGGCTTGAAGCCTTCATATTGTACGGCGGACTTGGGCCAGTTCATGCTGGCTATTTTCGATATCATTTGAGGGTTGCCAATATATATCACGCGGGAAAACGGGCCATTCCACTGCTCGCTGGTCAGTCCAGGTGTGAGAGCCTTGAGCGTGCGGAAACAGACTGTTTGAAACACATGGCCATATTGACGATTCCAAAGCAGCCACTGTATCTTCCGGTCAGATCGGAGACGCTATAGTCAGAGACAATGGCACACCTTGTCATACACGTCGTCGGCCATCGTTTGATCGAGATTGCCGAGCCAGAAGTTCGTGACTGGTGGCCCGGGGAACTGGCAACGAGCGTTGCGGTACCGGTATATAAAGCGTAAGAGGAGGGCGAGGACGGGGAGCAGGAGGGCAAACATGGCTCGGAGCATCGTGTACTCTGAAAACGAGAGGATCACAGCCATGATGAAGTGCACTGGGTCTTCAGTATAGAGGTCGAGTTCTGCACGCTTTATAACCTAGAATAACCTTGGCCTTCTTGCAGTAATGCAGTTTCCGTCGTCAGGTTATATACATATTAGAGCGCATTTCTTCCATCCCATCCTCTGCTGCCCTGGTCAGGCCGCGAGGGGGTTGATTGGCGGCCTTGAGCACTGGGGCCTCGGGATGTTGCAGTCACACAAGCTGTTGTTGGCTCTATTGGGCCTGTCTTGTCTTGCCTGAGAGTCCAGTGTGTTTGTTCATAGATGTCTGGCATTTGTCGCTACACTCAATGAGTATGTCGACGAGTTCTTCTCATCTCTGGCATGCACAGCCCTGTCTCACCTCTGTCCCTCGGTCTATATCGCCGCCGGAAACGAGAAAAGAAACGTTGCACGGCTATGGGAACCTGATTCTGGACGCCTTGTCTTCTCCCAGGTCGGATGCTTTCTGGACTGTCTGTCAGTGCTTCACCATGGTTACTGAATCGGATCTTTTAAGGCGCCGCCACGAGCCTTTGTTGGAATGTTTGATGGGATTGAGCCCATGGGTTTGAGTCGACAATTGAAAGGGTCAACGTCGTAGTATTGTTTGAGGAAGGAAAGCGTTGCACCGGATGAGAGGAAATTTTGAGAGGCTGGTGCTAAAGATCATATAGCTAGAGTGGTTATCTGTTGCCCTCGTAGTATTTAACAGGTCTTGTAGATGACTTAGACAGGACCAGTTTTTTCTGTATATCAATGGAGAGAGAACCATAGAGGGGAGCAAATTATATCTATCCTAGTGATTTAATAGGATTTTTTAGAGTAAAAGAGAAGGGATTCTATAGCTTTATAAGCCAATGTCAATCCTTTCTGCAGCCTCCATCTAAATTATAACTTTACTTCTATTATGATAGATTTTAGAAAGACTAATAATCCTCATGGTTTTTTAACTTAGACTATCATATTCTATAGGAAGACATGACAATCACCTCTATACAGTGACTTGGAGGTGTATAAGCTACCCTAGAGTATACAAGGACCTCTTATTTATTCACGCCTAGGCTACTTAAATATCAGTTCTAAGTCTGCTAGGCATCATAGAAGTGAATACTGGTTTAGGGAATTAGAACTTGATACACCCTACTTATATAGCTCCTATCACTAAGCATATTATGATGAATAGTCACTACTTTTGCAATGCCAAGTGGATTCAATCATAGCCAGGCTATGACTTCAATTTCCATCTAACCATACAAGCAACCAGAAGCACGCAAACCAACATGGCAGCCCAAGACTTGCCTGTGGTCGGCGGCTGCCGGTCCCTGATCGTACATGGCACAAAGTCCAGCACGATGCCTGTGCCCGCCATGCGACAGATACTGTCTGCCATCCGATCCGAAAACCACGGGAGAATATAGCGTGCAAGAAGCCGTCGAGACAGTCCATCCATGGTCTGCAGCCGGGTTGCCTGGCGGGAGAACTTATTGATCCTCACCAGACGGGGGGCCAGCGATCGCTGGAAATCATCCAAGGCGGCCGTGATTTCGTGTGTGGCCGGCTTCTCGTGTGCATTCACCAACGCTCGCAGGGCATTTGTTAATCCTGCAGCTGACTCAATGGACATCTGGGCGCCCTGGCCGATATTGGGCGTCATCTAGTCAGATGTATTAGAAGTAGGAAGTAAACCTTTAGGGGCAAGTGGCACACCTTGCTTATACTGTCGCCAATACAGACGATACGGCCGTGATGCCAGGTCTTGAATAGGTTTTCCTCCAAAGCCACCATACTGCAGGTCCGTCGGCGTGTCCATAGATCACCGAACCTGACGTCTTCCCAGATCGGAGAGGCGGCCAGTGACTCCCCCATGGCGAGCTTCTGCTCGGAGGAGAAGCGTGGAATATCAGGATACGTGTATTTCCGATCCATCTTCTTGACCACACACCAGTAGACGTCGCCCCCGCCGCCTGGAAATACCAGAATCACGTAGAGGTTGTTGCTGCGGAAGATGTTCTGGAACCCTTTGGTTGCTGGTGTCCCGCTGGAGATGCCGAACAGACCGCAGTATTCCGCATAGAGGCCTATACAGACGTACAGACATGTTAGTGACGCTTCGGGGGACTACACGTTGAAATCTTCACCTGCTTTCTCCTCCTCCGTCACCAGCCCGGCTGCCATCCGCCACATCTCGGACCGCACAGTGCTGTTCACCCCGTCGGCGCCGACCACCAGGTCGCCGCAGTAGATACTCCCGTCGCTGGTCTTGACCGAGACATCATCCTGGGTGGATTCGATGCTCACCACTCTCTTCTCGACATGCACGCGGCTTTTGTCTTTCAATCTTGAGTAGATGACTTCCAGGAACTGTCTTCGCTCGACACTTAAAAGGGGCAGTTGAAAGCTGCAAAATACTCGGTAAGAAGAAACAAAAAGAAGAGAGAGATCATACCGCTGATTCACTACTGTCGGAGCACGATTGCAGTATTGAAATCCATCAGGGAACATAAAATGAGCCAACTCGTAGCGTTGTCCGATTGTCCTCAGATGATCGAGTACTCCCAGCTGCTCCAGGACACGGGCCCCGTTGGGCATGATGACCAGGGAAGCGCCTACTTGGGGATGCACCTGGTGGTGCTTTTCAAGAACAACATAATCAATCCCTGCCAGGTCCAGGCAGTGCGCCAGGGTTAGTCCAGTGACAGAGCCTCCTATGATAATCACTTTAAATGGCATTTCCTTATTTTTCACTGTAGAATATGAGTTAGGGAGAAGGGAAATACTCTAGCTCAAATGTTTAGCAGCTTTGCATTTAGTTTAATGTTAACCTATAGACTTAGCATATAAGAGCCTCTGCAATGGCGGTGTGCCTTTGAACAATATAGCTTTATGTTGTGCTACCAAGACTAGTGACTATACAGTAGTATAGTATTATTATATAGCTCTCATATATTATTCTAAGCTCTTCATATTCAGTCCACTACCTAATATAAAAGTGCTAATATAGATTTAGCTATATATGTACAAACATCTGCTTAGACAGCAAGTGCAGCTGGATCAGTGAGATGGATGTTTCTATTGATTTCAATATTAGGACTTCTATATAAAGAGTAGTCAGTTTTGTATAGAATGCTTAGTGCTTATGTCTCTTCCAGTACACTCTTGGCACGGGGCGCCTTACCTGCTGTACTGCTAAGCTGCCGATCAATCCACCTGAGCTGATTCTCGTTGGTACTTAATCAAGAGCCTTGGGCTTACAGAGACAGACTACACTGTCCCAAAAAGCCGTTATAATCAGTCTCAATGAATGCTTTGGAACAATTATTCTATGGATTCCCCAAGCCGGCTCCGCATAAGCGCAGTAAGCCCCTGCAGGTGCTGTGCCTGGGCTTGCCACGCACCGGGACCGAGTCGTTAAGTGTGGCCCTGCGAACGCTGGGTCTGGATACATATCACGGCTGGGACCTGTTCTTCGAGCCCGACGGCGGCAAGCTGCAACATTGCCGGGAGCTGGTGCGGAGGAAATACCACGGCGCCCGCGACGGCGAGGTGCAGATCAGCAGCGCCGAGTTTGATGTTCTCCTCGGCGACAACCAGGCCGTGATTGACTCCTTACCGACGCTGTTCGCCCCGGAGCTGGTTGCCGCCTACCCAGACGCCAAAGTGATCCTCAACCTGCGCCGCGATATAGACGCCTGGCACCGCAGTATCGACAAGACCCTCGTCCAGACCGTCGACCAATCCTGGCTGCTGTGGGTGATACGCTGGTTCTCTGCAGAGTTCTTTTGGATCTATAGTCTGTATCTGGGCTATGGATTCCCGACTGTGTTTCGCAGCGTCACGGGCACCACGACAGATGGGATCCGGCGGAACGGGAAATGGGTCTATCGCGACCACTGCAACATGGTCCGTGGGATGGTGCCCAAGGAGAAACTGCTGGAGTGGTCTGTCGAGGATGGCTGGGAGCCTCTGTGCAAGGTATGCTCCAATTCCTTATACTCAAAGTCGATGCTGATGAGCAGTTTCTTGACAAACCCGTCCCCGATGAGCCCTTCCCCCGAACCAACACCCCGAGCAACTTTACGGGCTCTATAGATCGGCGCATCAATCAGTACTTCTTCCGAGCTCTACAAAATATGGTCCTGACCGCAGCTACCGTGGGCGGGATAACCGCCGTGGCTGTGATGTGGTGGCAGGACAGACTGGATGGTTTCTCAGTCACCAAGTTGATCTAGAAGATGGTGTAGTATTAAAGTATATACTCTGGAGAATATTAGAATATTGAAAATATAGAACCATAGACTCAGGGTTCATCTGTAGCTTGAAGCTCTTAATAGTCACTTGAACTGCTCGAGGTTGATGGTCAATAGATTAGAGGCTGATATCACTTCATCTATACCAAGAGGCTGGCTACAATTCAAGCTAGAGCTTAAGATGATTACTTGGTTATATTTCTATGTATAAGACCATCACTATGATCATATTATATTAAGAATCTCTTAGGTCTAAATGTATTAAATTATAAGCTGTATCAATTTGTCTTGCATAGTGTCATAATGACAGGCATATAGAAAGGTTCTAGAATTATCTTCTTAAAGAATATCACCTAGGAATAAGAAATCTCTCTGCTTTATAATATAATCCTATCCTAACCCTTCTCTTCTAGCCATTTCTTAATTCTTTTACTACCATGCGCGATTGTTGTATCTGCTGCGGCCTGCGTGTAGCCGACCAGCCTTCCTGGTTGGAGACATTCCGTGTGCGTATGTTGTTCCTGGTCCAGTTAGAGGGAGATTTACCTTGTCCTTATTAATCAAGGTAGTCTATTCCACGCCTGAGGGCGCCTGTCTGTCGGACATTGGACGTGGCAACTGGCGAGGGCTCAGCTATCCAGCCCCTGTCCACGATGGCCAGACGATTCACACTCGAGACTTCTTCTGGGAAGTGCAAGACAGCACGAAGACGGTCGTGCTCCTCCATGCCGGCTGCTGGACGCTTCTTTGTCAACATTTGGCCGATGCAGAGGTCCCTCTTTGCCTCGACCATCTGATGGAGATGTGTATACTGGCGCCTCCGCCAGACTGGGGTCTGATCTCCAGATGGCATCTCTCATATTAGATCTATAAGACTAAACATGGACAGACTCTCTCGATCCCCAGATCTTTGACAATCCCCCGGATCCATCCATCGTACCAACGATCCAACAGCTCACCCAGTCAGACACAGATCTCCCGTGTCTCGCGCGACCAGGCCATGCGGACTGTTTCAGTGTGCTGCCCCGGGAGATCATCGAGATGGTCCTCACACGGTTACTGGCGGTGGATGTGTTCCATCTGCGGCTTGCATCACGCACCCTGGGGAGCATCTTCTGGAGCCAGACCTTCTGGAAGAGCCGGTTCGCCGTGGATGGGGAGCGTGGCTTTCTCCACTCGGCGACAGCGAGGAAGAGTGCCGGCCAGATCAATTGGCGGCTGCTCTATCGCTGCACGAGTCCCTCGCGACTCTACGGCTCCTCCCTGTGGAACTGCAAACGCATCTGGGAGGTGAGCAGATGGTTCATTGTGACCCTGTCGATGGCGCGCAGAATCCCTGCAGCCCAGGCGTCGCCCGATGCCTTCCACTGGACCAACGTCCAGGGAGACGACCGCGATGGGGATCCCTGGAATTGTGTGCCTCTGGGGACCTACTTTGGCCTCCCTGTCGCCACGTACCGGATCGAGATCCCGCCAGATCTGGTGAGCATCACCGTCACCGTGATCAGGGAGAAGGATGTGACCTGGGTGACGGCTCTGCAGCTGTTGTCTGCCACCCATCCAGCAGTCTGTGTCGGGTACATTGCGCAGGCGCCCGAGATCCAACATTACACAGTCGCGCTTCCCTCTGCATCATCCTTCCAGGGCTTCGAGGTCGCTCTCAGCAGCGGTGGGATACGCGCTCTCCGCGTCTGCTCCCGCTCGACGGGCCTCTCGTCCTGGTTAGGGAATCCCATCGATGCCCGGGTGGCCCCCCAGCTGGAGCCCGTGTACCGGGCCTGTCTCACCCGCCGTCTGGTGTCCACAGGCGATATCGATGCTCTCCAGGTGACATGTAACGTGCGTTTTTCTCTTTCCCAGCGATGCGAGACTCGGCTGAATTGTAGATATTATACAGATGTATCGGGTTGTCGGCATCGGTATCGGGCAGCGAGATTCCTCACATCGCGTGGATTTCCGACAGCAGGCGCTCTGGCACCCGTGTGTTCCGGCCTCCAGCCTGTCTCTCAACGAAGACTCGTTTGAAGCCATTCCTGCCGCGCTGGGACCGGGCTATCACCCGCTGTACTGGGTGCTCTTTGGGGGGCCCGACGGACACGCCCTGCGCGAGCTGACCAGCCTTTCCTTCATGCTGTCCAGCCAGATTCCCTTTTACTATCTCCATGAGCCATGTCCACGGGTCGAGTTGCTCTTTGGGTATGAGCCGGTCTCCTCGCTGGGCGATTTGCCGCAAACGAGGGAGCGTCGGTCTCGACTCGCTGACGACCTCCCGGATCCCAAGTATGTCTTTCGCATTGATGGGCCTGGCGGCGAACGCATCGATGCTGTCTACGTCGCGGAGATGGCGGAAGGCAACAATAGACGGTACGCTGATGTCTGGGGGCCTCGCAGATACATGGTCTGTCACTACATGCTCTTGTTCCCAGCCACTGCTAACGGCCACATTCAGATCTCCACCAACCGTGGCCGCTTCTGCCGACTTGGACGACATCCAACCCGGTTTCGATCCCGGCAAGAGGCAGAAGCAAATGATGGCCTGTCGTTCACCAAGATCCAGACCACTCCGGGGACAACGATTGTTGGGTTTTATGCATTCAAGACCGCCGAGTGTTCTGTCTTACATCTAGGAGTGATCTCATCGTAGCAGGAACATAATTAGGGGATGCTAACACTCTACTGAATTTGTCAAGACAATGGTAGGGCATAATAGGGTTATTCATTCTGCAACATGAGGGCATCTAGCTGCGCCTTTGCTTCCATCAACTGACTCATAGAGCCCTCATACATCCGCCGCTTGTTCTCATATTTCCATCCACAGTGTTGATGAGAGCAATGTTTGATCTGTAGCCAGTGTAGATCGAGGCGACTCTCATTCCACTCCCAATCGGTCAATATATTTGTCCACAAATGGTCGACTGCCACCTCAAGAATCTTCAGTGAGGTTTTCCATGTTTCTCTGATGATTGGGTTTAGTCAATGTATGAAATCACGCAGACAGCAACACCGCCACACTGAGGTTGATAGGTGATAGACCACTAGCAATAAGAAAAGATAGTGAGATAGGGAGATTCCTTCTCGCCATGCTACTAGCATAGTAATTAATGAATTATCTAAGGATATCTAGTGGCAAAACTCAACTCCATCATATAATATCAGATGAGCTTAGTGGAATGGTGATAAATAAAGGCGAAGCTAAAGGGGAGTGGTCACACACCACTAGTCACCCCCTAATATATAATAAAATAATATTCACTTTATTTTAATATCTTAATTCCTGCCTTCTTCACTGGAAAGAAGTCCTGGAGCTTAAGGTATCAATACCTATTCACTATAGATAAATCTCTATTGAAATGATCAACATAGGATTCAGATGTCCTGATCAAGACCTACTCCAGTATTTAAACACGTTCAATTAGACAGCCTGGGGGCTCTACCCTCTATCTTTTCAACTATATAGACACTAGATAGTATAAGTCTAGTTCCACTCCAATGCATTTACTACGATCAAGTCGTATCCTTGATAGGTTCAGGTTAGCTGTGAAAGGCTATATAGCATAAATAACTAGTCAATAACTGTCAAAAAGACCATAATGACCTCTAGAAACCTGCAGCTATAATATCTATTATTAAATACTAGCTAAGTTACTTTAGGAGAATAAGATATTTAGATTCTAGAACACTATAGTGAGAAGTTATAAATGCCTAATGCCCCTAACTTTAGGAGAGTAATCTTTTCACTAATATTTAAAGAATCCCTTAGCATTGCACTTCCTCAAGTTGAAGCACAGAATAAATAAACAGTTATATAATTATAGCTATATTAGTCTAGTCTACTTACTAACTCTAGAATAACTCTCATCTCTAACATCTATATTCATCTATACTCATCGGCTAGCCACAACAACCAATCTTGGGATTGAAAGGCCGCTCCTTGTAAATACTCCCTATACGCCCTCTGAATCACCTGGTTAAATCTCTCTGCAGCATCCACCTTCCCCAGTTGTGTAAGTTTCGCCGCACACTCCTCCATCGTCAATAAAATGTAAGTTGTTAAACGCCCACACCAGCCATTCCATCGGCATGATGGAAGGTGGCCGACATTTTTGTTCAGGGGTTAGGTAGACAAGACTGTGAGGTTGGCTATAGTGAGTAGGAAGAGTGTAAAGAGTGGCAGAAGGATCAAGTGGTCTTAAATAGTATTGCTTAGCTGATAATCCTAATTAGGGCAGGATTCACTTTCAGACCAAAGAATCAGAGAAGCCACTGGCCTCATTCCATGTATTATGTACATGAGAGATTCCAAGCCCAAAGAGCAACTTGATCCCTTCAAGAAGGATATCTCAGGTTACACCAGCAGTGATGATAGTACCTATAGAGGTGTTATGTTAATTCAACTTGGTTCAATTTAGAGCACTAATCCTTAGTAGAAGAGCTATGATGAATAAGATAAACAATATGTCTTCGAAGCCAGACCCCTTTAGGCGTGAGGAGTGGAAATCATCTAGCAAGATTCACTGCCTCTTATCGCCAGAAGATTGGAATCCACTGATCATAATATTCTTCCTTTCCAAACTCCACTGCGAGCGGGTCCCTTTTTAGTAGATAAAACTCTGCTTCATCCCTCAGTCCTCTTGCTTGATCATCATCATATGAATCTTGTAGCAGTGCTTCAGATAGCTTGAAGAGCCCCCGCGCGTGCTCCGCGGGCATCATGTTGACATGAAACTTGGTGATATGGAGAGATTCACGTAAATGTTTACTGGAGTGTGAATGCCTATGAGTCAATGAAGGTTTTATAAAGTAATAAGAATAAGGGAAGTCCACATACACAGCTGCCTCCACCTTTCCCTGATCAAGACACACCACCCCCATTTTGTATAAGCATCCAGCGTTGAACGGATGCAATCTAGTCTGGTCTCCTCCGAGCCACAGATTCTGGGCCTCAATAAAGCTGGCCTCAGCTGCTTCGGGTCTATTTCTTCGCCGTTCAAGGATACCCAAGACGAAGTATGCGCTGTTGAAACAGATCAGCAACCGGTGGCTACTACCTATCTCTTGTAGGTTAATCCGAGAACTTACTAAGCCAGCATTGCCCAGTTGAGCGGTTTTTCTTGTCTGAACTCAGCAATTGCAATGTCGAGCAGCTCTTGCGCCTGGTCATATTGACCAAGATACACAAGACACCTGGCCGTATTCTTCTTTGTTAATGTTGGCCAATCCGTTCCGCTGCCCTCGCTGACATTCCAAGCAATCCATGTATTCTTCGACTTTTCAAGCCACGTCAAAGCCGTCTCATGATCATTGGCCGTGTTGTAGTTATAACCCAAGTTCTGTTCGAATCCACCTAGAAGCCCGCCTTTCAACGGCTTTTCTTTCAGTCGCATTTCATAGCCCTTGGTGTTGAGCTCAATGGCCTTTTGCACCTTCCCTGTACTCTCGTACATGCTGGCTTGGAGGGATAGCGTCCAGGCGGCAATATCTGTGGCCTTTTCTTCGTCCTCGAGTGCTTCTACAGCTAGCATAGTTACCCCACACACATCCTCAAGATCTTTGAGGGCGTTTATCTCGTAGAGATATCTGAATGGGTCACCAGGTTACTTTCAAATCAATACAGGATGTATAGGATGCCTCTCACCTCTGGCAATCCTTCAAAAGATCGCAGAATAGCGATGGCGCCTTGAAATTCTTCATGGCTCTCCGTTCTTCTTGGAACCTATCCACAAGACTGATTACATGTTGTAGGTAACGGTTACACTCAGCCCACTCCCGATATAGCTGGTTCTGATTCGTTTCATCTGACTGCTTGGGGAAAGCACGATGTACCAGCGCGGTTGCGTTTGCGAAAGCTTTCTGCCGTTCGTCAAGAGAAAGGAAATATCTAAACTGAGTCTGCACCATCCGATGACAAGAGAACAAGCGAGCATCCCTGTCACGTTTGATCAAGGCAAGGGTGAGGAGCGGCTCTATTGCCTCGGAGAATCTGCGCCAAAGTCACACCAAAGTCTGTTAAAAGATAAAAGGAACAGAGTCGAGCCGCTCATACCTAAACTCGTCGGTACAGAATTCCAGACCCTCTGGATGATTGCTGTCTTCAAAATCAAATAGTAGTTGTGGGATGTTTTCAGATACTAGGAACGACGCAATTCCTAGGAAGGCCTGGCTATCCTGTCCCAGAGCTGAGAATGAGAGATCCCACACAGCCTGTAGCTCAGACTGGTGAACGCGTCTGGGATTTTTCGAATAGATTCGCATGAACTCGGTGATGGACCAAGATCGGCGATGTATCAGGCCCGCCATATGCGAGATGGCCAAGGCATGGCCGCTCAGTCTCTGGGAAAGTTCAATGGCCGAGTCCCCCTCCGCTTGGATATCACTACCAATATTGTGCTTCAACAGAAAGAGTAGAAACTGGGAACCCGTCTGGGCATCCCACGATGTTATTTCCAAACCGGAAGTGGCAGGCTCATATGCCAAGGAATGGTTGCGGGTGGTAATAATTGCCTTGCCATGACTTGCCTCGGGCCAATATGGCATCAATAGATCGGTGGACTCTACATTGTCGTAGACCACTAGCCATCTACAGTCTTCCCATACGACGTTAAGCACAGGCAGAACATCCTCGATCAGTAGTGGAGTAACTTACCAGTCGACTGGAACCAATTCTGGACAAGGATCAGGTTCTCGTCGTGCAAGTTGGGTTGCGCTCCCTGTAACTTGAGGCGCATTGCGATATCGGTGAAGCTCTGTCGCAAAGACGCCGTCTTCTCACCATAGACCCAAAACACGGCGTCGTATTCGTCCTCCTCTATCTTCTTCTCAATGTATCTCGCTGCAATCGAGCTCTTGCCAATTCCACCTAGACCAAACAGAGCTATGGATCGGAAAGATGTATCAGTTCTCACCCGCCCTAGGACCCGGTCTATCTTCTCAAACGTCTCGACTCTGTCAAAAAACCGAGCGGTCTTTTTGCTTGGTAGTATCATGCAACGCACTGGCCGGACGGCTGGATCTGAGGAGCCGTGGCGACCCAAGCCGGAGGGGGACACGGCAATCAGCTTTTCAACGCGGGCGATGGTTTCAAGAAGCTCCTGGTTTGTAGAGGTGAATTGACGCTGAAGCAGGAGCCATGGATCCTCCTGTTGTTGATAAGTGTAGCGTTTATCTTCCTCACCACGCATAGACTTGACCGCGCCGGTGAAGAATTCCACTAGCTGAACCTGAATATCAAAGCATGCTTCTTTGATTTGTTCGCGATTATCCTTGCAGACAGCATAGTAGCTAATGAAGGCCTCTGCTTTATATCCCAGAGACTTCAACATCCGTGGTATTTTTGAAAGCGCCTGCGGATCTTGGGCAGTGAGCTATTGTGTTGTGAGTAAAAGAAGTAGTAAATACGGGCAATCCCATGCTCACCTCGAGAAGAACGCCAATGATGCCCCAAAAATAATCCGCTTGGAGACCTGGGGCCAGTTGGGTCTCAAATATCCGGGTAAATCTATGGAGGTGGCCGAGCGTCGGTCTAATCAAAGCAATCTCATGCGGACCAGTCCTCGCCGATTCCCCTCCCCACACATGTTTCTGGATCGAATCCCAAGACGTGATCGACTGTACCTGGACCAAGTCATCTGGCTCTAGTGATTTCTCACACTGCTCGATGGTTGCTTTCCATTGACGGTGAAAGAAGAGTTCCCTAGTGAGAAGTGTTATATTAATAAGGTAGGGAAGGATAATCAATAGGAGTTAGTAACCTACAGGTCTGAGGAGTCCATCGTGATGTGAGGAAAGTAAAAGAAAAATACAGCCTGACTTCTCAACAAGTTTAAAGGAGGGGTTTTTATACATGCATCACACGGTGTAACAAAGCAGGGAATACCGTGACATTACTACCTATCCAGGTTGTGTACCCCGCCCTCTATCTCTACCTTCCTAGCCTCCTGAAGGGTATGCCTATCTGATATATTATTGAGCCATGGTCGAGGCAGTCAAGGTTGAATACATTGGATGGGAGGATGACTTTCGATATGCCGAGGAGAAACAGCGGATCACAGAGCACATTCAAAAGATTGCAGCAGACAACGGCTTTACTCATGCCTGTGTGCAGTACGTCCATCCCAGGATCTGCTCTAGTCAATGGAGCAGAGATAGCTAACGAACCCCTTTCTGCAACGCAGAGACATGATTATGAGATACCGCTATCGATCCCAAGGACCCTGGATGGACGTACATTTCAGGCGAGCAGAATGGATCACAGACAGGCTGGAGAAGTATGTGTTTACAAGACTGTGGTTTAATGAGGATGGAGATCTCGAAAAGGGCCCCGAGCTCTTTGAGGTGGAAAGGGGTGGAATCTGAACTTGTCATACCATTCCAGTAGCCCTCTTAGAAGTCACTCTCAAATAACACCCCGCGTAAGCCAGTACGGAGTAAGACCGATGGCTGCCTAACTTCCAGCCAGCTACAGCCAACACATTAAAGCGAGAATTTCTCGACAGCGCAAATGTTCATATTGAATGTGTTTTGGTCCATATCCATAGAGGCCTCATGTCTTCACGAACCTACGCTCCTTCCCCGTCGACATTTACCGAGGATCCCGATCGATACCGAAAAAACGCCCTTCATCCTGTTACCATCGGGGATCTGTTTGAATGCGGGAGATACAGGATTGTCCATAAGTTGGGGTCAGGAAGTTTCGGCACCGTCTGGCTCGGCAGGGATAGAACGGAAAACAGATATGTCTCTCTGAAGATCTTGTCTGCCGACATCCCTCCTGACTGTAAAGAGCTTCGGATCCTACAGGAAATCACCGAGTCCACGGTGAACCACAAAGGGCGAGAATTTGTCCTTCAGCTTCTGGACCATTTTACCATCTGCGGCCCCAATGGCCATCATCTGTGTATTGTGGCCCCTGTGGCAGGAGACCGTTTGGCGAGAAAGCCCGGGTTGCCGTATAATTCGCTGGAGTGGCCTCGTATGATCGGTCTCCAGGTTGCAGAGGCCTTGGGGTATCTTCACATTTTGGGCATTGCGCATGGAGGTGAATCTTGATCCCATTCAGGAGGCTCCATATCCTATCCCATGAGAGAATACGGGCTCACTTGGGATGCAGATTGTTACACTTCCAATATTCTCTCCCAGCTTCTCCCGTTTGACGATTGGACCGAAGGAGAGCTCTATGATGTGTTGGGACCGCCCATCAAGCACCCAGTGCGTCGCTTGGACGGGGGGCCAAGGGGAAACAATGCTCCCGCGTACACAGTCGACCCGGCTGATATCGCAGCCCTGGAAGCTCGTTTACACACGGACCGGATTCTGCTCATCGATTTCGGAGCTGCGTTCTATCACCACGAACGCCCCGATCGGATCTACACGCCAGCTCCGTTTGCATCGCCCGAGATCGTCTTCGGCGGCGAGCTCACCTCCGCGGTCGATCAATGGGCATTCGGGTGCCTTCTGTACGAACTGTGTGCCGACCGCAGTCTTGTCAAATTGCTCTTCGGATGGAACAACGACGCGATGAAGGACCAGGTGGCCATGCTGGGGAAGCCTCCCGAGGCCCTCTGGCAGAACTGGGAGAGGAGGGACAAGTACTTCCATCCCAACGGAGCGCCCAAGGAAGCCCAAGGCAGGCGCCTGAAGGTCCGCCCACTCCCCCTGAAGCAACGGGTACGAAATCTGGAGAAGCCTCTCGGCGAACGCTGCTACGGAACAGGAGATGAAGCGCCACTTGCACCAGATCTCCAGAGCTTATATGACCTTCTGAAGAGAATCCTCATCTACGATGCCCGTTCTCGCCTCTCGTTTGAAGCAGTCAAGGCTCATCCGTTCTTCCGAGCACAAGGTTCTACTTGGTAGTGCACCCTAATGTGGCATTCAAGATATTTCGTTTATGCCATACTTACTTCTGTAATAAGTATGTAATCTCAATACGCCTTGCTGGAAACGGTCCTGGACGTGGGGACCGGTTTGACCCTGAGCTCTGATGGCATGATTCATCCACAACTGCATGTTTGCTACATGTTTGCTCCGAACAACAAGGCATCCAATAGAAGAACCCAGGCCTGCTCAATATCAGGCCACTCCAGTCAAATAGCAAACACCCGGTACCTCCAATGAGAGCAAAAGTTGAGTTTCTAGGCCGGCCCTCGGCAGTAGACTTCAAAGCCTTTACGTCTATTTCTAATAAGAAACGCTGGTATCAAGACATACTCTGAATACTGCTACTTAAGGTCGTACTGAAATTCCTAATCTTCCCAAGTTCCCAAGAGCTTTGTCAAATCCTCGGTTTCCACCTACACGCTAGTGCGAGAGCTGAGGGAGTTAGTTGATTCCATCAAACTGCATGTTGCCCCCTCTTAGCGACACTCACTTGGCAGAGCGCAAAGGCTTGGGTTTCTCCTTGGACAAGTCAACTTCGGCTCGAGGCTCGAGGGCAAGGGTCCCGTGCTGACTGTTCCCTTGCTTTGCGGAATTCATAGCGGCATCGATCTCATCTTTCATGGTGATAGACCCTGTCTTAGGAGTCGAGTTCATCAGGGCTGTGTGCCACTCCTGCCAAGGCTGGACGAGGTTGGTGATGGTAGTTTCCGCCGACATCTCTTCAGGATTCTGGTTCGTAATGGGATAGATCGTGGAGCGGTTGTGCGGTCTAAATAACCAAGTATATATAGGCCCTGGAAAGGTTAGGCCTTTCAATCTAGTCGAGCAGGTCATGTTTGTCAAACGGACCCTTGCTGAGGCTTACAGGGAATATACGAGCTGAAATGAGGGGGTTGTCCTTCAGCGCGTCCAAGCATAACTATAGAGTAGTATCTTACGGAAGAAACCATGCCTAGAGAAATCAATTCTTCGACTTCCATCAGCCAGTGCCGCCAATATGGAAACCTCTATCCCATATCTAGCCCAAGACCCCATTTTCAATGTCGAGAAACCGTTTGATACCGATGTGCCCGTTGATCACATTCCCGGCGCACGCGCCTCGAACCACCGGAACGATGAGAGGGATTTGAAGGTATATCCCATCACTGACCCTGACGAATGGGACCTCGACAGACATGGCTTCTGCTTCATCAGGGCAAAAACGGGATTGAACGCCGAGGATGCGTTGACGAGAAAGAAGGAAGTGCAGAAGGATTACTGGTATGAGATTGAAGCCATCCTGCACGAAAGGTTTCCACAATACTCGAGAATTGAATCCTATGATTGTACGGTACGGCCTCACTTTTGCTTTTTTTTTTTTTTTTGCCTCTGAGTCTCTCCCACTGGGATTCGCCTCTAATGCAAGCAAATGAGGTCTAGGTGCGAAAAAGGGACCCAGATTTCCCTGCAAATATCAGGCTCTATACCAAGGTCGAGCAGCCAGCACGAAGGCCACACAGTGATTGTTCCCCCAGGGGTGCGCACATGAACCTCCAGCGTGCTTTCCCCGGGCAGGAGAGGTTTTGGGAGGGGAAAGACTTTGATATTCTAAAGTACAGTCCCGCCCAGTTTTGCAAGTACAAGCTTGACTTCTTCCACTAATGCTGAACCAGCGTTTGGCGACCGCTCCGCGGTCCAAGCAATGACTGGCCCCTAGCGGTGTGTGACTGGAGAACCATCGACCCTTCCGTCGACGTGCGCATCAACGATGCCATTAGACGGGATCGAGTCGATGAGAACGCCATCCTGCACTTCAGTGCCAACCACAGGTGGTATTTCATGAAGGATCAATCAGTAGAGGATCTGATTGTCTTCCGTAATGCTGATTCTTTTGGGAAGCGTGCTCGTAAGTTTTGATGCGTGCGTGTCGGGCGATGGACATTATGCTAAACCTTTTTCAAGAGGGATTTCACTGTTCGGTTTTCAACCCAGAGTCGAATGGGCAGCCAAGGGAGAGTGTTGAGGTCAGGTGTGTAGCATTCCGCTGAAGCAGACCATCAATGAATGCCACAGGATATCCATAGTTCCCTATTGATAACCCTCCCCTCGTAAATCACTACATGGCTGAGTAGTATGTCTGCACTATACCGATAGCGATCTGAACCACACTCAAGAGAGTTGAAATGCCACCCAACCAGAGTACAGCCCAGAAGGTATACCACTGCAGAGGATTCCTCCTATCTCGCCACAGATCTCTGACTCGACTCGGCTGCTGCTTCAGATTGTACTGCTGGACCACCAAGAGCCGATGTCCAAAATGGGGGAAGTCGTTTCTGGCGGAGTAGGTATCGGGCTCGACGGGCGAGGTGTGAAGATCGATGTTGGACATGGGCAACAGCTCGACTGGGAAGCTGGACTTGGCGCAGCGGCGGAGAAACCTGGACTGCGTGCCCGAGGCGCTGCAAATGGTGTGGAGAAACGGGTCTATCTCTCCGGACGATTTCTCAAGTTGCTCGAGTAGCTTGAAGGCTAGCTTACGGGAACGTGAAGACTGGCCGAAGAGCAGGCGGTATGAGAGGAGGACTTCACGGTGAAGAGATGCGGCCTCGTTGGATGGACTGTCGGTATAATATCTGGAGGGAAGAATCTCAGAAAAGGCCCTGGCGGGAGAGGTTAGGGAACTACTATTTGCCTTTGCCCAAAAATGGAGGATCTGGAAAGGGGCTCACTGAGAGAGAACCTGGAGTGGGCGTGTCTGTAGAATGTTGCTCGCGCAGAAGGTCGGCAAACAGAAGACTGAAAGTGTTCGGGACTGTCGATCGAAGGCAAGATGAGATGCTAGATCGTCAACCCACTCCACCCTCACCCGGCCGATCGTATATAGCGAGTAAATGTTGACACTTGATTCATAAAGGATGTCCATCTCCGTGGCCCAATCTGCCCCAACATCGCCCCCCAATGCACCCCTCAGGGCACGGAATACCTTCTTGATGGGCCTCCTGGCAGATTGTCGGAGGGTGACCGGGGGAGATTCTCCTGATGCGAGGAGAAGTGGGTGTCGGTCATCTCCAGCGTTCAAGCCTGGGTGTATTGTCATCGATGTCCAGCACAGGACTGCAAATATCGCAACAAGCGCGCAGTCCTTCTCAAACACGCTGAATTCGGCCGGATTGCCTCCTTGGACCAGGTGATGGTAGACCGTCTCCATACTCACCTGTTCGTCCCCTTGCAGGCCCTGAAATCCCCGGAGCACCGCGAGGCACCAGTGCCAGCCCTCGAGGGCATTGGTTGGCCTCTCTCGCTTGAGGATCTTCCAGACGATTCCGAACCGGTCCTGCAGCAAAATCTCAAAGTTCCTTTCCATATGACGGCATACATTGTGTATTCCAGGCCATTGCTGTGCATGTGGGGTTCCAAGCCCAAAGAGCAACTCGATCGCTTCAAGATGGATATCCAAGGTCGCACCGGCAGTGACAACGGTACCAGGCTTCATCAAATGCATAGGAAATAGTAGCTGGGAGAACCTTAGTGGATAGCCTCGCTGCAGATATGTCGGCCTGTCTCTCTTTGGAGAGGACTGTTGACCACGTCGAGCTTCAGCCTCCGAGTCAGATGCCATGCCGAGAAGAGGGCAGAATATCACTCTGAATGGCGTAGGGAAGCGTGGCGGGAAAGGGCTTTTTTAACTTGCCCATTCCAGAGAAATTTAGACCAGGCTGAGCAGGCAATCCGCCCGATGCCTTACTGGCCAGACTTATCCAAGGCTGGCATTTGGTCTATTTTCAAAAGTTTGAGATTTCAAAACAAGCTGGAACATCTCAGCCTGGGTCTCTTGGCTTGCTTGCTAGAGGGGCGGCCCCTGCTGTGATTAGTTATAACAAAGAAACACAGCATGATCCTAGTAATACCTGATAATACATTCCAGCGAGCTGCCCTTTGGCGATACCGCAGTTGTAGTAGTCGTAATTTATAAAAACATATAAGCCCGCCGTCTTGCCCTCTTTCATCTATCTTCCCAAGAATTAGCCTTCATACCATCTCCACCATGCCCTACACCCCGCCTCTCGGTGCCCCCATCCATCAGCTCGTCATCAAGCCGGTCTTCGATACTCTGGCGCCACGGGAGAAGTTCTATGCTCATTATTGTGCACGGGCAGCATGGCACGGAAGCAGAATCATTATGCGACAGGTGTCGCCGGAGAGCCCGGGCATCTTTGACTTCATCATGGACCTATATCACGCTTGCGATGGAAAATGGGACACCCTGGTCACCGACTACAGTATTACCCCAGAAGAGCTGGAAGGCTTTCTGGAGTATGCCGCCATGTTTCTTTGCAACCTGGGAAACTTCTATGTAGGTTTGAAAACTTGGTACCTAATATACTGTTTGAGAAGCGCTGACTCTGTCTGTAATCAGGGTGAAGGAGACCAGAAGTTCGTCCCCAACCTGACTGCCGACGCCCTGCAGAGGATCGCAGGCATCTCTCCAACGGCACAAGAGCGCCTGGACGAGATCATCGGTCCGCTACTTGCAGTCCCGCCATTCAACCTCGGGTATCCGAGCAAAAGCGCACAGTCAGCCTATTATCTTGGATCCATGGCCCAGGAAGAGATTGCCCTGGTGTCCGAGGCAATGAGCAAGCACTCCGTCGGGCCAGAGAACACCCGTGTTCAAAAGCTGATCAAGGAGGGTAAACCGGTCTATCACGTACTGCAGGCGTCTGCAGAGACTGGCGCGCCGGCGAACGGCCTCTACGAGCTGGCAAACAACATGTTTCTCATCAGAGGCGACCACTCGGTGGAACTGTCCATGGTCTGCTCGAATCTGGCACGGGCATTGAAATACGCAAGCAACCACAGGCAGACACGGTTCTTGGAGGCGTACATTGAATCCTTCCGGACTGGCAGCCAAGAAGCCTACCAGGAGTCACAGAAGGCATGGGTGATGGATGTCTCTGCCCGGGTAGAGAACATGATCGGCTTCATCGAGAGCTATCGCGATCCGGCTGGAATCAGGTCGGAGTGGGAAGCAATGATCGGCATTGCCGACCCGGACGAGACGGCGAGACTGAAGCGCTTTGTCGAACGGTCGACGTGCTTCATCCGACAACTCCCATGGGCAGTCGATGGCGTCAATGATGGCAAAGGCCCGTTTGAGAAGACTCTGTTTGAAGCGCCCGATTTCACCAGCGTCCACGGTGAGATGGGCGATTCTGCGGCCAGTAGAAGCACCTGCTGACTTTCCCAGCGCTCGCTGTATGTGGCAGTGTCGTCTTTGAAGCTGCCAATCTCCCCAACGTAAGCTTGAAGGGATGAATCCCGTTGAATGATGATGAATCTGACCACTTCGTCAGTATGAATACATCCGAGAAACCTGCGGCTTCAAGAATATCGTCCTCGCAAATCGGCTGTGCGTCAACCACAACCCCAGGCTATCAATGCCCTGGATCACGCCCTCTGAGTTGATGCACTTCCAAAAGAGCACACATCTTGTGCGATTCCTCACCACCGCCATCCACGAGCTGATCGGCCATGGGACTGGGATACTCCTGAGCGAAACCGCCCCGGGCATCTACAACTTTGACGAGCAAAGCCCGCCGCTCAGTCCGCTGAGCGGGAGTCCAGTGGCTTCGCACTATGCCCTGGGCCAGACTTGGACGAGTGTTTTTGGCCATCTGGCAGGAACAGTGGAAGAATGCCGAGCCATCCTGGTCTCGGAATATCTCATGGATAACAAGGAGTTGCTCTCTATTTTCGGGTATACAGATGCCAGTGAGGTCACGGTGGACGACCGTAAGTCTTTCTACAGCTGGTGAAATTGAATCTACTAACCAACCCCGATGCCAGTCCTGTATACCACATACCTCAATATTGGCGTCGATGGCCTTCAAGCTCTGGAACATTACAGCTTTGAAAGCAAATCTTGGGGCCAGGTTCACCACCAGGTAGTTTCTTTGCCTTTCATTGCCTTTCATTAATTGAGTACTGACAGCAACAGGCTCACTTCTCCATCATGAAACACCTACTCCAAGATGGCGGTGGCGTCATCCACATCTCTCAGGACCTCGATTCCTCCTCTCTCACCGTCCACGTCGACCGGAGCAAAATCGCTTCTCACGGGAAACCCTCCTTGGGCCGCTACCTCTGCCGCCTCCACATATGGCGCTGCACCGCCGACTTTGCCGCCTGTCGGGACTTCTACGAGCCCTTGTGCGCTGTCGAGGGGCTCTACGAACAGTGGCGGCAGATTGTGTGCTCGAAACCGAGGCCAAGATGGAAGTTTGTTCAGCCCAACACGTTTGTGGACGGGGATACTGTCGAGGTCAAGGTTTACGAGGAGAGTAACAGGGGCATCATTCAGTCGTGGGCAGAAAGGGATATCTAAAGGGTTCAAGTCTTCATATGCATACTAAGTGAAGAGTACGCCTGCCTGGAACTTGGTGTGCAAATGCCCAGGTAAGACAAAAATGAGTCTATTTTAGGCAGAAAGGAGGGCTCGATCTTATACACGGTGAACGGAGTGTACCTACCTCAGATAAACAACTCAACTGCACCTAGGACTGGTAATAAAAAGATACTTAGAGCAATCAACGCAATCTACGGCCAAGTATAAAAAAACATGCAACAGTAGGGATTCGCTGGTGGTCACCCACCCAACTACTAACCTACCGGCGTGTGGCTTAAGTACGGCTGAGCGGACGGGAAGCCCTGTTTTCCACACCCTGTGGTCGCATGTATTTGAAATTTATAAATAAAGAACTATATAGTAAATACTGTACTGGGTAGGTTTTATATGAAATGAACTGATAGCATGCCTCTGTGAGATAGTTGAAGAAGAATAGTATATTCAATTTAATATTACCAAGAAATGAGGTTGTAATATCCCCTATTACCGGGCAAGGTATTATTGTTGTAGATAGATACTAGGGCCTGTAATATATATATATACACATAGTAGACCTATCTAGCAATATATATAATGTAGAGTACCTCAATCAAACGATGCAAAGTAGCATCGCATAGTTATATACAAGGAGACGGCCAGGAGCTCACCCAAGCGGACGTGTAGATTATATGGGCTGTCAGAACGAGTAGAAACGCCATATCAGCATTCCAATATACCAGGGGATTTGTGTGGTATAGAAACATCACACCCAGAGGAGCATCTCTACCTCTATCTAGACTATACGTCATAGTGAGGACTTTGGTAGACGTACCAAGAACTACTGCAAATTCTCGCTACAAGGCCAACATCTTTGTATTTTCTGAGATATATGAAACTACTTATTCTATTACAATAGATATAAACCAATTAACAATGTTCAGCGCGTTTGGGATGAGTGCCACCACTAGTGAATATGAGTATCGAGACATCAACCATCTCACTGCGATGCAGGATCGAGAACTGGGATGTTTTGCAGCTGATCGCACACGAAGTCCATACATCATCTTTCTCAAAGTACCTGCTAAAATCCTTCAAGCTCCTCTAATTCCATTTGAATCCTATTTTTTACACGATCAAGTCCTCATCATCAAAATGGAGAGTCGCGCACACGCTACCGCAAATGAAGAATTCGCTCAGTTGTTCAACAAGAAGCTTGAAGAAATGGGCGGCCTTGATGAAAAGCTACGCAAGTTGGGAACAGCTCATTTTGAGGGCCACGAGCGGCTAAAGAGAGCCGATAAAACTTATTTACCAAAGAGGCTCCCCAAAGGCCGATCAAGACAATGGCCTACTCTCATTCTTGAAGTTGGTTATTCAGCGTCGCGCCAGAAACTAACAAATGATGTCCAGTGGTGGCAGTCTGAGTCACAGGGGGATGTACAGATCATCCTGACAGTCGATATCAACCAGAAACGCAGGGAGATTATATTTGAGAAATGGGCGTCTACAGGTCAAGAAAGCATCTATCGTACAGTGATCTCCAAGGACACCAGCCAGACTTCTATCCGTGCCACCAACCAAGACCCTCTTATCATTGACTTTAACGGTTTATTTCTTCGAGACCCAGATGGGCCCATAGAGGGAGATATCTTGTTTCGTCTGGATGATCTAAAGAAGCTGGCAGCTAGCATATGGGAGGAGCAATTCGAAGAATAGACCAGGTGGAACAGTGTAACAGGATTTATGGTTTCTAGCTAAATACCGGTAATAATAAGCTATTTCTATTCCTAAGACTTCTCACTGCTGCTGTTCATACTGTGTTTAACTTTATAGAAATCTTTTAAAGCTGAGTATATTTCATATTTGACGAGGCCTAGTTGTCTTGCTTCGGTATGTCCAGATGATTCTATACAAAGAATGACAGTACAACCATAGGGACTAGAATCCAAAGACAGCCATTGTCTCTAGATGAGCCCTCCACACCGCCACTGGATCGTTCGTCTCTTGTCTTTCCATGGCATCTCCCACCCAGCCTTCCTTATTGACACCATATAGATACGGCTTCTCATCGGCGTAGCAATCTGTCTCTGTCCCTTCAGGCACTGTACCATGAAGAAGATAGGCGCTGGCAATGGAGTCTGTGCAGGTAGAGATATCCCTGGAACTATGGCCGTAGCCATGATGCACGACGAGCCTAGCGTTGGAGCCCATTTCGTTCAACAGCCGCCGCCCGTTGCGCAACGGGGTGGCCGGATCATACGTCTCGGCAATCAGTAGGATGGGATGGGACAGCGTATGGTTGAGATGGCCGCGATACAGCTCTGCCGGTTGCCAGTAGGTGCCAAAGTGGCGGCAGGGGAAGACGTTGTAGAAGCGCGAGTTGCCGGAGATCCATGACTTGGAGGTCATGTTGTCCCAGAGACCGGCCCACCAGTCCAGATGCTGCGCTTCGGCCCATTCAGGGGCATCGGCGCTGTCGGCGCAGACAACGAGGTCGCCGAGCTCATCGGTGCTTGGGGGCATTGGCGATGTAGAACACGAAGGGTCGCGGGGGTCATATTCCCAGGACTCAATGAAATGCGCGGCGAGAGTGGAATTGCCGTCCTCGAGCTCCGAGAGCATCTGGGCGAGAGCCGGCCAGCTCATCGGATTATACATGGCGCCGTAGATGGCGCCGACAAGGGCCGAGTACCTGATGATGGACGGCCCAGTTGTCGGGGTATAGCCGGGGATGGGACGGTCAAGCAGGGAAGACACCAGGCCTCGCATCCGGGCGTCGAGATCAGCCAGTTGGACGGCGGGGCGTGTTGTAGGGGCGCCCGCCCCCGGCTTAGGCGTCGCCAGGGCGCAATGCTCCGGCCCGGCATTCAGGCACTCCCCAAGGAACCCATCGTGCCAGGCGTCGGTGACGTTGTCCAGGGCCGTGTAGCCAAAGCCCCCGACATGGCGATGGTCGCGCACATACTCGGTCCCATCCAGGACCAAGCGGCCCACGCTCCCGGGGAACATGCTTGCCCACGTCTGGCCGATGCCGGTGCCGTAACTCACAAAGTAGCCCGTCAGTTCTGCTTCCCCCAGGGCGGTGCGGATCGCCTCGACGTCTCTCGCGACAAACGTCGTGCTGAGGAAACGGCCGAGATCGCCCAGCTGCGCCGCGCAGGCCTGGAAGATGGCCTCATTCAGCGCGTCCGCCAGCGCGAGGTGGCCCGCGGCGGCCCCCTCGCGGTACTGCCCGCGCAGCAGGGCCCAGCGGTCCCGGTCGGCGTCGAAGGGGAAGCACGCCGCCCGGGGCAGGGAGGCGTTGACGCCCCGGGGGTCCCAGCCCAGCACGTCGTACTCCCAGCGGGTGAAGCGCTGCGAGAACTCGTCCGCGGCCTTCCAGACCAGCGACGTGCCGCTGCCCCCGGGGCCGCCGGGGTTCACCACCAGCGTGCGCTCGCTCTTGCCGCCCCCGGGGCCCGCCACCTGGAACTTGGTCACGGCCAGACGGGCGATGCGGGCGTCCGAGGCGTTGGTGTAGTCCAGCGGGACGTCCAGATACCCGCACAGGTAAACGCCGGTACCGGCCGGGCCCCCCCGGCGCCAGGTCTCTACGTCCGGGCTGAACAGGGCCGCCCAGCTGGTATGTGGGCTGGGGTCATCCAGCGCCGGGGGGAGCGTCGTATCCGTACAGGGGATGAAGCGGAAGGGGTCGTCGGGCTTAGGGAAGAGCCCGTAGGGGGGGAGATCGGGGTGTTCATGGGGGTGGCATGAGGGTCGAAAGAGGTTGGAATTGAATATGTGGCTCAGACCGAGGAGGCAGATCAAAGCAACTGCAACAGGCACAGACAACCTGCTGGTGCGCCGGGATGGCGGCTGCGAGGCTGCGATCAGTTCCTTCATGGTGGTGCTGATGGAGGTTGTTGAGAGAAACAAGAGGAAGAAGATAAGCAGGCAGCAATTATTGCTATCTCCGGGTCTAATTGGTTAAGCGGGTAGCGCAGCCTGGAGTCAGCATCTGTCAGTCTAGTGTCTGTAGAGATATCTCTAAATTTATTCAGCAATTTTATGAATGATTCACTATACTCAAGTTAAATTACATCTTAAAATCAAGTATAAAAAGGCCACTAATCAAAAAAACAAGTCCACTCCAGACCATCATCTGCTCCATTCCACACACAGTCGTCTCCTTTGACATGGATATTATGGAATTTGATGGAATGCACTTTGCCTTCCACAGGGAGGAGGCATTTGTGTTTGTATGTGTCGTAGATCTCGTCGACTTGGTCGTCAAGAGACTGTGGCTCGCCGTTGGCATCAAGCCAGGTGTATGTGACCTCTCCGGTACTCATGTCGCTGCTGTGTGCCACATCACCACTTGGTCCCCTCCGGACATGCTGCAGCTGGATGTCGGAGTACATCGAGTGCGCATCGTAGTCGGTCTTGAGGGTGACTTTGTACTCCCAGCCCCTGCGACCTTGCTTGATCTTGCTGTCGTGTGCAGGCATTTTGTTTAGATTTTCAGAAGATTTCGTAGACTATTTCAAGTAGACTAGGAGTGAAAGTGTGTCATTTTGTAATTATCTATTGCTGCAGTCTAATACTCAAACATGATTATGATGCTATGGTTACGTACACTTCCTTATGTTTTATGGAAGATACTCTACATTTTAGCTTAGAACTTATAGGGATAGGCTATTATTTTGAATTCACAGTGGGTCTAATATCATGAGATAGCATCATCCTGACATTTAACCAGTAGACTTGCTTTATTATGAATTGACAAGACAGAAAGTTAATATAGAGTTAAGCCACTGAGCCTATTACTTTTAATATTATTTTCAAACATCTTCACCTCTTCCCCTGTACTCTATTTCATTGATTGAAAATATTCTCAAGTCCATTATTCACCACTATGACAGGACGCATCAGCGAGGCTATTCAGCAGGACCACAACGAGATCGAGGCTTGCTTCGAGAAGATCGTCCACTCGTCCAGCAGAGACGAACAGACCCGATTCCAGACTCTCTTCACATGGGAACTGGCCCGCCACCTGGTCGGCGAGGAAATCGTCGTCTTCCCAGCGTTGGAGAAGCATCTTCCAGACGGCCGGTCCATGGCAGACACCAACCGCAAGCACCACCACCACGTATGTATCGACTTTTATATATGAATTCTATCCATCAGGACTGAACCCCTCCTATACAGATCAAAGAGCAGTTGAAGCAGTTCCAGAGCATGAGTGCATCAAATGTCGACTTTCTCCGCACGCTCGATTCTCTGATGACCACCACCTTGCTGCCACACATGAGAGAAGAAGAGGCCAACGACTTGTCCAAGCTGGAGGATGTGCTGTCCCATCACGACAGCCTCAAGCTCGCCAAAGCCTTCAGCCGGACAAAGATCTTTGCCCCCTCACGCTCGCATCCCCATGTGCCAGACAAGCCTCCCTTTGAGACGGTTGTCGGCCTCTTGGCGGCGCCCATCGATCAGCTGGCTGATTTGTTCCGCAAATGGCCCCATGAAGGCCAACCAGGATGAGGAGAGCGCAAATTGATTCTGATATCTAGTAGTCTATTTTAATATATTTTTCTATCAAAAAGCTCACTATGACAAGAGAAAGGAAGGTAACATTCTAATAGATAATATAGTCACATTAGCAAATAGAGGTATCTTAGAAAAAAATTCAAACCTAGCCAGTCAAGCAAAGACTATATGAATGGTAATTTCTGCCAAGTGTAAGTATAAGTTACCTTAAGCTTATGTCTTCTTGTAGCCATCAAGTATACCATTTATATGTTAGGCAGTCTAGACTATTTACAGTTCTGAAACCATGAAGGGTCATAGACCTCTCCTGCCCCCATTCGATATAAAGGGAGAGTGCTTACATTCCAAATTTGGTTAGGTGTGTGAAACTAAAAATAAATCAAATTCCCAACCTCCATGTTATGATGCCATTACCACCACCACACAGCATGGCGCGTCGCTTCAAGATAATCTCCACGGCTACAAGCATATTCCGGCCAGCAAGTCTTTCTTCTTCAAAGCTTCATTACCATCCAGTTAGGCAGCTGGGATTTTCTCTCCCTTTCTCAACATCAATGTCGACCAGACACGAGGACAAGTACAACTGGATCGAAGGCGTGGAGTCGCTTGACAAGTACACGCCAGGAGGCTACCATCCTATAATGATTGGGGATTTACTGCATGGCCGATACCGTGTAGTAGACAAATTAGGCTTTGGAGGATATTCAACTGTCTGGCTTGCTCAGGATACCAGCTCGGGGAGCAGCTATGTTGCCGTCAAAATTGGCATAGCAGACTCATCACAAGCCGAGATTAGAACTTTACGGGTGCTTTCGTCACCTCCCGGTTGCAACTTGATTTCCATTCCTCTCGATGAATTCGAGCTTCATGGTCCTAATGGCACGCATCCATGCTATACGACGCTCCCAGCGCGATGTAACCTCAGGGAAATCTCCTTTAGTCGCCTCTTCCCTCTTGAGGTTGCCCGAGCACTTGTCGGTGGAATCACAACTGCTATTGCCTATACACATTCGCGAGGCTATATTCATGGAGGTTTGTCATGATAACCCCGGATTCCTGTGTCTTTTTGATTGGACTGATTTATGGTATAAAAACTAAGATGCCCATCTTCGAAACATACTGGTAAAGCTTCCGTCAAGCTTCAACCAACTCTCCATCGAAGAATTTTATGAGGAGTACGGCGAGCCTGAATCAATCCCTGTCACTCGATGTAATGGGGAATCACTTCCGTCGAATGTCCCAGCAGTAGCGGTGCTGCCTCTTTCTCTTGGAAAAAAGGCAGAGGAGTTTACCCTGTCCGATGCGCAGATACTCCTCAGTGATTGGGGAGAGGCATTCCCTCCAGCCTTAGAAGAACGTCGTGGAAAGGACTGTCATACACCACTTTCAGTACGCCCTCCTGAAGCTCGCTTTGAACCAGAGGCTCTACTGTCTTTTTCTGCAGATATCTGGACTTTGGCAACGACAGTCTGGGAGATACTCGGCATGAAGGCGATTTTCAGCAGTGAGTTTATGACTGCAGAGGAGCTAGTAGCCCAGCAAGTTGACTTGCTGGGGTTGCTGCCTCCGGCTTGGTGGCAAAATTGGGATGCGAAAGACCAGTTCTTCCATGAGAATGGGCAGCCGAAGGAGGGCCGCTATGTGTGGCCTCGGATGGATAAGGCGTTTGAAGAAGGCGTACAGGAATATCGACAGAAGCGTCAAATGGGCGAATTCAGCATGGAGGAAACAACCGCCATACTGGACTTGATGCGCCGGATGTTGACATTCCAGCCAGATAAACGACCCACGGCAGAAGAGGTCTTGAACTCGGAATGGATGGTCAGATGGGTATTGCCTGACCATGAGAGGAGTTTGCAGGAATGTCAAAGAGCCAGCAAACAGAGATGGTGAATAGGTGGAATAGAATACTGATTTCTGGCGCGAAGTGTTCCTTCTCCTTCTACTCAGTAACAACAGCGCGTCTCTCTCCAGCTATTAGAGGCAGCTGGAGTATAGATAGAAGATTTTTTCATTCAGTAGCTATGATTATTGTAGGGCGTCTCGTCATACTCTGTTTGAAGTTCTACCAGACCACCTTTTTGAAATCCTCCGGAACTTCCCATCCATGCGCAAGGCAGGCCCGGATGTACGCCTGCACAGCCTCTCCAACCGAGTAATCAATGCCCTCGCCCTGTCGTCCGCGACGGCGCCCTTTCGTGGCCAGCAGCCTCGCAGGCTGGGGATCCGTGCTGGTCAGCGCCAGCCGCACCTGCAGCAGGACGCTCTCGATGCTCATGGTGGGCATCCAGCCCGTGCTGGTGAGGAGCTCCATGCACATGGCGCCTCCGGCGGTGACGTGGCCGCCTCCCCCGGCGTGGAACTCGAGGAAGCGCGGCCGCACGACGCGCACAAAGGGCGGCGACATGGGGAACCGTGGCGGAAACCGTAGCTCCAGGACGATGCTGTTCACCTTCTTCGACTGCATGTCTTGGCCTAGGGGTGTCGAAAGGTCGAAGCTGTGCAGCTCCACGATCCACTGGTACACCGTGCTGATCAGCGCCGGGTCGACGTACCAGCCCAACTCGTGCGGAGGCGTGCTCTTCTGCACCTTCAGCGTGGTCTTCAGATGCTGCTGAAGGGCCTTGGTTGCCGGGGTGGTTGCGTATTCGGGCGGCTCGAGCAGCGTCAGCGACGACTGCGCCAACGTGCCGGGCTGGAAGGGGCTGGTCGGCGGCGCAGAAGACGAGCTGGACACCTTCTGTCTCTTGCTCGTTTTTGACTCGCTTTCGCTATCGGTCTCCTCTTTCTCTTTCTCTTTCCCTTTTCCTTCATCTTTCTGGTCGGCCTCCGCATCCTCCGTGTCCGAAAGGAGGATCTCAAGGTCTTGAGGATCCATCACCACGCTGTCGTCGGAATCATTGTCGTTCTCTGCCTTGATGTTGTCATTCTCTTCCTTGATCTCCTCCGTCTCGGTTGGTTTACGCTTGCGCTTGCGGCTGGTGTTGCTTTTCTTGGACTTCTTCTTGGACTTTGCCTCCTCGATGCCCAGGCGACGACTGCGACTTATCGCCGAGATGGGGATCTCGATGCTCTTGTCGTCCGGGCCAGAGGCCACATACAGCGGATCCTGTGCGTAGACTACCGCCGGCTTGGCTGTAGTGGGTGCGGTAGGAGTGCTGGACTTACCGGTTCCAGGCGGCGCGCAGTTGACGAACAAGTATCGTGGCTGGATCCAATCGAGCTTATCGACGACAAAGTGCGGAGAGGTGGAAACAAACTGGCTGACTGCGTTGACCACCTCGTTGAGGGAGACGGCGCTTTGCACGTGCAGCCGGCTCTGCGGCCACTGTCGGGCATCCAGGCACAACGTTGTGTATCCCAGGGAAACCTTGAACCACCGCGACAGGTAGACGCCGTCGCCGAAGCTGCGCCCGTTGGCCACCGTCTTGTACCACAGGCCCTGGCGCAGGATGGAATGCCAGCTGGACAGCGGGGAGCCGTGCCAGGCAAACAGCGTCGGGTGGGCTGGGTTCTCGCTCAGGGCGGTTGCAGCCACGAACCGCTGCTCCTTGTCCGGGGCACCCTGCGCCAGCCGGAACTGCATCCAGCCCGCCATGCCGGAGACGAGGTGGTCCGCGTCGTTGACGGTGGTATCCTGCATGATGCAGGACCGGTTCGAGGCCACGATCCAGCGAAGCACGTCCACTGCCGCGCGCGGGATGCGGTTTCTCCAACCCGAGAGAGTGCTTGAGGGATTGGTGCCGCAAGTGAGATAGTCCTTCATCGTGTTCACGCTCGGGATGGTGTCCAGCAGGGCCACGATGGCAGCGTGTTTCTTCTTCTTGCTCAGATCGTCGAAGTTTTCCTCAAAGGCGGAAACCGTCACGGCTATCGTACCGAGGTTATCTTCGACAGGCATACCCTTGTGGAGAGGGTGGCTCAGCTGCACGACATCCCCGGCGTCCACATCGATGGATTCCACACGGTAATGCCGGTGATCGACGCCGCCGTTGAGGAGCAGCCAGTCCCCGACGCTAAAGGTCGGTTTCTTTTCGAGACGAAGCTCTCGTTTGTCGGCATCCAACTGGCCCTTGACGAGGCTCTTGACATAGTCCTTGGTCGTGCTGGGTGGCACGATGTTCGGGACACGCAGGCCCAGGCCATTGGGCAGATCCTCCAGACGACCAGACACGGCGGCGGAGTAGGTCAAGCTAACCAGCAGGTCGACCACGTTGGGCTGCGAGACGATCTCGTCCTCGATTCTGGGTCCCATCCCCAGATTCATGTACTGGTACAGACATAACTCGTTGGAGCAGACGTACGGCTTGAGAGCTTCGAAGGCGTCGTACGTGCGGCAATGGCAGACCAGACAAAACTCGGTACATTTGACAACATGGCGGAGGAGGAATTGCATCCCCACGAGGGGCAGAGAGGCCTCGAATCTCTTTTCGGCCAGGTGGTCGACGTCGGAAAAGGGGACACCGTCGGCGGTCATCCATCTGTCTTCCTCAAAGTAGTCCTGGCTGGCTGTATTCTGGACGTCGACAATCTTGCCCTGGCTGCGGTTGATGTACATCTCAGCGCCTGTCCAGGTGAAGCCATACGTTAGGCGTGAGGTGACAATACGTAGAAAACGGTCGTTGAAAAGGGATTGCAGGGGGGTCCCAATGAAGAGAGTACGGAGAGCACGACTGGGATCAGTGTCTTCCTCTGCGAATTTGATTTTGGGATCAAACACTTTGAGAGCAGACTGTAGACTCGGCTTGTACGAGTCACAGAGCCCAGCGTATATCTGGACGAAGGACTTTGCGTCGCCGCCAGTATCGTTGACAATCTGTTCCAGGCTCAGGTAGAAAAGCGGGTATCTTATCAGACAGACCAGGAATTCTGATGAAGAAAGACCCCACGCCTGCATGGCCTCTTCCGAGATGCCGAGACGAGAGACTCGACACGAGATGGAGATGATGACGGACTCTGGCAAGGCGCCCAGATAGCCGACCTTGAGACCCGCTGCTTTGACTTCACGCAGGTCCTGCCGGATCTTCTTGCGCAGTTGGTCTTTATCAGAGGCTGGGAAGGAAATAGCAGGAAAGTCAGAGTCCCAGTCAGGTTCTTCCTCTTCCTCCTCCTCCTCCTCCTCCTCCTCCTCCTCCTCCTCTTCCTCTTCGTCTTTCTCCTTGTTTTCGTCTTCATCTCGATCCTCAGAACTGCTGGTCCGGCTGCTTTCCAGGCTCTTGTCACTGCTAGCCATCTCGCTCTTCTGGGGGGAAGAAGAGGAGGATCCAGAGCTGCTGCCCTGGCCAGAGAGCACGCCGTCGATCGTCTTGCTGACGGTGGTCAGCAGTTCTTGGATCGAGCAGCCAGTGTAGAGAGACTGCCGGTCTTCCAGAGCGCTGGTTATGGAGACGGGCGCGTTTTCAGAGGTCGAAAAGACGAGGAAATTGTGGTTGTCGGGATAATCGGAGGGATCTATCGTCTCAGTTGGTTCCTATTCACCAGTCAAAAGATCGACGTTATCGACTTACCAGATACAACAGCCTGAAGGTCTAGAACGAGCTCCGAAACAGCGACCGGCGCCGTGTAAGTGAAGAGAATCGAGCCGTCGTCTTCGCCGGGCTTGACGTTGCTCAACCGGGGAAACGAGCGGGGAAGACCAGCCTGCGAGATGGCACGGATCAGGTCTTTGCGAGGCATTTTGAGAGAAGATGACTCAAGGAAACGCTATTAGTGGTAGGAGAGTCAAGAGGAGGAAAGGGAGAGGGGCGAGAGAGGGAGAGGGAGAGGGAGAGGGAGAGGGAGAGGGAGAGGGAGAGTTGGGGAGGAGGAGGGGAGAGGGGGGAGAAAAGAAAAAGAGGAAGAGAAGAAAAGTTCAGGCAAGGAATGGCTGGCACCGATGACAATGACATTGACTGACATCAAAGACACTGAATTGAAGAGCATTTCAGTGAATGTGTCTGTCTAAAGCCATTGTTTACAAGATCAACAGATAGAATAAGACATACGATAGTGAGATTAGGGATGGTATGAACACAAATTAGGAGGCATAAAACAGAAAAGAATAACTTATTGCAGATTGAATTGTATAAAAAGATACAATATATAATTTAATAATAAGAAAAAAAATGAAACATATAAAAAAAAGACGTCCCCGGGAAGGCTCGAACTTCCAACCTCTCGATGGACTGCATAACAGTCGAACGCGCTAACCTATTGCGCCACGGAGACGAGATGACAGGAGATGCAGAATCAGCTATATAATGTTTTCTGATTTGAATTGAGTCTTGACTTGTGTCTATTACTCGTAGGCTGTTGTCTGAGATGAATGACTATATACATTATATACATCTATACATTGTCTATCCTAGCTATACTCTCCTGCTAAGTCATAGGTATACTAAGATACCTATAGTATGGCTTGTGACTTCGAATCCGCTTGACCTAGTATCCCACATCCACGGTCAGATATATATAGATGACGAGGTATTTGGTCAGATCGACTCACCCAGATAATGCAGCCTGTAAAACTCTGCGGCGGCATCCCCGGCTCTCCGCCCGAACACCACACATTCCAACAGCGACGACCCTCCCAGGCGGTTCTGGCCATGGATGCCCCCCGTGATCTCGCCGGCGGCCCAGAGACCGTGAATAGGGGTGCCCGCGGCGTCGAGCACGGCGGCGTGGTCGTCGATGGCCACGCCGCCCATGGTGAAGTGCACCACGGGCGTCACGCTGCCGACGTACAGCGTTGTGTCGGGCGTGAGCTGGCGGAGCGTCCAGTGGCCGTGGGCGGTGCGCCCGTGCGGGTCGGCGAGGACGCCCGCCACGACGTCCGCGTACGTCTGGATGCTGTCTTGGGTGGTTGCGTCGAGGTCCTCTGCCTTGACGGCGCGCATTAATCCCTTCCATTTGTAGAAGCCCATGTGCGAGGCTGTCGCGGCGGCAGTGCCCTCGTCCATCACCAGCGTCACATCCCATTGTTTGGTGGCGTCGTCGCTGTCGTTCTCCGTCGCGGGGGTGGCCATGATCTGGTTCGAGATGTATTCTCTCGTCTGCAGCTCGTTGACAAACCGGCTGCCGTTTAATAGGAGGATGCCTCCCTCGCCGCGCAGCATCTCCGCCGCCAGAATCTTGCCCCGTGCCGTTCGATCTGTCGGATCGATGAATCCAGTCGGGTGGACCTGTACGCGGTCTAGATCCAGCACTCCCGCCCCAATCTCTTGTAGCAGAGGCAACGCGCCCGGGCGGGCTTCGTTCGTCGACGGCAGTCCTGCCAGGTCGGGTCGGTACTTTGCCAACAGGCCGTGCGAGTCGCCTGCGAACCCGCCAGCGGCGAAGACGAGAGGTCCGTTGAGTGTTTCCGTCTTTGGTTCCGAATCTGCTCCATTGTCCACCGTGTACTCCACTCCCATCACCTCGTCGGCCTCCCTCTTCACCCTTGTCACGGTCGCCCCGGTCTGCAGCGTGAACAGCGGGTCTGCGTTCAGTCGCTCGAGCAACGTGCTCACAATCGCCGCGCCGGGCGGTTTGCCCGGCCCGCGATGGGTGCGCGGGTGGCTGTGTCCACCCAACTGGGCGACAGTCGACAGATCGACGCCGATAGTATCGGTGAGCCAGTACAGCGCCGAAGAAGAGGATTCCGTCAGGGTTGTGATCAGGGTGTCGCGACGGGTGCGTTCGTCTCCCGTGGCGTTCGCCAGGGGCAGACCGGCGGAGAGGACGGTGTCGGCGAGAAAGGCGTCGTCTAAACCCGACTCATTATCGCCGAACGATGGCTGGAATCGGGTCGGGGCCGCGTTGATTCCAGAGGAGGCCTTGATCGAGTTGCCGCCTGGTTTGGCGGCGCGGTCGAGCAGTCGCACCGGCAGCTGGTGGGCGAGCAGCTGGGCGGCGGCAGACAGGCCGGCCAGCCCTGAGCCGACGACGATAATCGGGGTTGAAAGAGCCATTAAATGAGGAGAGAAGAGAGACGAGAAAGAACAGAGGGAATTGGGAGAAGAGAGAAGAGAGGGAGAAGAGAGGAGGAGAAGAAGATGGTGGGGTGATGAGTGGGCTGATTGATGGTCAGGTGATGTAGACCAGACTATGTAGAATAACCATAATGATTATGGATTGATTAGAATAGATACGATAGTATATATAAGTATAGACATAGACAGAGGTAGATATAGATATACTATATAGACATGGATATACTCTATAATAGAGATTAGATACTGCATCTATATACTAGAAAGATAGACTATACTAGATAGCTATACTCCATACTAGAAATAGAATATAGACAGAATATAGATATAGATATATTATCTAATATAAATATAGATATAATATAGATATAATATAGATATAATATAGATAAATATAGAATACCTGTAGAATAGACATTATCTACTGTATCAGCTAGAGTAGTCTATTGATCATCTTCTTCCCTCAACTACCAAACCACTATATCAAATATAGTATTTCAATAATAGTAATAGCAATAGTATAGACTGTATTGTATGATACAGTAATGTACTCGTATTTCCATTACACTGCTTCATACTCCTATGGCGTGCTGGAATAACAAACAATATAAATAAGCGTCTCTCTTCTGTCTCTTCTGTCTCAGGCCTTCTTCTCCCCTCTCTTCTCTCTCTTCTGTCTCAGGCACTCCTTTTCCCTTCTCTCTCCCATCATGTTTGACATCCCTGAGCTCTACACCCGTCTGGGCACCTACCGGGCCTACCACCTGGCGGCTATTCTGTTGTAAGCATCATCAGCATCCTCTTCTATTGCTGTCTGACCAGCTAGTATCTCTGCCTTTCTGGCCGGCTACGACTCGGGCGTGGCAGGGGGCATCCTGACGTTCAAACCGTTCGAGAACGACTTCCACTACGGCAGCTCGCGCGAGAAATCGGTCGACTCGCTGACCGTCGGCCTGGAGCAGCTGGGCTCCTTTTGCGCGTCGATCGCCACCTACCCTCTGACCAACCGCTATGGCCGCAAGTACGTGCTGATCGGCTCGTCGGCCATCTTCGTGCTGGGCGCCATGCTGGAGACCATCAACACGGGCTCGCGCGGCGCCTGGTACACGGCGCGCATCATTGCCGGCATCGGCATGGGCGGCCAGAGCGTCGTCGTGCCCATGTACTCGGCGGAGATGACGCCCAAGGAGATCCGCGGCCGCTGCGGTTCCTTCTATCAATGGATGTACACCTGGGGGGTGTTTGCCGCGTACTGGGTCGACTACGGGGTGGAACGCAACGCGGCCATCGCAGCGACCAGCCGGGAATGGCAGATCCCCGTCGGCTTGCAGCTGGTGTCGGGCGGGATCCTGCTGCTGGGCACCTTCACGCTGCCCGAGTCCATCCGCTGGCTGCTCACCAAGGGCCGCACCGAGGAGGCGTGGAAGTCCATCGCCTGGATCCGCGGCGACGAGGGCGAACGCACGCTCGCCGAGTTCCGCGAGACGCAGCTGGGCATCCGCGCCGAGAGTGTCGAGCGCGAGAACTTCCAGCTGCGCGAGCTGTGGCAGCAGCCTGCCAACCGCCTGCGTCTGCTCGTCGGCGCCTCGCTGTTCGTCTTCCAGAACGCCACGGGCTCCTCCGCCCTCGCCGTGTTTGGGCCCGAATACTTTGAGCTCATCGTCGGGGACAACGAGCAGCGCGATCTCCTGCTGACGGGTCTGTTCGGCGCCGTCAAGGTCATCGCCTGCTCCTTCTTCATCTTCACCATGGCCGAACGCTTCGGTCGCCGCAGTCTCCTCGTCGGGGGGTCGCTCTTCATGGCCTCCTGCATGCTCATCACCACCTTGATTCTGAAACTGGGACCTCCTACTTCTTCCACCCATGTGTCGAATGCGGGTAGAGCCACCGTCGCCATGATCTACCTGAACATTATGGTATGAACTCATACAAGAGTAAAAGGAAAATGCTAATTCTCAGGCGTATAATTGTTCCTGGGGCCCTGTGCCATGGGCATACGTGCCCGAGATCTTCCCGACGCGCATCCGAGCCATCGGCCTGGCAACCAGCATGCTGGCCCACTGGGCGACCTCGTTCTGCTTCAGCTTCGCCAGCCCGTACATGATCGACAACATCGGCTCCAACACCTTCTTCATCTTCATGTCCTTTGACCTGCTGGCGGCCGTCTTCTGCTGGTTCTTCGTGCGCGAGACCCGCGGCAAGAACCTCGAGAACGCCACGGGCATCGAGTGGGAGGTCGCCGAGAAGGAACCCGGTCTCTCGGGCGGCTCGTCTCCTAATGACCCCGAGGCTGGTGAGAAGGTTCTGGTTGACTCGCAGGGGCACCAGGTGCAGATGGTTGCCGTGAGGGATACATATGGCTTTGGGGGGAAGGGGAGGATGTAACAGTCTAGTACATTTCTATAGTACATCTCTATACTATTCTATACCATTCTATACTATCTCTATTGTCTATATTACTAGTGTATAGTATAGTACTATGGCGACATCTGGGGTGCATATTTGCAAGGGCTTAACCGCTTGATTGGCTCGGCCGTCGAGTATCGGCTCTCGGCTCTCGACTCTCGATTGTATCAATTAGTGAATACTACAGTATACTCGGTAGTTACTATATATTATTGCTCAATGGCTGCACACCTAGACTACTCAGAGCTTGCGTTGATCGCGTCAGATGGAATGATAAGGCACAATAGATGCAACGTAGTTACTACTATACAGTATCAGGCATACCTGGTACCATATACAGACCGTCACAGTATTACTGCAATACTGAGAGATTAGATCAGAATAGAGGACATGGTGTGATTTATAGACTATCACTAGCACAATAGAAAGACTTCATATAGTGTCAGTCAGAAATTGAATCTTACTCGGTAGACCCACCAGCCATATTCTCTATTGAACTGTTGTATATAATAACCTCACCCCTGGCGGATCCATTATAACTACGCGGGCCCCCGCATTCCGCCCCGCCAATAGTGGATGCAGCCAAGCATAACAGGCCAGTGATAACTGGAGTCATGGCATTACTACATATAGCTAGCATGAGATGAAATAATATAGATACTCAGGGAAGATATTCGGCGAGGGAAGGCTCTCAAGGTGACAGTATGGCAGGCGTGGTATATTATGTAGTAACTTAGGTAGTTATAAGACCGACAGTAGTAGGTTGACCAGTGCGTAGAGAGAATGCCTAGTTCTTCCAGCTTGAGGCAGGCCTTGGTACTGATTAAGACAGATAAAAGGAATAAGTTATAACTAATAACATAGATCTAGGATTTAGTGAGATTATTAGATAATAATAGCTTTTATTATCTTTGGTGATGATAGAATAGCATTAAATTAGTACACACATTCAATTATAGTGCACTGGTAGGCGAGGCACAGTAAAGTAAGAATACTACAAAGTAGTACTTATTTATTACAGCTTATAGTAGGTACATAGATATATTGATTAGCTGTCGATGCCAGTTCTATAGATAGTAAGGGTTATGAAGAGAATTAAGGCAAGAAAGTAGAAAAAAGGAAGAAAGAAGTGAAAAGGAAGAAAAAAGAGTGTGTGGATGGATGGGTAGGAAAAAAAAGTCGCCCGACCAGGGATTCGAACCCTGAACTTTTCGGTTCCGACAATTGCATAAAAGCCGAACACGCTAACCAATTGCGTCAGCCGGGCTGGTTGATTTTCTACTCCATTTTGTAAATTATAAGTTAATCCAAATATATAAAATAGCGCATATCGGCGTTTGACCTCGGCTTTTGGTTTTTGATGGATGGATATTGCCATTCGTATCCTTGCTTGGTGGTATGGAAATAAGCAGTGATCTCAAGTTGGGCCACAGTTGCTCGGTCGGTGTTAGTAGTTCTACTACTAGAGTGTTATCTACGTAGAGAAGTAGATTGTTGATAAAATATTCACCCACTGTAGCAAGATACTTTATAATCAAGGCTGAAGGCTTGCTGGCAACAAGTAAATACTCAGTAGTTGGCCAAGTCCTAACTACTAGAGTGTGCTGATACCGTCGAATGATTCATTTCGATTATCCTAGACTAGAACATATGATGAGGCGGGGATAATCGTACAGCAGACACGGGTGAGACAATTAGACAACAATCACCAGGATGGCTGCCTTTCGGGTAAGCGGAATACGTACTCGATCCCAGCTGAATTCATCCAGGTTCCATCTCGGCAACATTCCGAGACCGGGGAACCTCTCCTGCGGTACACAGAGAGTAGTATACCGGTATGGAGCGGTAGTATGGGGTAGAGATAGTAAAACGCATTAATACCCTACTTAACAATCCACAGCTATACTCCCTGTAGAACTCTCATCCAGATCTCGTCCGGGGAACTGCTCATCCCACGGGGAGACCTCTCATCCGCGGGGTTACAGGGTTCCCCTCGAATACGAACGGGCAGCCCCTATCTGCAGTGGCCACCGCTAGTGACCGTACTCATCTCTTAGTATACTATTCTATGATCTTATTGCACTACTTTGTATATTCTTATATAAACACTTGCTATATACTACTATCCCTACTATCTGATACCAAGAATACTAAGAATACCAAGCATACCAAGCATACCAAGAATATGGCTTGGCTACTTTATCCTCAAGCTTGTCCATAAAGCGTGAATAAAACACCACCTGTGATTGGCCTCCCACAAAACTTAGCTCCAAGCCCCCAACCCCAGCTCCGCACCCCACAATCCCCCCACACACCCCGGAGGGTCTCCGATGCCGGAATTGGGCCGCCCCCCTGTTGATTCTTTTCCCGCTTATATTTTATTCCTGATCCTGATTTCTATTTCTTCCTGCTCGCCCTTTCTTTTCATTCTTCTTTTCTCAGCATATTGTTTTGATTTATCTTCCTGCAATAACCAGCAAAATGTACACCTCCATCGCCCGACGGCTGTACTACGCCATCCCGCCGTCGATCGCGGGATTCGCCTACGGATGGGAGAATGCGTCGATGAGCGGCATCCTGACCATGGACCAGTTCCTGGACTACTTCCACACGCCGTCAGCGTACCGCCAGGGTGCGATGACTGCGGCGTTGCTGGCGGGCGAATTCGGCGGATCCCTGTTGACGGGCTTCTTTGTTGCGGATCGGCTGGGCCGCCGCAAGACGATTCTTTCCTGTGTCCTGATTTATCTGATCGGACAGGCGATCATTGTTGCGTCGCAGAACCAGGCCATGTTCATTGCCGGTCGGGTGGTCAATGGCCTCGGTGCTGGTGGCTTATTCCAAACCATTTCTCTGTACTTTCCCCTTTTCTTCTTTTTCCTCTCTGATGAACAATGATCTCATTTTGCTTGTAGGTATACAGCTGAAATCACCCCCCCCTCGATCCGCGGCATGATGACATCGACAATGAGCACGGGTATTGCGACAGGCCTGCTGGTAGCGTACTGGATCCAATACGCTGCCCTGAACATCCAAGGCACGGCGGCGTGGCGGATGTGTTTTGCGCTGCAACTCATCCCCGGCGCGGCAGTGGGCACGATCATCTTCTTCCGCCCCGAATCGCCTCGCTGGCTGTTCCACCACGACCGCGCCGACGAAGCCCTGCAGGTGCTGGCGGATCTGCACGCCAACGGCGACACCACCGACCCGGCGGTGCAGGCGGAGTTCGAGGAGATCCGTGTCGTGGTCGAGCACGAGCGCGGCACCCCGCCGCCCTCGTACCTGGCGCTGCTGACGGAAAAGCAGTACCGGCGGCGCACGGCGCTGGCAATGGGCCTGCAGTTCATGCAGCAGATCAGCGGCGTCAACATCATCCTGTACTACGCCGCCAAGGTGTTTGCGCAGACGGGCCGCACAGGCACGTCGGCGGCGCTGCTGGCCAACGGCATCGAGTCCGCCCTGTTCCTTGTCGCCTCGTACTCGCTGACCATGCTGATGGACGTGTACGGCCGGCGCTTGCCGATCATCATCGGCCCGACGCTGATGGGCATCTGTATGATTGTCGTCGCGTCGATGCTCATCGCGTTTGGCTCGCCGCACTTCAACGCCACCACCCAGGCCGTCGAGTTCAACTTTGCCGACGTTGATGCCGGCAACACCGCCGTCGCCTTCATGTTCCTGTACATGATCGCCTTTGGCGCCCTCTTCTCCGCCCTCCCCTGGACCTACCAGAATGAGGTGTTTCCCCTCGCCGCCAGAGGCAGAGGGACCGCCCTCTCCACCTGCACCAACTGGTTCGTCAACTTCTGGCTGGGCCTGTACATGCCGGCTGCCCTCAACTCCGCCTCCTGGAAGCTCTACTATGTGTTTGGCGGCATCAACATCGCCATCTCCTTCGTCACCTTCCTCTTCTACCCGGAGACTTCCCAGCGTACCCTCGAGGAGCTCGATCTGCTCTTCACCCCAGACCGTCGGAAGCTCGTCTTCCTCGACCGCGACGCCTGCCGCAAGGGTTCCATGCTCGGTCATGGCCTCGAGGATGGCGTCCAGACTGCCAAGGAGCTCGAGGCTGCCTTGGCTATGGGTACCGTTGAGCAGAAGGAGGTTGTTTAACTGTTTCACTGTTAAACTTTTTAATTGTTTAATGAATCACTCCATATCACCATTTATCACCATTTATCTATCCATAAGATCTGGCATCAAAAAGAACAGGAATCAATAATCCCAAGAAACAGCAAAGCCGGGGTAGAACGCCGCCGCCGGCTTCCCGCTGTCTTTGTACTTGTAGTATTGCCACCAGGCGACCAGAAAATAGACGTAACTCTCCGCGTTGTCGGCCTTGAGGGCGGGATCGAGAGCGAGCATGTCTCTGAGAGCTGGTACGTTAGCTAGTCTGCCACTTGTCAAGATTTGGATTTCAAGCTACCTGAACTGCCATGATCGCGGATCATCAACCGCAGCGGGTCGAGATTGAGCTCCTTCGGATCGTAGCCCAGATTGCCCGTCACCAGATGGGCGATTTCATGGACCAGCGTCGCGCTCTCTGGCAGGATAAACTCGAGGCCCACGCCCGAGGTAGGATCGATGTACCCGTAATGACCCAGGGTGTCGACATGGCTCGAGTCCACAAACGCATCGGTACACAACGAGATGAAGTCCATGAACGGCGTGACGCTCTGCTGCTGCGTGCCACGCAGGTAATGCTGGCCTGGGACACCTATGTACGTTATCCCGAACGCTGATTCCGTGCCCTCGCAGAAAGATCCCCCCTCCGGCGCCTCCGTGAACATGTATCCCTTCTCGGCGGGCAGCCAGAAGGGTACCCTCCCCGCCAGCCAGGGGACCTGACTGTACACCTCGCCGATACTGTAGAAGGGCTGTCCCGTGCTGGCCTGCTCGCTCTCCGGCCGCTTCACCTTCTCTCCGGTCGAGTCCAGCGCAATGTCGGTCCACTGGCGCTGCTGCAGGAACTCGTCGCCGCAGTATACTCGGGGCTTGACGCGCATCTGGGGGTATCCACGGCCGCTGAGGAAGTTGTTTGCCAGAGAAATCGTAGCTTATCATTAGAAAAGTGGGAAAAAGGCAAGCAAGAAAGACGACAGGATGAGGACGTACTCTGGACTTTATTGAACAGGTTCTGGTCCACAGGCACCGCAACGCTATTGACATAGTGAAACTCGACGCCCAGGAAGGCCGTGAAGGACTTCTGGGCAACCAGATTGGTGCCCACGTTGAGAACAGCCTGCATGCCTGTGCTGTACAGCTCTTTGGCTTCAGCTTCCCATTTGTTCAGTCGTGCGTCCAGCCCGTAGCAGGTGGCAGGGACCTCCTCGGTGTAGACAATATCGAATTCAGACGCCTGGGTCCAGGAGAAGAGGAGCAGAAAGACGAAAAGGAGGCAGAAGCGTGCCATGGTTGATTATGGGGGTTGCAAGAGGTGAGAAGAGAGCAGAAGAGGCAGAAGAGAGGAAGAGAGGAAGAGAATAAGAGAGGAAGAGAGGAAGAGAGGAAGAAGAGGAGAGGAGGAGAGGTCCAGAGAGTGAACGAAATAGACAGAAGAACCAAACATATCAGAATAATAAAGTGAGAGCATCCAATGTGTTTGTTCTGTGTCGAGTTGAAGAATTTCTTGAGCAATTTTTCTCTCACTTCCTCTCCTCTTCTCCTCTTCTCCTCCCCTCTTTGGCTTCACCTCCTCTTCTCTTCTCCTCTCCTCCTCTCTTCTCTTCCCCATCTACTCTCTCCCTCTTCATCCATCTCTCGTCGATTCACCTTCCATCAAACCTTCATTCATCAAGAAGATCTAGCTTACAAGTCACGATGAAGGCCTTGCTGGCCGTGCTGGCCGTGCTGGCTCTCCTAACCCAGCGCGTCTACACAGCAGCTGTTTTTGCTCACTTCATGGTAGGATCAAGCCCTCAACTGCCAGCAGTTTCTTGTCTGTGTCTAATAGAACCAGGTGGGAAATACAGGAAACTACACCCGCTCCGACTGGGCCGACGATGTCTCCCAGGCTGTCGAAGCCCACATCGACGCGTTCGCCCTCAATATTGCCTACGGCGATCCGATCAACACCCAGATGCTGCCTATGGTGTTTGACGTGGCCGAGGAGAAGGGCTTCCATCTCTTCTTCTCCTTCGACTATGCCGGGAACGGTCCCTGGCCGCGGCAGAACGTCATCAACCTGCTGCTGGAGTACACTTCGCGTGGTGCGTACTACAAACACCAAGGCCAGCCGTTCGTCTCGACCTTTGAGGGTCCTGCGCAGGCGGCCGACTGGGAGACTATCAAGCAGATAGTCCCCTGTTTCTTCATGCCGGACTGGTCGTCGCTCGGAGCCAAGGCGGCATTGGAACAGGGCGCCGGGGTGGTCGACGGCTTGTTCAGCTGGGCGGCCTGGCCCTGGGGTCCCAACGACATGAACACCTACGTCGATGCCTCGTACCTGCAGTTCCTCAACCAGACGGGGACCGCCCTGCCGTACATGATGCCCGTCTCGCCGTGGTTCTACACCAACCTGCCCCAGTGGGAGAAGAACTGGCTGTGGCGCGGTGACGACCTGTGGTATACCCGCTGGCAAGAGGTCCTCTACATCCAACCTGAGTTTGTCGAGATCCTCACCTGGAACGACTACGGCGAGTCTCACTACATCGGGCCCCTGCGCGACAAGGCGATGACGGCCTTTGCCAAAGCCCCGTACAATTACGCCACCGACATGCCCCACGACGGCTGGCGGCTGTTTCTCCCCTTTGTCATTGACCTGTACAAGACGGGCACGGCGACCATCACCCGCGAGGGACTAACGGTTTGGTATCGTACGCAGCCCAAACTGACCTGCTTCGACGGCAACACGACGGGGAACACCGCGAGCCAGCTGCAGTTCGAGTACAAGGCGTCCGATATCGTCCAGGACAAGGTCTTCTACTCTGCCCTGCTGGCCGAGCCGGCCGACATCATCGTCACCGTCGGTGGATCCTCGCAGGCGGGCAGCTGGACCTCCAAACCGGACGACGGTATTGGAATCTACCATGGCAGCGTGCCTCTGGACGGCCGCACGGGCGACGTCGTCGTCACTCTCACCCGCAAGCACGTCGACCTGGCGAAAGTGACGGGGTCCGATATCTCCACCGACTGCGGCGCGGGATTCGAAAACTGGAACGCCTGGGTGGGGACCGCCGAGGCCACGGCGGACATCAAAGCCAGCCCGAAACTGCATCTCAAGGACCAGGTGTGCATCAAGGGCACCGCGGTCAACAACTTTGTCGGCCTGTGCGAGTTCACCTGCCAGTACGGCTACTGTCCGCTCGGCGCCTGCGTGTGTCTGGCCATGGGGAAGCAGCGCGAGGAAAAGAACGTCACCAACACCCCGGGCTTTCCCCTCGCGGGCGAGAGTCCCAGCTATCTCGGCCTGTGTGCCTACGCGTGCAATCACGGCTACTGTCCGCCCAACGCCTGCGGCCACGTCGAGGAACCGCTCATTGTCCCCAACGTGTCGGATTTCCTGCCCCCCGCCTGTATCGCCGGCACGGGCGACGGCAACCTCCAGGGACTCTGTGATTTCAGCTGCCACTACGGCTTCTGTCCCATCAACGCATGCAAGTGTACCAAGGAGGGTGCCCTGATTGATGCCCCCAAGACCACAGTCATAGACGTCAAGATCGCCAAGGGCGCCGATCCCTTCAAATATAACAGTCTGTGCAGCTTTGCCTGCCCGCGCGGATACTGTCCCACGGGGGCATGTTCCTCTGCGCAACCGCTGGCCACTGGACCCGGCGGCGTTGCCGTCCCTATCGACCCGAGCGTGTGGAGGGAACCGTCCCCCGTGATGAGCTGCGAACCCCCCTGCACGCTTATCCCGGCGCCTCTGGTCCTCCCCACGAATACCACCATCTCTTTTCCAGTGTGGTGGACGGACATCACGTACTCGACCTTGACAAACCGCACCCAGACTCGCTCCGGCACCACAGAGACCATCGAGGGGTACTCGGAAATCACGGTTCCAACGGCGATTTCCATTCCACCAGGTAAGGTTTTCCCTGTCTGCTGTCTTTCATCTGTCTTTCGTCTGTATTCTAAGGTTTCAAGTCACTACCACCGCGATTGAGGTATGGGAGATTATCATCACAGCTGGTCAGGGACCCGGTCCGATCTACATGACCCCCTCTGTGCGGCCGCCTCCTTTCTACATCACCTATACCCCGTAAGTCCCCTCCCCCCCCAAAACCAAGAGACTGAGGATCGCAGAGACTAAAGCTCGTTGTAGGACGTTTGGCGGCACCACCGAGATCGAATCCGCAACAACCAGCACTTACCCGGCGACGACGCACACGCACAACGGCCAGACGTGGGTTGAGACGGCCCGCACCGAGACACGCGGCGGCACAACCAGGGTCAAGGATGGCGTCACGTTGAAACCCTCGAGCAGCAAGGTGACACCTCCTCCACACCCGACCAAGTCAGGGCCGCCGGACTCGAAGGTCAACTCGCGCTCCTCAAGTTTCAAGAAGGGGGATCCTCCTGGGCCGAAGTGTACCTCTGCATGTGGGGGGCCATGTAAGCTGACCTTATACAAGTATCATCCTTATGAACGCTCTTCTGATGAGTCTAGGCTCCATGTTCTGCGTCCCGTACTGCCCCCTCTGTCCTCCCTCGTTTGGCGTGTCTTTCGATGACAGCAGCAACAATAACAACAATAACAATGACAATAATGACAACGGAAAGAACCCTAAGGACGGAAATAAACCCAATGGAGATAATCCTAATGGAGATAATCCTAATGGAAACAACCCCAATGGAAACAACCCCAATGGGAATAACCCCAATGGAAATAAGCCCGGCGACGATGGCGACGATGACGATGACGATGAGCTCGGACCTATCACCGTAGCAGGATTCGGCGACATGGTGAACATCGACACCTTCCCGACGGCGACAGCCGGAAAGAATGATCTCCAGGGCGTGGCGAGTACGATCTCGAGCCAACTCGCGTCCCTGTACGGCGCTGCGCAGTCCGTGGCCAGCGACGGGATCGTCACTGGGATCGTCAGGCCGACAGCGGCGCCCGCGAATCCGACGGGGGGGATGATGATCGCTTCGATCCGGTATTGTCGCTACGACGCCGACTATCACTCGAGTACGTCCTTTTCTCTTCCCCTTTATCACAGTAGAGCTCACTGACAAACAGTCTACCCCTGTGTAAACGGGTATGCAGTGTACTCCGGCACTAAGACGGATGGCGACAACTGCGCGACAACAAATGTAAGACGCTCTCATATACTTATTATTTCCATATCAGGGGTTAACTTTCTAGGCAATCTACACCACCACCTGGTCGGAATCACCCAAGCAACCGTCGTTCCCCAAGGTCGGCCCCTTTAGCATCGACGGCTACGACGGGTGCTACTACCAGTGGAAACAGGGGATTACCTGTGCCAAAGGAGCGTACTGCTACGAGAAAAGCTGGCAGGTACAGGTTTGCCAGGGCGGAGATTCCGATCCGCGCAGTTCTTGGGCACCGACGGCGACGTGTGCGTGGTAAGTGCATTACGAAGTGATGCATTGATCTGCTCTGTAAACATAGACGCTAGATACTGGTTTACACATTGGATAGGTTAGTCATGTTACACTGTCTTACTAGAAGTCTGTCCTACTCCGTGCTATGCTCCTATAAGTGACCCCTCATCTTATCTTTCTACTACATCCACATCTTGTATTTTTCATATCATCTTCTACACATGGCATACACCTCCCAGCAGATAGAGGCGTACCTTGATCGGATCGCCCTGCCAGAAGCCTCCAGGACATCCCCCGTGCTATGCGGCACCGTCAGTCCCAACAGCCCCGAGGGACTGTCCTTTCTACGCACTCTACAGAGGCACCATCTCGCCGCCGTGCCGTTTGAGAACCTGTCGCTGCATTACTCGCCGTCGCGCCAGATCGCGCTCGACGCGTCTTCGGTGTTCGACAAGATCGTCGGCCGTCGCCGCGGCGGGTACTGTATGGAGGTCAACCTGCTGTTCCGAACTGTCCTGCACACCCTCGGCTTCGACGTGTACTCTGTCGGGGGGCGGGTCAACGAGGCGATCCAGCCGATGGCGACGTCGAAGGGCTGGAAAGGACCGAAATACGATGGATGGTAATCTTCTCTTGTTTAATCTAATGTCCTCAATTGAACGACTTCTCAAGCATTGTAGGAACCACATGGTCAATATCGTGACGGTCAAGGAAACATCCTACCTGGTCGACGTGGCCAACGGGTCGAGCGGGCCTCACCAACCGCTCCCTCTGGAGGCAAGCAACGAGCCAACCCATAATATAGGCGATCAATGGATCCGACTCGTCCACGGTCCGATCGCGCAGCACACGCGGCCAGACCAGGCGTTGTGGCAGTATGAGATCCGCAACGGGGAGGACACGACCGCCTGGACGCCGGCGTACTGCTTCACGGAAACGGAGTTCCTGCCCGAAGACTTTGCGATGATGAATTACTTTGTCTCGACGCATCCGTCCAGCTGGTTCACCTTCTGCATCGTGTGTGTGCGCATGGTGCTCGACGAGGACGGGGTGCTGGTCGGCGATCTGACGCTGTTCAACGACCGGCTCAAACGGCGGATGGGCGCTCAGGCAGAGGAGATCGCCGTGTTCACCACCGAGGACGAGCGTGTCGGTGCCTTGGAGTCGTATTTTCACATCTCCTTGAGTGAGCTCGAGAGGGCGGCGATCCATCGCACGGCTTCGGCGATTCAGTGAGAGTAGCTGATTTCTCTTTCCTAATATCATTTCTATAGGCTGTTAGATTCAGGCCCTGCATATGGATTACTATTGTATGTACTTAGCAGAGTAAGCTGGGTATTGTTCATCTTAACTAATAATGAGATTCTTCGCTACTTCATGATGGGTAATGTTCTGCCTTGTTTTTAAGGCTATCACGGCCATTTAAGGCTCACAATGACGCACTCTTCAATAACAATCTCTTCTCCCCCCAACACGATGACCTTTCAGATCGTGTCGGATCTCCATCTGGAAGCACCTGCTGCCTATGACCTCTTCGAAATCCCGGCCCGCGCCCCCTTTCTCGCGCTGCTCGGCGACATTGGCAATGTCAAAGACGCGGGCTTGTTCTCCTTTCTCGAGACGCAGCTGGGCGTGTTCCAGGTCGTGTTCTTCCTGCTAGGCAACCACGAACCGTACCACACCAACTGGACCAGCGCGAAAGAGAGAATCCACGCCTTTTCACAACGGGTGGCCGATCGCCCTGGTCTGGGCACGTTTGTCTTCCTCGACAACAGCCGCTTCGACGTTTCCGACCAGGTCACCGTCCTCGGCTGCACGCTCTTCTCACGCATCCTCCGCGAGCAGGAGAACCGGGTCAGTTTCGGGGTGAACGATTTCATCCACATGGACGACTGGACGGTGGAACAGCACAGCGAGAAGCACGCGGCAGACCTCGCATGGCTGAATTCGCAGATCGCGCAGATCGCCGCGGCGGAACCAACCAGACAGATCGTCGTCTTCACGCATCACAGCCCGACCTTTCTCCCTGAAGCGATAGCGCCTGCTCATGCAAACAGCCCCATCTCGTCGGCATTCGCGTCAGACCTGTCCGCCGAACCCTGCTGGACAAGCCCGCAAGTCAAGCTGTGGGCGTTCGGACACACTCATCACAACTGTCGCTTCCAGAGTGGCCAGAAGACCCTCCTCACCAATCAGCGGGGGTATTATTTTGCGCAGGCGGCTGGGTTTGACCCTGCGTTTACAATAACCATAGCCGAATAATCAATGCAACGATAGGTAGCAACCAGCCGAGACGGAGAATTATATCCACCAATATGACTGAATCGACTGATTCAATAAGTCGGGGTAACTGGGGTAGTTCGGGGTAAAGCCATCCCGAGCGGGTTGCGGGGTAGACATATAGACATATAAAGAAAGTATCGGCCATGATGAATCACAAAAATATACAAAAAGAAGATCCAAGTATTGAACCAAGTATAAGATCCCATGGCCGCCTCGTCTACAGTTCACAGCACGATCCGTCGGCTGATCGACAATCTGGTGCACATCCACGACTCGACGGGCAAATTCCTGCTGCACCTGCCCGACGGGCGGATCATCGACACCAAATCATGGGCCGGGTGGGAATGGACGCACGGGATCGGGCTGTACGGGATCTGGAAGTACTACGAGGTGACGGGCGAGGCGAGCCTGCTGGCAACGATCGAGGAATGGTTCGCGGCGCGGTTCGCCGAGGGGGGCACGACGAAAAACATCAACACGATGGCCGTGTTCCTGACGCTCGCGTACGTGTACGAGAAGACCGGGAAGCCGACGTATCTGCCCTGGTTGGAGGCGTGGGGGGAATGGGCCATGTACGACCTGCCGCGCACCGAGTACGGGGGCATGCAGCACGTCACGTATGTGAGCGAGCACAGGCAGAACCTGTGGGACGACACTCTGATGATGACGGTGCTGCCGTTGGCGAAGATCGGGAAACTGCTCGGGCGGAAGGAGTATGTCGAGGAGGCAAAGAAGCAGATGCTCATCCACATCAAGTACCTGGTCGACACGCGGACCGGGCTGTTCTACCACGGCTGGACATTCGAGGACGGGGGCCACAACTTCGCAAGGGCCCTGTGGGCAAGGGGGAACAGCTGGATCACCATCGTCATCCCGGAGATGATCGAACTGCTCGACCTGCCGCGCGGGGATCCCCTGCGCTCCTATCTGCAAGATACGCTCGAGGCGCAGTGCCGTGCCCTGCGTGGCTTCCAGGATCCGTCGGGATATTGGCGCACGCTGATCGACCAGACCGACGAGGGCTCGTACGTCGAAGCCTCCGCCACGGCCGGGTTCGCGTTTGGGATCCTCAAGGCCCAGCGCCGACGCTATATTGGCCCGCAGTACCGCGACACGGCCGACAGGGCCATCGCCGCCGTCCTGAGTGCCGTCGACGACCACGGCGAGCTGCAGCACACCAGTTTCGGCACGGGCATGGGCCACGATCTCGACCATTACCGCGACATCCCCTTGACCTCTATGCCGTACGGGCAGGCGATGGCCATTATGGCGTTGGTTGAGTATCTGCGTACCTATTTATAGATAGATATTCATCCGTGACTGTACGGTAGCCAGTTCGTCCCTGCAGTCGTCCCATGATGGATCGGAGGATTCGGCCTCGCCGAGCAGCCTCGTCTAATGTCGATATGTCTCCCAGACAATTCCTCCTCCTTTATCAGAAGCTGCACAGTTCAATGTCTCTTTCAGCACCCAGTCCTGGTATAGTCCCGCCCATTGTCTTCCACGTAACTATTCACTCGTACCGACTCGTTGTCTGCGACACCCAAACTCCGGTCCCATCTGGTTGCGTAAGAGCAGTCTGTATAGCGGAAGAAGCAAATCAGTTCAATCTCACTCGCAGTAGTGCTGCCAGACAACAAGGCAGGAAGAACCAGGCTCTTGAACCGGTAATCCAAGTATCTGTTTGTTCACTCCATAGTCTCACAGTTCACTCCACAGCCTCACAGCGCTCACTGTTCAAGTCTCAACGTAAGCAAGACGTCTGTTGATGTCGAGATTGTCGAGATAAATGGTTCTGTCGGCAGTTCCTACCGCCTTGGAAAGCGGAAGGCGGTCGACGACATAAGTTCTGCCTCGTTCTTCAGGCATAAGTTAGTCGCCTGGAAGCCAGAAAAAGAATACAAACAGTGATTCTTGAGACATATTTTCTACATTGACAATATTTTAGCATAGAGTGGTAAGTAAATAACATGGAGTAATTTATTTCCCGTCGTACAGTTGTCATGCTGCCAGTATATATAAATATAAGACTCTACTTACTCTACTCTACCTCTACCTTATTGAGGCTCTGGCTATATATATTAGTTAATGACCTTATTCATTTTCTTAATTGATACGGGTACTCTATAGTAGGACTGCTGATGACAGTAAACAGACATACAATAATAACATGTAAACAGTACAACAGTACAACAGTACAACAGTACAAACAGTACAGCAACAGCAACAGCAACATGCAAACGCAGCAAACGCCGATGTCGCCGCTTGTCCCTCGCGTCCTGCAGCGGCTGCCCTGGCAGCGACGCACAACAGATGATTGGCCTTGCTGGAGCCGAAGCTGTTCTCCGAGCTATTTTGCTAGCACAGACAGGCGTCTGGAGTATGGAGTAGCTGGCCTCCCCAGCCCACATTTATCCCCAGACATTCCTGATCTTTACAGATAATTACCATCATGAATTCCATGAATTAGACAATTGAGCAGAGTGCAGACTCCTGTGTACTCCGTACGATACTAAATTCGTGGAATGCCGAGAAGCGGTGACGATCGACTGCGTCACGACTTGATTGACTAGCCCGATTCGGCGTGCCGAGCCGATCAGTTGAGTATACTGTAGTGAAGTTGCAACCGTTGAATATCACATGTGCTCTATACTTGTAGACTGTAGGATAGAGCAGAAAGTACAGAGTCTCCCTTAGCTATTGAATATTCCAGTCTCCTGGCAAGGGGCGTTCATTCCTCCCAGGGCGAGCTTATATAGTCTTTGCGCAAGGCGATTCCGTAGGGGAGCGAGTGGGGACGGAGGAGCTCCGGCACGAAAATAATTAGGAACGCAGGAATGATGATCAACTCAGGTAGGAGTAGAGTAGAGCAGTACTCTCGTGCAGTACTTTGTAGGAGGTACAGAATGAGAAGAGTCAAGTGCTATAGAGTAGGTACCTACACTCTGTAGTAATACTCTGTCCTGTACTCTGTCCTGTACTCTGTACATTCTGTATTAATACTCTGTCCTGTACCTCATCCTTCCCTCCATCCGAGCAGTCCGGCTAAGTTACCAGCTCCGCCGTGCTCCACGGCTTTCCGACCCACCTTACCTTTTCTTTCTTCTTCTCTTCCCACCACCACTTTCCTACCCATCATTTTTTATTTTGATTTATTATTTTTTTTATGTTTTCTTTTTCCAAGTACAATAGTTTCTCCAATTCAGACCTCTCAATTGCTTTCTTGCCGGAGGGTGCGTCCACCATATGAGTCCACCAAGTCGGGACGCCAAGCGCCCACTTCGGATCCGCTGGCTGGAAAGTGGCTCCGGCCGGTGGATCCGCAGTCCCGATTCGGCCCGATTCATTTGCAGACCGGAATTAGAGGCTCCACAGCGGTGGTTTCATTGGTAGAAATAAACGGACCCGATCCACTCGGCCCACTGTAATCCACCGGAAGAATTTGCAGCTGAGAGTAGAGGTAGAAGTACTGTAAGTATAGATAATAGGTACGGAGTAGTATACTAGGTAGATAGGTGTATAGAGTGTAGAGTATAGGTAGATAGAATAATATACAGATATACTACAGAGTACAGATATACTACAGAGTACAGAGACAGAGACAGACAGAGACAGACAATACGTACAGAGACAGAGTACTTCGTACTCTGTACTGTACTGTACCCTGTACTGACTGTACTCTGTACGCCGAAACTTCCGCTAGTCCCAACAGTGGCTCTGTTTATCTCCTGGCCGGCCACAGCCGACCGACCGCCCTGCTCCAGCTTCCCGCCAGCGCAGAGCTTTCTCCCTTTTTCTTCCATCCTTTTCCATCCTCTCTCTCTTCCTCTCCACGTTTCTTCTCCCTCTCTCTCTCTTTCTCTCTCCTCTTTTCTTTCTTCCACCATCCTCACCGTCCTCTGAAGCTTCACATCCATCACAATGGCCGCCTCCCGCATGTTCGCCAACCGTCTGGCCTCCACCATGGCCGCGACCACCAAGGTCGCCCGCCCGGCCGCCCGCGTCCAGCTCAACGCTGCCTCGAAGCGCACCTTCACCAGCGCTGGCCGCCCCCAGACCTCCGTCTTCCAGACCGCCAAGCGCCAGCAGGCCTCCTCCCTCGTCCAGGCCAACGCCCGCATGGTCTTTGCCCAGCACCAGGCTCGCCGCCAGTACTCCTCCGAGATCGCCCAGGCCATGGTCGAGGTCTCCAAGAACATGGGCATGGGTTCCGCCGCCATCGGTCTGGGTGGTGCCGGTATCGGTATCGGCCTCGTCTTCGCTGCCCTGCTGGTCTCGGTCTCGCGCAACCCGGCCCTGCGTGGCCAGCTCTTCGCCTACGCCATTCTGGGCTTTGCCTTTGTTGAGGCCATCGGTCTCTTCGACCTCATGGTTGCCATGATGTGCAAGTACGTCTAATTTAATCACGGACTGGGGAACCACTGGATCAATTGGACATCTGCAACTGGACAACTGCAACTGCACACTGCAACTGGACAACTGCAACTGGATCAATTGGATTGAACTACCAGGCATAATAGAGGATGGGATCAGATGGTTGTCATGTACTACTTCCAGCGACCACCGTGTATTGTACGTATAGAGTCTCGCCGTGGGCCCTTGGAGGCGCCATGCAAAAATTTCATGACACCTGTACTGTAACCGTTCTCGTAGTATCTCTACTACTACCTACTTCCATACCTACTTCCTACTACCATACCTACTGCCTATACTAACTGCCTATACTACTATACTATTATACATTATACATTATACATTCATCTTAGATACTATGTGAAAACTCTTCAGTGGCAACGACCCACCCGGTTTCTCTTACATAAGACTCCACTGCCGCTTTCTTCTGCAGCAATCCTCCTCTTCTCTCTCCCACCAGCACCTCTCCTCCCCGTCAAGATGGCTCCCAAAGACGATGCCATCCAGGCCGAACCCGTGTCCGTCCCGCAGATGGACGAGAAGCACGTCGAGCCGGCGGCGCCGGCGCTGCAGCGCCGCCTGAAGAGCCGCCACCTGCAGATGATCGCGATAGGCGGCACCATTGGCACCGGCCTGTTCATCAGCAGCGGCACGGCGCTGGCGCACGCCGGCCCTGCGGGCGCCCTGATCGCCTACATCTTCGTGGGCACCATCGTGTACAGCGTGATGACCTCGCTGGGCGAGGTGGCGACCTACATCCCCATCGCCGGCTCCTTCACCTCCTACTGCGCGCGGCTGGTCGATCCCAGCCTGGGCTTCGCCATGGGCTGGATCTACTGGTTCAACTGGGCGTCGACCTTTGCCGTCGAGCTGACTGCCACGGGGCTGATCGTCCAGTACTGGGACGACAAGCTGTCGATCGCCATCTTCATCGCCATCTTCTGGCTGCTCATCACCCTGCTCAACTTCCTGCCCGTCAGCTTCTACGGCGAGCTCGAGTTCTGGTTCTCCAGCGTCAAGGTCGTCACCGTCCTCGGCTTTCTCATCTTCGGCATCTGCATCGACGCCGGCGCCGGCCAGCATGGCTATCTCGGCTTTCACACCTGGAGCAACCCGGGCGCCTTTGCCCCGTATCTGATCTCCTCCTCGCCCGCCACCGCCAAGTTTGTCGGCTTCTGGGCCGTTCTCATCCAAGCCGGGTTTTCCTACCAGGGGACCGAACTGGTAAGACCATATACAGTATCCAGAGTCATCAGTCACAGAGTCGTCAGTACTGATCTTCTAGGTTGGAGTGGCGGCCGGTGAAACGGCCAACCCCCATCAAACCGTCCCTGCGGCCATCCGCAAGACCTTCATCCGCATCCTGGTCTTCTTCGTGCTGACCATCTTCTTCATCGGCCTGCTGGTCCCCTACGACAACCCGGACCTGCTGACGGGCACCTCCAACGCCTCGAGCTCGCCCATGGTGATCGCCGCCCGACTGGCGGGCGTGCGCGTGCTGCCCAGCCTGATCAACGCCGTGCTGCTGACCGTCGTGCTGTCGGCCGCCAACAGCAACGTCTACAGCGGCAGTCGGATCCTCGTCGGGCTCGCCCACGAGGGTTTTGCCCCGGACTTCTTCCGCTGGACCTCCAAACAGGGCGTTCCCTACATCAGCGTGGCCTTCACCGCGCTCTTCGGCCTGCTGGCGTTCATGAACGTGTCCACCTCGGGCGGCACCGTCTTCAACTGGCTGGTCAACATCTCGGGCGTCGCGGGCTTCATCACCTGGGCCAGCATCAACGGCTTCCATCTCGCCTTCATGCGTGCCCTGCGTGCCCGCGACATCTCCCGCGACACCCTCCCCTACCGCGCCGTCTGGCAGCCCTGGCTGGCCTGGTACGGCCTCTTCTTCAACGTCCTCATCATCTTCACCCAGGGCTTCACCTGCTTCATCCCCACCTTCAACGTCTCCGACTTTTGGGTCGCCTACATCTGCCCGCTGCTCTTCGTCATCCTCTATCTCGGCCACAAACTCGTCTACCGCACCACCTTCATCAGTCCCCTGCAGGCCGATCTCGACATGGGCAGGCCCGAGTACGTCGATGGCTGGGAGACCACCGCGCCCACCACCTGGTATGGCAAGCTGTGGAAGTGGTTCAATGGGGATTAACAGTACTGTATTAAATATATGATTCTATATTCTACCTATACTTCTATTATAACTATAAGATACCATATATTATCAAATTTGGAATCTTTATTATGCTATAGCTATTTCAATCCTCTACTACAGGTAATAATATACTGTAATTTCAGGCTTATATTAAATATAGAGTATTATATAATACTTTCTAGAAATGACTAGATATTAAGGTGTGTAGTTTATATGGTTTCTGTATGACGTATGCACTGCATTCGGACTAGCCTCATCAAGCAGCTTTTCTCTCTCTCTCTCTCTCTCTCTTCCTCTCTTCCTCTCTCTCTTCCTCTCTCTCTTTATTCATCTATTCTCCCTATCTATCATCTATTCTCCCTATCTATATATTCCTCTCTCTCTCTCTCCCTCTCCATCATGCGCGTCCTTGTGGTGCTCACCTCGCAGGATACAATCCCTGCCACCGGCCATGCAACCGGCTGGTACCTGGTAAGAGATTCTTCCCTCTCTCCCTATCCTCACTGACAGCGCAGCCGGAATTCGCCCACCCCTGGGCTGTCCTCGCCAAACATGCAGAAATGGTGATTGCCTCGCCGGCCGGGGGCGCTGCTCCCCTGGACGCCTCCTCCGTCGAGGCGTTTGCCAACGACGCCGTTTCCGCCTCGTTCCTCAAGGAGCAGGAATCCCTGTGGAAGCAGACCGTCAAGCTGTCCGCCGTGGACGAGAAAGACTTTGATGCCATTTTCTACGTGGGGGGGCATGGCCGTAAGCTTCTTCTTCTTTTTTTTTTTTTTTCTTCTTCTGGTATTTCAGCATTTCCAGTATTAATCTTTTTGAATATCAGCAATGTTCGATCTGTATTCCGACGAAACCTCCCTGCAGCTGATCCGCTCGTTTGCAGAGGCCAAGAAGCCCGTGGCCGCCGTGTGTCACGGCCCTGCGGTCTTGCTAAAGGCAACCTCTACGTCGGGAACCCCCCTCATCGAGAACGCCACGGTGACCGGCTTCTCCAACGTGGAGGAGGAGCAGGCCGGACTCACGGCGGCGATGCCCTACCTGCTCGAGTCGGAGCTGCAGCGTGTCTCGGGCGGCGGATACGTCAAGGCTGATGCCCCCTGGGGGGAGAAGGTGGTTGTCTCGCGCACTTCGCTGGGGGGGGTTCTTATCACTGGGCAGAACCCGGCCAGTGCGACGGGCGTTGGCAAGGCTATTCTGGAGGAAATCACCAAGTAGTATGTATCATTACAACCATCACTATATCAAATAAACATCTCATGCCAATTCTACTACACTCTGCGGCGGTAACTCGGCGAGATGAGCTATACCTGGCAGTTCTGGCATGTGTTGCATAACCGGCAATTCTTGAACATGTCCATCTGCTTCTTTCATATCAACTGGCAACTCTGGCTTCTCGTACGTGTATTCAGGCGGGGGAACGGCAGGCTTTCGCTTGAGGAAGAACAGGACAGCGATGAGGATCAAAACTGCGCCTGCTGCAACTCCAATCCCTGCCTTGACGCCAGTGCTCAGCGTGGCTGTGCTTGTTGCTGCTGCTGCTGCTGCTGCTGTCTCTGTATGTGTTGGTGTTGTAGAGGTAGTTGTAGCTGTCTGTGTAGATGTAGATGTAGATGCATATGTTGATGTATGTGTTGATGTAGATGTAGATGTTGATGTTGATGTAGATGTTGAATCCTCCAAAATGATAAACCCCTTGGAGGAAATCTGGTCGGTCGTCTCGTTGTAGTCCGTCCGTGGAGAGGCTGGGTTCTTGAAGCGCAACACATATTCCGCCGTCGAGGACAGGCCAGTCTCGGTGATGTTGATCAACCAACTGTACGATCCAGCAGTCGATATATCCAGGTTTTCTATCCGTATCAGTAAAGTGTATCCATATAGTAGGTGTAGAGATAAGTTACCTGCTACCAACTGAGCGTATTCCACCTCGGCGTAGTTGTACGAAGTCACCCATAAATCATTCACCGACACACTGTTGAGATACTCCTCCAGCCAGAGCGCTGCCCAGCCCAGCCAGGCAATATCGATTGTGTTTCCATTTGTAAATGTCTGCGCAAAACTGCTGAGGTTCCCATCGGGGACCTCCCAGTAGCTCTGTGCCGTTAACATTGAAGAAAGAGATGGAAAAGAGAAAGGATATCAAAATAGAGAAAAGAGAAAGACTGACAGACAGAATAAGTATAAAATAGTCATATTAACTCAATGATCTGAAACAAAGCGATAAAAACCATTGTTCATTGGCAGAGGAAGCGCCGGAAGGGATTCATAAAGACGCTGTGATTCGATGGCTGCAGCCACAACAAAGCCAGCGCTTACTATTAATATTCACAATCAGACGTCTTATCTCTTCTAATTGTTGATGAATTAATGATCCTCTTCATCAACCTCAACATCATGCCTTTTCTTCCGGTGAAGAGACAGAAGATTGTGCTGGCCTGTCTGGCCTGCCTCTCTCTTTATTTTCTCTACCACCCTCATTTTCTCCCTTTTCCCTCTCTCTCTTCCCCAACGTCTTCAACGTCTTCAACGTCTTCCACATCTTCCACATCTTCAACGTCTTCCCTTATTGATCAAGACTATTTCTGGCTCAATGTCCCCCTCCGACACCCTGTTCAATCCTTCCTCCCCCTGCCCATCTCCCCGCCCCCCCCCAAGGCCACGATCCAGCACAGATTCCCACGCGAGACCGCCGAGGAAAAGGCCGTCCGCCTGCAGCGCCTGGACGCCGTCAAAGCCAACTTCACGCACGCCTGGCAGGGGTATAGGGAGCATGCCTGGTTGAGCGACGAGGTGCGGCCCTTGTCGGGGGGGAAGCTGGATCCGTTTGGGGGGTGGGCAGCCACTCTGGTCGACACGTTAGGTATTGATTCTTCTCTTCTTCTATTCTTCTTCTATCAAGTACTAATGAAAGACACCCTCTATATCATGGGCATGCACGAGGAGTTCGAAGAAGCCGTGCAGGCAGTGCAGACGATCGACTTCTCCCACTGCGCCCTGGCGACCATCAACGTCTTCGAGACCACCATCCGCTACCTGGGCGGACTGCTGGGCGCATACGACCTGAGCAAGGGGAAACACCCCTCGCTGCTCTCCAAGGCTGCCGAACTGGCCGAGATGCTGTACCGCGCCTTCGACACCCCGAACCGCATGCCCATCACGCGCTGGGACTTGCACGCCGCCGCCCAGGGAGACGCCCAGGAGGCCGGCGAATCCGTGCTCGTCGCCGAGATCGGCTCGCTCACCCTCGAGTTCACCCGGCTGAGCCAGATCACAGGCGATCCGCGCTGGTTCGACGCCGTGCAGCGCATCACCGACCGGCTCGAGGCCGACCAGGCGCAGACAAATGTGCCGGGGCTGTGGCCGATTGTCGTCAACGCGCGCACGCTGGACTTTCACAGCTTTCCCATGTTTACCTTGGGGGGGATGGCGGATTCATTATACGAATATTTGCCCAAGGTATGCCCCATCCTTGAAAGTAGAAGTAGAAGTATTCTATGCTCAGACTATAGCAACACCTCCTTTTGAACGGCCGCACACCCCAGTATCAAAAACTATACACCACCGCCCTCCCCATGCTGGACGCCCATCTGTTCTTCCGCCCCATGACGCCCGACAACCGCGACATCCTGCTCTCCGGCGACGTCTACGTCGGTGAGGCATCGGCGATCCCCCCGCCAGAACCCAAGGCGCAGCATCTCACCTGTTTCGCGGGCGGGATGGTTGCTCTCGGCTCGCGCGTGTTCGATCGCCCTCAGGACCTGGCCGTTGCCCGGCGGCTCGTGGACGGCTGTCTGTGGGCATACGAGCAAGCCCCGCTAGGCATGATGCCCGAGATCATGCACACGGTGCGCTGTGCTGAACGCGAGCACTGTCTCTGGGACGAAGCGGCGTGGCATGCTGCGATCCGCGAGGCGTTTGCCCAAGACGAGACCTATGCCAACCTCCCTGTCGAGCAGATCATTCGTGACAAACACCTCGCGCGGGGGGTTTCCAAGATCGACGATCGCCGATATATCTTGAGGTATTCATTCCCTTGTACTGTCTACTCTAATATTACTGTTCAAGCTAATTGGCAGACCCGAAGCTGTCGAGTCCGTGTTCTTCATGTACCGCATCACCGGCGAACAGAAATACATGGAGGCCGCGTGGCGGATGTTCACGACGATCGTGGCCAGCACGACGACGGAGATCGCCCATGCCGCGCTGAGCGACTGTACGGGCAGCACGCCTGTCCAGGAAGACCGGATGGAGTCCTTCTGGATGGCGGAGACGCTGAAATACTTCTATCTGATCTTTGCCGAGCCGGAGCTGGTGTCTTTGGACGAGTATGTGTTTAATACCGAGGCGCATCCATTTTTACTCTTGCCGTAAGCACAATATAGTGACTATACTCATCTATTGACTACTTTATATATAACTATGTCTATCCTAAAGTAAGAGTATAGGTGGCGTCGGAGGAGCAGGAATAGGTATCGACATCATCGGACTGCTGGTACGCGTCTGCACAGTCGGCATCGCCCGCGGCGCAGGAAGCCGTCGAGCAGGAGGAGTCGGAGATGCTGACGCTGAAGCCGGAGGCGATGAACGCCGAGTCGGCGTCGAGGTTGATGCACGACAAGTCCCAGTACAGCGTGGACCCTTCCTCGGTGTATTCGAACTGCAGCACGCTCTCCTCGCTGCTCGAGGTCGCCATCTTGATCGAGATGCCGCCGCCGTCCGAGTTGATCTGCCATGTTTCCGAATAGCTGCCTCCCTCGGCGGAGAGGGTGTGCATGGCGCTGCTGCTCGACGAGACGGACCACAGGTACACGGTTGAATTGAGGTTGTTCACAATGCTGACGCCTGACGACGACGACGAAGAAGAAGAAGAAGAAGAGGCGCTGGCAGCGGTGGAGACGGTGGAAGTGGTCGAGGTCGAGGTCGAAGTGGCCTCGAGGGAAATGGGCGACCAGGAAGGAGTGGGAAGGCCTGAGGCAGCCAGAGCCAGGGCGGCAACAGTCAGGAGTTGTTTGAACATGTTGAATAAGGAATGAATAGTTCAATTCAAGGAAGGAATAGTTCAATCTAAGGAAGGAATAGTTCAAATCAAGAGAATGATGAGGATAGAATGATAGTGAATGAGGATCAACCTCAGTAAGGAAAGACTAGACTAAAGAATGATGTCGGCAGAAAGGACTGAAAGGACAAAGTGATAGATCAAACCGGGCCAGCAAAAGAGAATAAATATCCCCTGGTGGACCAGCCTGGTTCCTGACGGGTCTCGCCCGTTCCTGGCAACGCAGGCCTTTATTGTCGATGTTATTGGGCCACTCCTTGAGATCCACTGATCCGCGTCATCGGATGCGTCTTCACTAGGAGTATATGTAGAAGTTGGTACCTTCTATTCTATTTATTCTATCTATTCTATTTATTCTATCTATTCTATTTATTCTATCTATTCTATTTTATTCATCATCTTATTCTCTATGTCTATGTCTATGTTATGTCTATGTCTATGTCTATTGTGTATTGTCTATCTCTATTGATGTGGCAATGTGGGGGACAATGCCCCACAGTTCTCCACAGGTTCTAGACTGGGACAGAAAACATCTCTATTATAGGCTGGGTATTGCCTATATTATGTCTCCTGATGACTCTATAGGCGGCCTGCATGATCGTAACCCACACGGAAAAGTTTGACCTCAAGGATTTCAATCCATGTGGAACTGCAGATGCCATCATCATGGCTTCCACTGTCCACTGTCCACTGTCTACAATCTCAGACAATCTCAGACACGTTCTAGACTCTGCTCTGTCTGTTCACCGGTCAGGGTCTTCGATTCGTTCCGAATACCCGGATCAACAGTCTCGATCAATTAATAATCATGATGCTGATGGCTATGTCGTAAGATCCTATCTTCACTGTTGTAATTAAGTTGTATGCTTATACTAGCACATGTGACTAAGGTACTCCATATAGTCCACATGTACCCCGTGCTAATGTATAGTTTGGATCCGACTGGTCGGATTGCATATCAAACCAACCGGTCTGGTCGGACTGGACTGATTTGGAATCCAAGCTGGATTATCTGTGATTGGAGTACGGAGTATAGGGATAAGCTGGTTTTAACATGCTGGCTTATCTATCGGCAAGATCTCACATACAAAGACAAGTCTCCAGTCTATTGCAGTTGAACTGTCTAGTAACAGTCGTCATCTCCGTCTTCATCGCCCTGTCTCCAGGCGGAAGGAGAAGCTGACTGGGACGGCATGGTTGATGATCTCAAGGTGGCCGAGGTATTATCCAAGGTAGACGAGGTCCGAACGGCAGTCGTCGCAGTGGCAGCGGCAGCAGCAGTAACACTGTTTACAGAGGCGGTTGCAACAGTAGTAGCAGTTCCCAATTCAATCTCCAAGGCAAAGGTAGCATTCATAACAGCATTTCCATAGAAGAATTCCGTCCTATAACAAGTTAGAACAAGCCAAGATGCCGGGTCAGACCGGAAACGATGCAAATGCAGCGACGAACCCTCCGTTCCCGACGTTGACATAGGTCGTCTCGTCGAACAGACCGATATCGACCAAGGCCATCAGCCAATCCCTGAGATCGCCCCCAAAGTCCCCGTCGAACTGGGTATCCGGCAACAAGCTGCTGACGGTGATTCCCGTGTCGTCGTTGACGCCCGAGTACAATTTCCAGGAGGTGCCGAAGAGGTCGTCGATGGTGTCCACCGCCCCGTCCGCCCAGCCGATGGGCAACTGGCCGCCCTCGTACTGCAGCCAGAGCATCAATTCATGCGACGAGCTCGAGGTCGAGTCCCCCGCGACATCGTTTGTCATGAAGTCGTAGCAGACGTTTCCCTTGAAGGCAGTCGAGTTGGTGCGTGTCCATTCGTAGACGGTCGGGATGGAGGAGATGTCGCTCAGTCTCGTTTCCAGGTTCTCTGTCAGTCCGACAAACGAGTACCCCTTGGGAACATTGTCCGTGCTCTCCTCGTAGGTGATCTCTGTGATGCTGCTCCAGATCACTTCGCGCGTGCCCGAGGCTGCCGTCGTCTGCGAATCGTAGTATGTGCACTGTGTGCCGACCGTCTCGTCGGCGTTGTACAGCATGTTGTACACTATCCAGGGGGTGTCCGACAGGATGATGTAGTCGTAGTCTCCGCAAAGGTCCGTCGAGGCCTGGGCTCGACGTTGCAGAGGCAGCGCCAAGGCTGTCGAAACGGCCGCCAGGGCCAGAATGAAGTTCATTTTGAAAGAGTGTGATTTAAAGAGCGTGAAAGTAAAGAGCGAAGTAAATGGAAAGCAGTCTACCAAAATCAAGAATGAATGACTTGAATATTAAGCAGCGAGAGGGTTTATAGCACATGGGCATAAATGAAGGAGATCGACTGGTGGAGCAGGTAGCCTCCGCCCAGTAGATTAAGAGCAGATTAGTCTGTTTCACCATCCAGGCCAAGCTGCAATGAAACAGTCCTACTGATTGGCATAAAGTGCCAACAGCAGGCTCTTAATCTAAGGTAATTAAAGCCGGGCCCTAGAATGACAACCTTATTTCTTCAAGGGTCCTATCCAGGTCTGCTGTCTCGGTTTGCCGGATAGTGCTTTAGCACGCCAATGAGGACAAGACACCCTCCAGTTCGGACTCCCCTTACGTATATATTCCATTCCTTAATTGGGGAATGAAGACCTTATTGCCCGGCGGGGTGTAACGGGGAATCGCACCGCACGAACTCAGTTGAGAAGAGTACATTATCTCCCACGGTGAGCAAACAGCGACCACCATGAACTTGAAATCCAGGAAAATGCCCTTTCCGACCTTGGAGCTCAGGTAAGACTCCACTCAGATCGACAATCAGTCCCTCTCTTCGAACAGGCTCTCGTCCTTTGTGTCAGGGTCGGCTGTGAGGTCTTCGCCAGATCCTATACCAAGCAAGAATGTGTCAGCAGATAAAGACATCAACGGTGAGCGAGGGAGTAGAATAATTCCTTCATAAGTCGAATTCTTCTGACGAGGAGCATCGCTCGCTGTCTCAACTCCTGACGCTTGTTTACAGCGTGTCCGTCTGCCAGAGGAATTCGTTCTAGGCCTAGTATAGCTCAGAGCGTCGCCAGTCATGAAAAAGCCATTATCTAGAGCGTTACCCAGAGTATTGAATGGATAGAGAGAAAGCAGAGAGAAGAAGAGAGAGGAGAGAGAGAACAGAGAGAAGAGAGAAGAGAGAGAAGAAGCAACAGCAGCCGGATCGGGTTGGTGCGGTTGATATAACAACAAACAGTGTAAACAAAGCAAACAAAGCAAACCCCCGCCGACAGCAGGTAAACATCGAGAGAAGGAAAGAGCAAGAAATTCTCATCCTTCTTCTTCATCTCCTTCTTCGTCTCTCTCTTGATCCCGCCTGGCAGACGGCAAGAGAAGCGACCATGGCCGACCGTGCAGCGCTCACTCTCCGCCAGATCCCCCGGATGGCCCTCTCGACGGCTTCGAACCGCCTCACCGCCCCGTTGAGCCCCGACACGACGGCCCAAACACCAGCCGAACGGGCGGCGGCTCGGTTCCGCGTCGAGGGCAACGCGGTGGTGACGGGGGGCGCGGGGGCGCTGGGACTCACGGTTGTCAGGGCACTGCTGGAGCACGGCGCCACGGCGGCCACGCTGTTTGATCTGCGCGAGACGTTTGACAGCTCTGCCGGCCCGATCGCGCGTTTACGAGCAGATTTCCCTGAGCGGAGGATCTATACCCGGCCAGTCGACGTGACAGATACAGAACTCGTTGAGAAGGCGATGGAAACCGCCGCGAAGACGATGGGCTCGGTTGATATCCTGTGCTGTCTGGCGGGAGTGGTGGGCTGCGTGGATTCGCTCGCGGTGTCGACGGAGGCGTTTACAAAGGTGCTGGACGTCAACCTGACGGGGTCCTTCTGCTGTGCGCAGGCGGCAGCGCGCCAGATGGTCGCACAGGGGACAGGCGGGAGTATCGTGCTCACGGCGTCCATCTCGGCGCACCACACGAACTTCCCGCAGCCGCAGGTCGCGTACAACGTCAGCAAGGCTGGGGTGGCGCACATGGCGCGCAATCTCGCTGCCGAATGGGCAGTCCACGGCATCAGAGTCAACAGCGTCAGTCCTGGCTATATGGATACGGTGCTGAACGCGGGGGATTCGCTGCAGCCTGTCCGGGAGATCTGGGCGGCGCATTGTCCCATGGGCCGGATGGGAGATGTCGAGGAGATTACAGGGGCGTTTATTCTGCTCGCCTCACGACGGGCAGGGAGATACATCACCGGTGCAGATCTATTAGTCGATGGGGGGGCCATGGCATTGTAAGTAAGTATCAACCCTGTTATAGGCAGCGTTACTCTGTAGTTTACACCACTACAGAACCAACAGGAAGGTCTAATGAGTCTCAGTTAAGACATCTATGAGCTTCAATATTAGGCATCTATGAATCTGATTCTAAACATCTATGAGTCTAGATTGGCATCGATGAGTCTCAATTATCAGACATTAATACTCTGTGAAGCGCTGGAGTGCATGCGGCAGCTGCCGATGGAGACTCTCCTGGAAGCTGCGTATGCCTTCGAGTTGACCATCGAATCGTTTGGGGGGTTTGACGTCTTCATTCCCACCTCGCCCTCTTCCTTCATTCCCGATAGCCCGTCGACGCTGCTCAAGACCGGCCGGTTTGTGCGCAACATCGATATCCTCTCCGGCTGGACAGAGAATGACGGCTCGCTGTGGACGTCGACAGACCTGGCTTACGATTTGGACGTGGCCGACTTCTTTGCCGCATCCTACCCGGGTCTCACCAACGCCACGATCCAGAAAGCCATGGCCCTCCATCCCCTGTCCCAGTTCGCTAACAATACCACCCTCGACCCGGCCATTTCCGCGCAGTACTTCCGTGCCAGCCAGATGCAGCGCGACCTCATGATGACCTGTGTGAGCCTGCTGACAGTTCAGACGAACACCGAGTACGGCGGCGACAAGGTCTCCAACTACCTCTATGCACTGAACCAGACCGTCTTCGCCACTTTTTTCGACCTGGAGGGTGTCCCATACTACGGCGTCCCGCATTTCAGTGAAATCCCGTACGTTTTCGACAACCTGGCCGAGGGCGAGTTCGCCGCCGTGGCCACTGCCTCAGACTACGAGCTCGCGTCCGCCATGAGCGCCAGCTAGGCCTCTTTCGCGACCTTTGGCGATACCTCGCGTGCCAACGGGACCATAACCGGATGGTCGGATGCTGTTTCTGACAGCAATAAAATGTACAGCCTGCAGGTCATCGGGGCCGCATGCTCGGTTTGCAAGCACGGGACCCCGGCCGGGCGATTATAATGAGCAGATCGTGCAGCGCTGTGCCTTCTGGAACTCGCCAGAGGTTCTTGTCCAGGTGGGGATCTAGTCGCTGACTCCCTTGAATACAAGAACTTGCTATAGTATAGATATGATGAATCTGGCTTTGAATGGTTATGAGGTGAAATAGGTAGATGGAAATTTCAGGCTTCATTAACAGCCCATGACTATTTCCATTTAGTCTGCTTATATTGTTTAGATGGATGGTCTGAAAGATAGATTATTCGCCCTCTAGTTCTCCAGGTAAGCTGCCTCAGGCATTAGTAATTATTTTAACTTGAATTAAGATAGATATGCTGCTGTCATTATATCCTGGTCAATCTATTTTTACTGAACTATAGAATAGGATATTCTAGGCAGTCCTGTTAGGTATAAATATACTTTGACTGTTTGAATGTATTGAATATAGTAGACTACAATCTCTGTATTTCTATTTCCTGGGCCGTCCCTGTCTATACATCATAACTACATCTAGACAACTCAGCAACCATCTTTCATCTCTATAATATAGTAAGATCCATTATTAAGGCTGTCAACCCTGTAAAGCTCGTCTGACTGCTATTTACTGCGTGCAGTGTATGAGCAGCTGATCTCTCCTGGTCAACCAGTTCAATAGGAAACCCTAAGCCAGACAACATATGAGTCGGCTATATGGGATTGGAATAGCTGGAGATTTATCCAGGATTCTATGCCAGAGAAGGAGATGATGAATGGCAAGTCTAAAGCTGTAGACGCCAGGTCATCCGCTGGATAGAAGGTACAGGCCTATCTCATGCGACCCCTTGTCTACCTCAGGATGAATTCTGCCTGAGGTCACATAATACCACTGATCCCTGCTTGAAGCATTCTTACAGTCAACCCACTCATTCTTGCTGTCGCGTCTCTGCTGTAGTGTCAGACAACCTCTGACCGATGACGTATCATCTGTCGGCGGTAGTGAAACGTCCAAGGATGACCAGGATCAAGACGATCCACGGCAATACCAGGATTAAGATGTACTATGTTACTACTACATAGACATCATGGCTTGTTCTTGGTTATTAAAGGGGTAGTCGACTACTCAGCTAATGATCCTGCTTGCCTTGATTAGGCATGGATGCGGGGTCGGGGTTTGAACCAACTGGCCCTAGTGCTTAGGAGGGTTTGAATGCCGACAATAAATAGATACGGAGTAGCAGTATGTAAGTCACGGCTCTACGGAGTAACTACTAGGTACATAGGTCTTACTATGTTCCAAGTCTACAGAGTAAAGGAATAGGACTATGGAATGAATCTGGTAGTCCCTGTTATAAGGGTATTCAGAAAAGAGAGGTATAATAATCTAAGAGACTGTAGAATATCAAGCACAGCATTGCAGCCCACGTGGTGACACTTGCCGGGTCTTATTATTATCAAGCATCGATGAAGAATGCTCCATCTTGGGACGCGTAGACAGATGCGCACTACAGGGGCGGGCGTGTATCTGAATTAAGCATACCTCCCGGGCTTCCTCCAGCCCATTTCCAGGCACAGAGACACTAACAGGGTTAGCCCAGCCCTCGGGCACCCACCGATTGGCGCGCTGGTGTTTAGAGTTGAAAGGTCCCCCCAGTCAATAGTAAGAGACTAGCCATTTTCTCCGGCTAGCCTGGATAAGAAGAAATCAAGAGAATCGATGGCAGAGCGAGTGCCAACCACGTGGGCACAGAGGCCCTGGTGCTTGGCAGGTGAATCGCTCTACATGATATCAGAGCCACTTTCCTCCATGAAGAGTACTCCAGTATATACTCCGTACTGCAGTATAATTCGACGATGGTGGCGTTGGGACTAAAGGTGATAGTTTTTTAATATTGCATAATCACATGCTTAAAACAATAATGTAAAAGAAAATAAAATAAACAGCAGCCAGCCCCCCCGCCAATCATGATCCGCCGCCCATCGGATAAATCGTCCCTGTCTAGTACATAAGCTGACTGCCGTCGGCAAACAAATCCTTGAGAGCTGCAGAGTGGGAAAAGTAAGCAACAAGAATAGTCAAGGTCAAGCTACTCATTGAATTAATTGGCTTTTCATAAATACCCTGCCTCTCCCCTTTCCCCCACGTCCGCTTGATCAACCTGCCTGATAAATCTTTATATTTAATTATATTTAGACCCCCTCTTTCATCCCAACCCTCGTCATTCGTTTTTGAATATACTGATCATCACCATGGTCAACACTCTTCTTCTTGCTTCTCTGCTGGCGGCTCCGCTGGCGGCGGCGACCGTGCTGCCGCCGACCGAGGATCCGTGGTACACGGCGCCCGAGGGCTACGAGAGCGCAACGCCCGGCACGGTGCTGCGCATCCGCAGCGCGCCGGGCAACCTGACGGAGATCGTGGGCAACTCGTCGGCGGCGTACAACATCCTGTTCCGCACGACGGACAGCCTGTACGGGGCGTCGTGGGCGGTGACGACGGTGTTTGTGCCCGAGGAGGAGGACTGCGAGAACCCGAGCCTGCTGTCGTACCAGATCCCCTACGACTCGCTCGACGTCAACGACAGCCCCAGCTACGCCCTGTACAGCGACCCCCCGGCGGACGTGGGCGTCACCCTGGGCCTGGGCTGGTGGGTGTCGGTGCCGGACTTTGAGGGCCCGCTGGCCTCCTTCACGGCGGGCGTCATGTCGGGCCACGCCACGCTGGACTCGGTGCGCGCGGTGCTGCGGGCGCAGATCGGCCTGGAGGCCAACGGCACCCAGAAGGCCCTCTGGGGGTACTCGGGCGGCGCCCTGGCCAGTGAATGGGCCGCCGAGCTGCAGCCCCAGTACGCCCCGGAGCTGAAGCTCGCCGGCATCGCCGTGGGCGGCCTCACCCCCAACACCACCAGCGTCATGGACTCCGTCGACGGCACCATCGCCGCCGGCCTGATCCCCGCCGCCGTGCTGGGCGTGCTCACCCAGTACCCCGTCGCGGAGGAGTGGGTGATCAGCCAGCTGCACACCACGGGCGAGTACAACCGCACCGGCTTCCTGGCCACCAAGGACCTGTCGCTCGACGAGGCCGAGGTCTACTACGCCTACCAGGACATCTTCGAGTACTTTGTCAACGGCTCGTCCACCTTCCAGAACGAACAGGTCGTCAAGGTGCTCATGCGCGACGGGTACATGGGCTTCCACGGCATCCCCGAGATGCCCGTCTACGCCTACAAGGCCATCAACGACGAGATCAGCCCTGTGGCCGACACCGACGACCTGATCAACCGCTACTGCGCCGCGGGCGCCAACATCATCTACGAGCGCAACACCGTCGGCGGCCACGACGCCGAGGAGGTCAACGGCAACGCCCGCGCTCTCGCCTGGCTGCAGGCCCTGTTGTCTGGTGGCTCCTACGACCACGCCGGATGCACCATTTCCAACGTCACCATCGCTATTGAAGACAGCCCTTATTAGTCTGGATATTTTTCAGATCTAGTTCAATATTATGGAATGATTATTAATACAATATTTAATGGTATACTACAATATTAATACAATATTTTAATTGTATACAATTATTAATACAGTATTATTAATAAGAGATATTATTAAGATGTGATCATAGTGTCAGCTCTTAGTTAAAGGTCCTCTTACTCCATTCTTATGTCCACAGGTAATGATATTCATTTATACTTATTCATATTTATTTATACTCATTCATACTCACACCATGTCCCTCTTCACCCCCTCGAAATAGGGAGAATGCACCTCGCCCACCGCATAGCAATGGCCCTCCTAAGCCGGTTCCGCGCCGACGCCGCCATGGAAGAGTACTACGCCCAGCGGGCGCGCATCCCCGGCACGCTGCTGATCAGCGAGAGCGTGTCCATCTCACACGCGGTCCCGCGGGCGATGACTATGGAGGAGATCCAGAAGACGGCGGGCGAGTTTGGGCGTGCGGCGAGGAACGCGATGCGCGCCGGGTTCGATGCGGTCGAAATCCACGCCGCCAACGGATACCTGATCGATCAGTTCCTGCAGGACACAGCGAATGTCCGCACGGATGCGTACGGCGGCAGCGTGGAGAACCGGGCGCGGTTCGCGCTGGAGGTGGTTCGCGCCGTGGTTGAGGCGATCGGGGCGGACCGCACCGCGCTGCGACTGAGCCCCTGGAGCCGCGTGGCGGGGATGGGCATGCAGGATCCCATCCCGCAACTCACACATCTCATCCGGGAGGTCAACGCGCTGGGAAGACTGGCGTATCTGCATCTGACGGAGTCGCGCATCCACGGCTTCACCGATATCGACGCCCCGGACGCCGAGACCCTGGACTTTGCCGTTGCCCTGTGGGACGGGCCGGTCCTGCTGGCGGGCGGGTACTCGGCCGACTCGGCGAGACAGGTCGTCGATGGCAAATTCCGCGATAAAGATGTCGTCGTCGTCTTTGGCCGCTATTTCATCTCCAATCCGGACCTGCCCTTCCGGATCAAGGCGGGTGTAGCCTTGACTCCCTATCGCCGGGAGACCTTCTACACCCACTCCCGGGAGGGATATACTGACTATGCCTTTAGTGGGGAATTTCTCGCCGCGACACCTTGTGTTGCATAGTGTATGATAGCTGTGAAGTTAGGCACTAGACATGAACACTTATAGATTATATTCTTTAACTACATGCTATGTAGCACCTGGCTGTACACACCTAGCCCCGCTGCTGGCGGTGTTGATGTTTAAGTACTCCATCGAATTCACTATTTCAATTACCACTAGACAAGTGAGATGTGTCTCAGACAGAACCAAGGGCATATCATATATCATATATACTCACAGGGGCAAGTCAAGCCTGTTCATTGCATGGGGAGCTTGGACACGCTAGTCGATCGTCTGGTTAGCGTGGTGGACAATGCGGGGCCGAGATAGCCGAGATGCGGAGTGGACTAAAGGACAAGAATATTGAGTAATACTACAAATGTATATAGCCTTGAATAGTATATAGAGCATGCTTCTACAAAGAATCCTCTGTATAGTACACAATTGAAGAGTGTACAGCAGTGTTCAGGATCTACACGCTTTCGTAACCTCGCTTCCCTCGCTTGTATTGGCAACGGGAGACTGACCTTCAAAGCTAGATAGGTATACAAGTTTATAAGTTTATATATTATAGTCTTGGGCCTACAAGGAATAATATTATACTACATACCTCTGTAGCTAATCAAATCCATCTCTATAAACAAGGCCTACTAGCTTATTATATTATACTTGGCACTTTTTTATTTTCATGAGATACAAGTTAATGAAGACAGCATGGCGACTCCCTGGCACCGTATGTGTAGCGTCCGCAGGGGTCTTGCGTGTCGGAAGTGTGCTCGGCTGACGCTCATCAACAGCCGGCTCGAGTTCAATGCATTATCAGAGAGGTAGTGGAAAATGTGGTATCATGAGTAGAAGGAAGGGTGCAGATACAATGCTGATGAACAACTTCCGCTACGGAGGATGAGCATGTCGGCGACACACTATTTTAACTGAATCTACTGACTGAAGTCATCGAACCCAAGTATTACAACCGTCTGGAGCCCTGAACAACATCTGGTCTTGGTCAGTTCATGTCTATCCATATATCTATCTATACATCATATCTGTGTGAACACGCTGAAAGACAGTGGACTCCGCAATAGTAAGTAATTGTTCTATGTACATCAAGGATGCATTTCATCCTGCCAACTTTTTAGACGCCAGATTGACCCCCCAGATATGAGCGTCGCCCGGCCTCTCTCCCCTCCGTCTCCGGTGCTGCAGTGGAAGCAGCTTCCTTTGGTATAAAAATCAGGGTGCATTAATGGGTATCGGGTCTTCTATGTCTATGGTGTAACGGAGTGGTGTCTTTTCCCTTCTGTTCTTTTTCTATTAAGTCAGCGATGTATCACACCCTCAGATGGACACATACCCTTGATCCGTTCGATCTGCTTCACCGTCTGCTCGTGGATCTCGTTCCATTGCGCCTGATACTCGGCCAGATTCAGTTCATGTGGTTTATCCATGAGTAGGAGTGAGTAGTAAGGAGTGTAGAGAATAAGGCAGTATACCTATATGGTATTATTGTAGAAGAGTAGTGGTGTAGTAAGTTGGATAGTACTTCTAACGTCCATCTCTATATAGCTGGAGGTCGGAATCTGGCCCGGAAATGTCGGCCAATGGGATTAGAAGCCTGGGCCGGGTCGGACGGTCGGGACGCAGGGTCGCTTCCGAGTGGTGAGCTTGGGATGATCAAATATCTTGGGTACTATTATTGATGATTTGATACACCGCTGGTCATCAGTCTATTTGCCTGAAAGATCATCCATCTGGCGGGTGGAATGGAATGCATCAGATTATATAGCAGGGAATTGACATGCCGTACAACTTTATGAAACTGCAGAGTAGCCCTGATCGAATGATGCCAGGTGGCATGTTGATATTCAAGATTTCCTAGTTATTTATAGGAATATAGGATAGGAATCTTTTTAGGCAGCAGCCCTATACTGATTGTTTCCGAATTGTCGGATGCATCGAAGCATCTACAGGTCTTTGACGCCACAGGATAAGGTTAGAGCCACAGATTCATCAGAGTATTTCATCAACATAAAGAATAAAACAATCTCTGTCATTGAATCAAATATGATAGCTTCAATCTTGATAGCTATATTATGCTGGTGTCGATATTCCAGTGCTAGTTTCATCCGAGACAGATATACTATGTCTAGACCTATGTATATTAGGCTCTGAGCAGCGGTCAAGCATTATAGCATTATATAGTAAGTCATAGTTCATCAATATAGCCTGCAATATATATATGCCAAGACTGTAGCCCAGTCAAGCCTTGTGGCGCTCGGGCAAGCCAGGGCAAGCCAGGGCGTCCTGCGGCATGAGATCCGGCTAAGCGGTGATCCATGTAGCGGGTGTACCTGGAGTTAGTGGCTGTATAGCAGGCTGCAGTACCAGATAGATACAAGTAGATCGCAGATACAAGAACACTGTATGTAGTAGTCTCTTGGCCAGGAATCTCCCGTCGAAATATGGATATCCCCTGTATAGATGACACAGCAATGAATGATGAAACAGACAGTCAATACTATTGTCTTACATAAAAAAGGTAACTGTGGTTTATAGTGTCTACACTATTACTTCTTAGGATCAATGGGTCTTGTCATGAGACTTTTGTAGCCAGTATAGATACAGTCAGGAGACTCCTTTTATATTATTTTTCTGTCTACTGTGCTCAGTCTAGTCTATAGGCTGGGATGAATATTGACAGTCGGGTATATTGCCTGATTTTATTGGGAGTGCCACACTGATCCTTCTGCCCTGACCACCTGATCTGTGCTAGGACTGAATAGGCAAAGGAAATGCAACTAGCCCTGTTAATTTTCTGCATTAAACAATCAATCCTATGAATTATTCATAGTACAGAGTACTCTGGACTGAGTATAGAGTTTGATAATTACTATATAATTCTTTATATGATGGTCTTCATATTATTATAATTCATATATTACTAAATATTTTTATATTATTATTATCTATATGATGAAAGCTATAGTAACATGTAGTAGTACGTCGGCTGAGGTATTTTTCCAAGCTTTAATTTCCAGCTAAGGCTTCCAAGGCCGAAGTCGGCGGGACCACGTGGGGATAACGCAACAGGAGTGCATAGAGTTGAGTAATAGTTTCTACACCCCATAACCATTAATTTCGGCAATACTGCAAAGAGCAAGCCGGAGTAATTGCCTGGAGTAGCAGCACTGCAGGTTACTCCGTACAGGGGATATAAATGCAGACAAGCTTCTCCAATCATCCGAGCTTTCCGAGGAAACGCAACGCACGCAACGTCTCGATGGCCTCTGTGCGTTGTGGGATGCATCTGATTGCCCGGGAATGAATCTTCTCTCCACTGTGATAATTAATTCCTACCCACCATCGACGGTGATTCTGGCGCTCCCCACCCACACCCACTAGATAATTCTGATCCCAGTCAGATCCACTGTGATAATACACAGACTGGACTTGACTCGCCTGCACTAGCCATGCCAAGTACGGAGCGTTCGTGGCAAGAGCAGAAAATTCTACCTGACTAGAGGCGGATCTAACTTGATCAGATAACGCTAGATAAAAGCAGTCCGTATTCCTTTCGTATCCAGCATTCGTCAGGACGAATAATACGACGGCGTGAGTCCACTGGCCGCTATTGTACAAGGATTCCGCCGACGCCCCAGTGGGGACGGCGGCATTCCCATCGTGTGCGAGTTATCAATCAATCAATCAGCCAACACGATATAAAGGGGACTTGACTCTCCACGCTGTTCGGGCTCTCTTTTTCTTTCCTTTCTGATTCCATGTTCTGATTCCACTTCAACATGCCTTCTTTCATCCGATCTGCCTTTGGTCGTTCGTCCAACGACGACGACCGGGTCACGGCCGTCGATGCGCCGCAGGAGAATGGCGACCAGGAAAAGTCTGGCGTCACGACTGCTGCCACCGACAAGTCGGGGATTCCTGCCGACGCCAACATCCTCGATGAGGAGAGCAAGCAGAACCCCAACCCGGAGGCGCAGAAGGGTGTGTATGACATGGAGGCCATCACCCTGACCTGGTCTCGCTGGGCTCTGGTTGCTGTTTTCCTGAAGTAAGAAATCAATCTATGTTTATATTTAGAGAGATATATATATACTAACAAAACAGTATGTGGTGTTTGTACTTTGTCAACGCCATGCAGTCCGAGATCGTGGGCGACCTGATCCCCTACATCACCTCCAAATGGGATTCCCATTCGCTGCTGAACGTCATCTACGTCGTCTCCGACACCATGACCGCCGCCTGCTACATGCCTCTGGCCAAGATCATGGATATGTGGGGGCGTGCCGAGGGTTTCTTCTCCATGATTGTCATTGCCACCGTCGGCATCATCATCATGGCCGTCGCCAACAACCTGCCTGCTTTCTGCGCCGGATATGTATGATTCCTTATGATGATCATGATGATTTTTTTTTTTTTTTTCAGATGCTGACGGGTTAGGTCTTTTACAACCTCGGGTTCGGTGGTATGACCTACTGTGTGGACGTCATCACGGCCGATTCGTCGCTGCTCCGGTCTCGAGGCCTGGCGTACGCCTTCACCTCGTCGCCGTACATCATCACGGCCTTTGCCGGCCCCAAGGCCGCCCAGGACGCCCTGGACGGCATGGGCATGAAATGGGGCATCGGCCTGTTCGCCTTCATCCTCCCCGTCGTCGCCTCGCCGCTGTTCTTCATCCTCAAGTCGACCCTGCGCAAGGCGGGCATCGTCCGTCCCAAGAGCGGCCGCACCTGGTACCAGAGCATCTACTGGTACATTGTCGAACTTGACCGTACGTTCTCTCTCTCGTAGTTTTTGTTCTATGTTATATCATGCTAATTGTCAGTGGTCGGTCTGTTCTTCTTCTCCGCGGGCCTGACCCTGTTCTTCATCCCCTTCGATCTGGCCGGCAGCGCCCCCAGCAGCTGGGCCACCGACTACATCATCACCATGATCGTCATCGGCTTCTGCATGCTGTTTGTCTTTGCCGGCTGGGAGATCTGGTGTGCCCCCCGCCCCCTGCTGCCGTACAACCTGCTGCGCGACCGCACCGTGCTGGGCGCCTGTCTGCTGGACGCGACCTACCAGATCGCCTACTACTGCTGGGACAACTACTTCACCTCCTTCCTGCGGGTGGTCGACGGCCTGTCGGTCTCCCAGGCCGGTTACATCAACAACACCTTTGACGTCGTCGGCGGTGTGCTGCTGCTGGGTGTTGGTGTCATTATCCGCAAGACGGGCCGCTTCCACTGGATGCTCTGGGTCAGCGTGCCGCTGTACATGGTCGCGCAGGGCCTGATGATCTACTTCCGCCGCCCGGACCAGAGCTACGGCTACCAGGTGATGTGCCAGGTGTTCATCTCCATCGGTGGCAGTGTGTTTATCATTATCGAGCAGCTGTCCATCCTGGCTGCTGTTGACCACCAGCACGTCGCCTCCGCCCTGGCCCTGCTCAACGTTGTGGGCACCATTGGCGACGGCATGGGCGGCACCATCTCGGGCGCCATCTGGCAGAACACCTTCCCCAACGCCCTGCGCCGCTGGCTGCCCGAGTCCGCCATGGACAACTTCTACGACATCTACGAGGACATCGACACCCAGCTCAGCTATGCCAAGGGCACCGCCACCCGCACGGCCATCGACAAGGCCTACGCCTATGCCCAGTCGCGCATGTTGGCCGTGGGCACCGGCATCATGGTGCTGTGCTTCATCTGGACTCTGATGATCCGCAACATGGATCTGAGGAAGATGCCCCAGGTCAAGGGTATGGTGTTCTAAACCATTCCTTACCAGTACTTCTATCACTACTTCACTACTATCAGTACTATCAGTACTACAATACCCAAAATTCAGTGCTTACTGCACTACTACCTTTTAATTAGACTAGAAACAAGTATAGTCGCGCTCTCTAATCCATTTGACTTTTCTTCCTGTCAGCTGCTTCGGCTATTCTTGTTTTTGTTTAATTAAGCCCCACCATGTATTAATACTAGAAACCTAGCAAGTTACATTCTGTTATTAGAATATAAATAACAGCATATTACATCTCATCTCTCTCTCTCATCTATATCTATTATTCTATCTATATCATCAACATCAATCTAATCATCATCTAATCATCATCTAATCAACATTTAATCAACATTTAATCATCATCATCTATGTATTTAATCACAATCTAATCAGATAATCTTCTTACGTGTCCCATACAGACCCCGACCCACAGGCCTCGTAATTATCAATTAATTAATCTAGTGCAGTAGTTGCTCCGAAACTAGCGTCTCCTCCTGCTCCATCAGGCTCCATAGTAGTATCCTGGATAATTATTTTCCAGAAATACCACTTATTAGTCTAGAATATTGCTCTGGACGGAAGGTAGATTGATAAGCCCCACCCCACTCGGCACTTAAGCTATCTATCACTGGGTACTTATTAGATACCACCTGCCTGGCACTAGATCTTTATGTAGCACTCACTTACCCCTCACCATGTCGAAATTCTGGCCAAAAGGATCGCCGGGCATCCTCCACCATTATGTACATCCTTGATTTTTCTGTGGGAGCTCGCTTTGACTGTGCCTCTAATGCCATGCCTTCTAGACGGAAACCCTGGTGACCTTTGAATATACCGCGCCGCGAAGCCAACCACACAGCCTGCTGTTCATCGGCGGCCTGGGCGACGGCCTGTCCACCACCTCCTACCTCGCCGAGCTCGCCAAGGGCCTGCAGTCGACCCAATGGGCGCTCTTCACCCTCATCACGACCTCCTCCTACCAGTCCTGGGGGCTGGGCCATCTTGACCGCGACACCGACGAGATCGCCCGGTGCATCAACTACATCCGCGCCTACAAACCCGCCGGCCGCATCGTGCTCATGGGCCACTCGACCGGCAGCCAGTGCGTGCTGCACTACCTGTCGCGACCGAACCCGCACACCACCCGCCACGCCTTCGACGCCGGTCTCGAGCACGTGACCCGCCCTGCCCTAGACGGCGCCATCATGCAGGCTCCGGTCTCGGACCGGGAGGCCGTCTCGCTGATCCGCCGGATGGGCTTCTGCGGCCGCTCGCCCGCGAGCATCCAGGCCGCGTACGAGGAAGCCCTGGCCTCGTCGCTCGCCGCCGAGCGCTCCCCCAAGGCCGAGGAGGAGAAGAAAACGGATACCCTGCTCAGCCTCGACGTGCTGAACCGCATCGGATACCCCGCCGGCACCCCGCTCAGCACGCGCCGCTTCCTGAGTCTCGTCAGCCCGGAGTCGCCCGCGGCCCCGCGCGAAGACGACCTCTTCAGCTCCGATCTGCCGGACAGTCAGCTGGAAGCCACCTTTGGCAAGATCCGTACCAATGGTCTGCTGCGCGACGCCGCCAAGCTGCTTGTCCTGTACTCGGGCGCCGACCAGTCGGTGCCCGCGTGGGTGGACAAGGAGGCGTTGCTGGCGCGCTGGAGACGGGCGACGGACCATGACGGCGCCGTGAGCATTTGGGATGCCGAGAACGGGGGGATCATTCCTAATGCATCACATGCCCTGAGTAATGATGACCAGGCAGGGCCGTTGGCTGATCTCGTTAGACGGGTGACTTCGTACTTGAGTTGTTCAGAATAGACTAATGATAATGATGCAGCAGTGAATTATAGAACTGTAATATTAACATAAAAATAGTGTATAATAAATTAAAAATAGTAGTATAGTAATATAATATAATAAATATAATAAATATAATAAATATAATATAACTGGTTATAATCTTACCCTGTATATAGTAACTATCTACACACCCCTGCTGTACATGTGAGACATTAGCATCAGCAGTGAATATCATTTGTAATCATATATTTATTATAATATATAACTATTCTATAAAGTACTATTTATTCTTGCTATTCAGAGACATATTCTATGCAGAGACATATTCTATGCAGAGTAAACAGTGGAATGTCAGGGGTGATTCCCTGGAATACAGCGAAAAACCGGTTCCAGCACTGGGCGACAATGAAGTCCTTGTCAAGCGTAAGCTGTCTAATGTCTACCAAGTAATGTGATGGCGTATTTCTAATGATCAGTCCAAGGAGCTTCCCTCAACGTACACCCCAAACCCTAACCCTAACCCTAACCCTAAACACTATACTAATCTTTAGTTTCGCGACATCCTCATCACGCAAGGAAAATACCCCTTCCCTCTTCAACCAGGGGTTATTCCCGGCTCTGACGGCGCAGGAACTGTCCTGGCGATCGGGAAACGAGTGACGCGCTTCTCGCCCGGCGACCATGTCGTGACCATCATCAACCAGCACTTCCTCGCAGGCCACCAGGACGAGAGAACGCTTCAATCAGGCCTCGGCGCCTCGCTGGACGGGACGTTTCGTACGGTCGGCGCCTTTGACGAACAGGGCCTGGTTGCGATGCCGGCTTGTCTGAGCTTCGTCGAGGCTTCAACGCTGAGCTGTGCGGGCTTGACGGCCTGGAATGCCCTATTCGGCCTCCCCGGGCGGAAGGTCCAGGCGGGAGACTGGCTGCTCACGCTGGGCACGGGCGGCGTGAGTCTCTTCGCGGTGCAGTTGGCGAAAACGGTCGGGGCGAGGGTGATCTCCACGACGAGCTCGGAAGAGAAGGCGAATATCTTGAGGAAACTCGGGGCGGACCATGTCATCAACTATCGCGAGTCGCCCGACTGGGGGCTTGTTGCGAAACAGCTCACGGGCGGCGTGGGCGTCGACATGGTGGTTGAAGTCGGGGGGGCGACTACCCTCGCACAGAGCATGGCCAGTCTGCGTATGGACGGGATGATGAGCGTTGTTGGCTTCGTGGGGGGGGATGACACTCCTACTGCTATGCCGACTCTGCTGGACTGCTGGATGAATCTGTTCACAGCACGCGGCGTCTCAGTCGGCAACCGGCTGCAGATGGAGGAAATGTGTCGGGCTATCGAGGCAAATCCTGATAAACTGCGGCCGGTGGTGGATGAGAGAGTGTTCAGGTTGGAGCAGCTGAAGGAGGCATATGAATATCTGGCAGGAGGTCATCATAAGGGCAAGGTGTGCATTGATATAAGTATTTAATTATTCTTCTATTTCTATCATTAAATTTAAATATCTATGTCTATCTCTCTGATTTATGTATATCAACTTTATTTATATCCATTTATCCTAAATTTCTATCTGTATTTTGATATATCCAATTACTCATAATTTATTTTAATTTCTTCTATATATGGAATAAGCTAACTCCGTGTCCATTTTAGGAAGTTGATATCTCCGCCAGGTATAAATCCACATCATATCTCCATTACTGCATCGACCATTGTATTCCATTATATTCTCATTATATTCTACATTATGAAGCTCGACAACGCCAGGATCCTCCTGCTTGGAGGAACGTCTGGAATTGGATTCGCAATAGCCGCAGCCTGCCTCGACGCCGGAGCCATCGTTATTATCTCCAGCTCAACCGAGCAGCGTCTGTCTTCTGCCCTGTCCCGCCTGCGAGCCTCCTATCCCCACGCCGAAGACCGCATCCAAGGCCACCTTTGCGACCTGTCCGATCCCCAGACCGTCGAAGAGAACCTGCTCCGTCTGCTGGATCTGGCGACAGACCATAACACCGTCAAGCTGGACCATATCACCTACACTGCAGCCAACATCCCCCGTCTGCCCCCACTGTCCAACTACACTGCCGGGAGCCTGGGCGCATCCTTCACCATCCGTGTGGAAGCGCCTATCCTGCTAGGTAAGCTGGCGGGGGGGTATCTCCATCCCGGGCCCCAGTCGAGCATCACCTTCACCTCAGCCTCGACAGCGACCAAGCCCACGCCCGGAAGAGGCCTACTCACCGTGTTGGGGGCTTCCACAGAGGGCATCGCCAAGGGGCTGGCCGTGGATCTCGCCCCGATCAGAGTCAACGTCGTCGCCCCGGGCACCGTCGATACGGAGCTTCTCAGGGGATTGGCGGGGGACAATCCCGGCCGTTTCTACGATTTTCTCAAGTCGGGGACGCTGTTGAAACGGATTGGAAACCCACAGGACGTCGCGGAGGCGTATCTCTATCTCATGAGGGATGCTAACGTCACTGGGGGGGTCATTCATACTGATGGGGGGAGGTTGTTGCAGTGATATAGTATCAGTTACCTAGGATGCAGTATGTTGGAATATCACCATAAGTACTACCTTCTATTCCTTATATAGGTTAATTAGCTATAATATTTAGTTACTTTGAGCAGTGAAGGATATGCTCTAGGTCTAAATAGATCATTAAAGGTTGAAGATAATAAGACTATTAACCATTAATTCAAAGTTACAACCCTAATAACAATCAATATACTAGAGCTCAGCTATAGATAGATTTCCATAAATAGGCCTATTTCTTTCATTTTGCAGGCGAATACATCATGTAATAAATACCACAGCTAGGCTAGAACTGCATACAGAATAGATTGACATAAATCAAGATTAATGTTGAACCAAGTGGGTACTACAACCAAGTACTCGGCTCTGGAGTGTTACTTTGGTCTGTAGCCCTAACATTACTTAAATCTATATATTGAAGTTTTCCAACTGTACTCTCTATTATTCTGATTCTATAATAATAGTAAATCAAGGCTTTCACCCGGGTGAATTGAGATGTAGGCCACGTCAGCAATTACCCCGCAGCTGAGCCTCGTGGAGTATCACGCCAGTCTGACATTACCACATTTCTTACACTATGAATAATGTCAATAAGGATAATAGCATTATTGTGTTGACCAGAGACTCGAACTAATTTGATATTCATCCTACACTCAAATGGCTGACAGAAGGCTCCCTCGTGAAGCCTACACGGTTGGATGGGTATGCGCCCTTCCTGTCGAACTCGCCGCCGCAGAAGAAATGCTTGACGAACGACACGGGGATTCGGTCACCGGTCCTAAGGACAGCAACATCTATACCCTTGGACGTATCGGAGAGCATAATGTGGTGATCGCCTGTTTACCGGAAGCTCAGATGGGCACCAACTCCGCCGCTGCAGTGGCTGCCCAGATGCAGTCGGCCTTTACCTCTATTCGCATTGGTCTTATGGTTGGTATTGGTGGAGGAGTCCCATCAACGAATTCAGATATCCGACTTGGGGATGTGGTGGTCAGTCGACCGGAAAACAGCCACGGCGGAGTCGTGCAATATGACTTTGGAAAAAGCACGCCGAGTGGCTTCCAGAGAACCGGGTTTCTAAATGCTCCGCCAAAGACCCTTCGGAATGCCGTCTCTCGCCTCAGAGCTAAGCATATGCGGGATGAAGCGCAGTTTCTACAGTTCATGTCCAAGTTCGACCGTCTTCCAACCTTTACCCGGGAGTACGCAGGGTCAGATGTCTTGTTTGATGCACAATACAACCATGTGGGGGGACTGACATGTGAAGATTGTGATGAACAGAGGATACTGATAAGGAGAGATCGTGGTCAGCAGGAGGGCATAACCGTTGTCCACTATGGTACTATCGCATCTGGGAACCAAGTGATGAGAGACGCTGCCGAGCGAGATCGAGTCAGTTCAGAGCTTGGCGGGGTGCTCTGCTTTGAGATGGAGGCTGCTGGGCTGCTGAATGAGTTCCCATGTCTTGTTATAAGGGGCATCTGTGACTATTCAGACTCACACAAGAATAAGAGGTGGCAGCCATATGCCGCAGGAGTGGCAGCAGTATATGCCAAAGAACTTCTCTCCACCATACCTGCTATAGAGATTACACAATTCCTCGTGGAATCAACAGGTGAGCTATTATTTATGGTTCTTAAGAGTGGTGATTAATCTCATATAGCAGTCGCAAGGAAAAAGACATTTTTTACCATCCCATATCAAAGAGATGAGAACTTTGTTGGCCGAGAATCTATAATGACTGATCTTGATGATAAAATGCAATCCATGACTGCCGCCAGGCACATTAGGGTTGCTCTAGTTGGGATAGGGGGAATAGGGTATGAGAGCTCTCATTTCCAGTTAATCAATTGGTCTAATGGAAAAAAAATAGCAAGTCTCAAATCGCTATTGAATACGCCTATCGAGCTCGACAACGCAACCCAGAATTGTCTGTATTCTGGGTCTATGCTGGCAGCGTCGCCCGCTATGAACAGGCCTATAAAGATCTTGCAGACAAACTTGATCTTCCGGGCAGAGCCGACCCTGGAGTGGATATTTTGAAACTGGTATCGCAGTGGCTATCTGACGATGTCAACGGCCAGTGGCTGATGATTCTGGACAATGCTGATAATGAGGATATGTTCTTCAATGAGCCAAAAGCAAATGGAATTGCCCTGATCACCTCTATTCCTCAAACAACAAATGGATCTGTTCTCATCACCACTCGAGGCTCGACGGCCGCCAGGAATCTCCTTACCACCACCTATCAGAACATAGTCTCTGTCGAGGTTATGGACGCAAATGATGCCTTGGACCTTTTTCAAACGAGGGTTGCTCTAGACAAGCATTCATTGGAAGACGCTCGCAAGCTTGTTCAGACATTGGAATATATCCCCTTGGCCATCAGCCATGCCAGCGCATATATTCAAGCACGATCACCAAGGATCACAGTGTCAGCATACCTTGCTCTACTACAAGAGAGTGATGCAAGCTTGGCCGCACTCCTTAGCCATCTAGATGTGAGGGATTCCAGGCGAGACTACAGTTCCCAGCATGTGGTCACTGCGACTTGGCAGATCACCTTTGACCAGATACGAACTTCTCAGCCCGCTTCATCTGATCTCCTTGCTTTAATGAGCATGTTTGACCGGCACAGGATCCCTGAAACACTGTTACTACAAAACAGAACTCGGGGTGAGTTTGAGGATGCTATTCATCCATTGATAAGCTTCTCACTCATCAGAGAGAGCAAAGATCAACAATCCTTTGAGATTCACCGTCTTGTACAAATATCCATGAGGAAGTGGCTAGAGTCTCATAACCAGCTGCAAAAATGGAGCATAATATCGGCCGAAATAATTGCCAGATCTTTTCCGTCTGGAGAATTCGAAACATGGAAAGAATGCCAAATATTGCTGCCGCATGCTATGGAGGTCTTGCGACAAGCTCCGGAGAATAACAGCCCAATGCCGATGAATCAAACCCCTAGACCGACGTTACGCCAGCGTCTCAAGGGAAAGCTTACACGCCGACACAGAGAAAAACCTACTGCAGACAACCGAGAATCACTGCCATGGGCAGAGATTGGAAAAAAGGCTGGCTGGTACCTATTCCTCCAAGGCAGGTATCAAGAAGCAGAGGCGATGCTTCGGCAAGTTCTGAGAGGAACTGAGAAAATACTAGGTCCAAAGCATCCTGATACACTTGCTAGTATCAATAACCTTGGCTCAGTTCTTGGAGAACAGGGGAAATACCAAGAAGCAGAGGCGATGCATCGGCAAGCTCTAAGAGAGAAAGAGAAAGTACTAGGTCCAGAGCATCCTAATACCCTTGCTAGTGTTAATAACCTTGGCTTAGTTCTTGGAGACCAGGGGAAATACCAAGAAGCAGAGGCGATGCATCGGCGAGCTTTAAGAGAGAGAGAGAAAGTGCTAGGTCCAGAGCATCCTAATACCCTTGCTAGTGTTAATAACCTTGGCTTAGCCCTTGGAAAACAGGGGAAATATCAAGAAGCGGAGGTAATGCATCAGCGAGCTCTAAGAGGATATGAGAAAGTGCTAGGTCCAGAGCATCCTGATACACTTAGGACTGCTCAAGCCCTTATCTTAGCCCTTGAATGCCAGGGTAAACATCAAGAAGCTGAGACAGTGCATCAGCGAGTACGAAGTGTTAGATAGCTGTTGAATATATTGTCATGGTTTCTTATATTAATTTACGACTTGATCAGATTCTCCCTCTATATAGGCTGGTTCTCAAAATTCAAGGCCTCATAATTTGAACGTATGTGAAATGAGGTCTGGGATACTTGATTTCTATCGCACAGGAAAGCTATATAAGCTCAACTACATCATATCTGCAGAAGGGTTAGATATAGCTATGATTCTGTATATAGGCTAGGCCATGAGTTAGGACTCCTTTTACCACTGTTCAGACTAATGTAAGGAATTGTAGAGGTGAAGTCGAAGATTCACCGCGAGGTTTTAGGGCTACAGATTGACTATCCATATCGTGCTCCCTCCTCATCAAACCAAACAGGTAAGACACCATAATTGAACACGGTACTCTTCAGCCGCGTATAGCTCTCATACGCCGCTCGTCCGTTCTCTTTGCCCAGTCCACTCTCGCCGAATCCCCCCCACGGCGACGACGGATCGTTCAGATGATGCCCGTTGACCCAGACGATGCCCGCCTCGATGGCTTCGGCGACCCGATGCGCCTGGGCGAAATCGTGTGTCCAAACGGACGCCCCCAGGGCGAGTTGTGTGTCGTGGTTAGCTATCTTGATGATCTCTTCTTCGGAGGCACATTTAATGACTGCAATCACAGGGCCAAACACCTCCGTGCATGCCAGTTCTGTGCCGGGAACAGTTTCAATAAGAGTCGGCGCGAAGAAGAAGCCAGAGAAAGACTCTGTTTGATATTGGTTTCCTCCACATAAGAGTCTCCCGCCCTGAGCAACAGCGCGGGAGACAAACTCCTCACAGCGACGAACGGCAGCAGCGTTGATCACAGCGCCGACCTGCGTGTGCGAATCCATAGGATCACCAATCCGCAACGCCTTGGTGCGTTCCACCAGACGAGCAAGAAACGCATCGTACCCGTCTGCATGCACCAGGATCCGACTGCCCGTCACACACGTCTGGCCCGAGGCAATAAACGCCGCGAAGAGGGCTGCCTGTACGGCTTCCTCGACGGGCACGCTGGGGAACACACACACGGGCGCCTTGCCGCCCAGCTCGGCCGTGATGGGGACGAGGTTGCGCCCAGCGATGGGGGCGAGAGCCTGGTACGTCGCCAGCGAGCCTGTCAGATCAATACGTGCGATGCGTTTGTCCTCGACGAGGAAACGGCCTGTCTCGCGCCCTGTTCCGCAGACAATCTGTAGCACGCCGTCTGGTAGGCCTGCCTGTTTGAAGAGAGGCCCCAGACGGAGGACAGACAATGGCGCCAGCTCGGAGGGTTTGAGGATCACCACATTGCCTGCTGCCAGGGCGGCTGCCACCTTCTTCACGCTGATCAGCAACGGGTGGTTCCAGGGGGTAAGCTGGACGACCACGCCCAGCGGGCGGCGGGTGAGCGTGTTGACCACGGGGCCTTTGAAGGGCGTCACGGCGCCTTCGTATGTGCGAGCCAGCGAGGCAAAATACTCCAGCCACTCCGGGATGCGCGATAACTGGGCGCGCATCTCGCGGATCGGGCGTCCTGTCTGTCGCACCTCCAGCTCCGTCAGCTCCGGGATGGCGTCGCGGAGCAATGAGGCGGCGGTGGAGAGAACCGTAAAGCGCTGGGAGGCATCAGACTGTGTCCAGGGGCTGTGGTGGAAGTTGTGCAGCGAGTCGGTGATGATGGCTTCGACCTGCTCGCGCGGGGTTGCCTCGATGGTTGCCAGGGGGGTTTCGTTCGCCGGGTTGATCACCGTCAACCGGGAAGCACCGGACGAGTCCTGCCCGTTGATCCAGTTGGGGATGTGAAGCATGATTTATAGTCCTAAATATTATTAAAGGTGATGTAGAAGGTGAGAAGTTAAGAGAGTAGAGAGTAGAGAAGAGGGGAAGATAAGATAGGCAGAAGTACTGTCTATAACTACCTAGGTAGTTATATAGATAGATAGAAACAGCTGCTCTGTGATCTTAATAAAAGCTACTAGGATATAGTTAATAAAGTATTTTTTTATTAGTTAAAAATATAAATAAGCAATAAGTAAAACACTTATATTATATAGAACTAAAGGGTACTATATCTCTCTTTACATCCTTTTCGCTCTGCCAAGAATCCACCCTCAATAGTACTTTCATCTCTTTATCACTATAAAAGAAGACTTTATTTATCTACTTATCTATTTCTTCGATGACTGGCAAAAGTGATGTTGAGACAGCTCACTCAGCTTAGTTAGAAAACAGTGTCTAACAATATAAAGGCTAATTAGTTTAATGGACTCCAGAACTTAAGCAGCCGCTCTCTACCCCTATATCAACGCCGAATATCAACTCAACCAATATATGTATGAGATCTACAGCCAGAAATGGTGCGAGTTGACAAATGAGACAATTTGGATAGTAGAAAGAGAATTTAATAAACCATATCCTATATTTAATATACTATCCTCTAGATATGATGAAATTAAACATCCTAATGGCATCCATGTGATCATTTATCCTTATCTCTCCGGGATAGCGGAAGCCTGCAGGAAAACACTTTAGGAGAATGATTATGAAAAAAAGGAATAGGTGGATGATAAGGGAAATGGATGGCTGACTATGAGGGAGAGGAGGTCAGAGAGGCAAAGAAAGTGCAAAGGACGAATCGGGGATTTTTGCCGCCAGATCGGAGGAATGTGCTTTCAGGTCTATCCAATATAGATAAGACAGGGATTAATCTTGCATCAATTAAGCTGAAAGGAGCCAATAAGAATAGGCAACATATTAAATCATAAGGAGAATTATTATAGAGGCTCTTGTCTTTGCATGCATGCATATATGCATACCATCTTCTTATTCCACTTTCCTCCCCTTCATCCCTCCCATTTTCCCCACTTTCTTTGTCTCTCTCTCCCTTTTCTTTATTTCTTTCTCCCTTTTCTTTGTCTCTTTCTCCTTTTTCTTTGTCTCTTTCTTTGTTTACCCCTCTATTAGCTGGCCGACATTATGCCGAGCCATGGTTTTTCTAATGAGCTCACGTAAGTGACAGGGATTACAACCAGACAACATGACTCGTGGCTGCTTCCCTCGGTTAAGAACGAATACAATAGGTAAAGAGGCTGATAATAGAGTTCCAGTCCGGCATGATGACAAATAAAGGAATGTTCGCAGTAATGTAGATGCTAGACATACTCTAGTAAGACACTCTAACGCAGCTGGTGTTAGTGGACTAAATTATATAAGTATCATCAGTTATGTATAAAAGGTCTATAGGCAGTCTATAATCTATAACCTGATCATTTCATTCAACATGTCTCGTCCTCAATCAGCCACAGACACTCCAGACACTCCCAATGACACGCTCGCTGTATGAGAGACACCACTGATACTCTTATAGTCTAGTTGTTACTGACTCTGACTGAATAGATTGCCCAATCTCGTCCCCAAGAGCTCGGCGTGGCCAGTCTAACTCACGTTGTCCGTGGCCATTCGGAGACACGCACGATCTACTACCGCGACGACCTCATCATCCCCGAGATAGAGAGACAGGGTCAAGACGTACCGCCAGGTGGACGCAGAGACAGCCAGAGTCAGAGCAACTGCACGCTGTTCGAAGAGGAAGAACAGCAGTCTGCGTGCTTCTGCTTCCGGGATACAGAGATCGACAATTCCTCGTCCGTGTTCAACGGCAGCATTGCCCCTGTGGAAGAGGTGGCCATTGTGCGCAAGCATCATCTGCATGGCGGGCAGATCAAGAACAAGAGCAAGTTTGTCAATGGAGACCTCGACCGCGACACTTTTCTGGCGTTCTTCTGTCGTGACTGACAGGGGTGTTATTGTTGATAGAACCATCCAATGAATTAAATCCGATATCAGGCAACTTCTAAGCGGGGTGATGGCCATTGATAAGGCGTGACGCGTCCTAATATAAATACCATAAATATAAGCCATGGTGAGACATTATTCCTCTCACCTTCAATTCCCTTAAAAATGTATTCAGATGAAGATGGCACTGCGTCGAAGGAGTCCGAGGCAGAGTATCAGGCCCGTCTACGGATCTTGCAGTCTCTAACCTGTTTATTATCAGGTTTGGGATTTGCAGTGGCTGTAGGGAGTAGATGGAGCAATTTATTATGGGTATGTCAAGACATAACTTGGCATCTGATATACTTATATATACTCTAGATGCTTCTCTCAGTCCACAGTGTGAGACTCTACTGGATAGACACGCCGACTATAGTCTACACTACAGCGCTGAGAGGATGTCTACTTTCTCTCCTCCTGATGGGTTACCTCCTTGCAATATCTTCAAACCATTCAGTACAGCTATATCTCGCCTTGAGCCTAACTCTCCTGCACACCCTCTTCCCTCGTCGTCCCCGGGTGTTCACGCCAGACGGCCACCCCGTCGATGGGGAGAACAGCTCAACTGCTTTCAACCGGTACTCGATGCTGTGGTGTGTCACTGCTCTACGTCTTGCCGGGAAGAGGAATGCCAGATTTCCAGCGTTGGATTATGGTACTCGTTCCAGGACTCAGCCTCTGATCTCACTCGTTTCCTCTTCTTCCACTCTGTGGAAGTACGTCTTCACTGAGAGATGGCGTACTTTTGCGAAACAATGGGCTCTGATGTTTGTGCAATCCGTACTGACCTTCGCCTCTCCGTATTGTGTCACGCAACTGCTGGAGAGCCTTGAAAAGGAAGAACAACGAGAAAATGCCTGGCTATGGCTGCTCGCGATGGGTGCTTCTGCTGTCTGTGAAACCGTCGTCCATTACCGTCTGGTCTGGATCCAGTGGTCAGAGGCAGGGATCCCCATCCGAGCACAACTCATCATGGCCATCTTCCACAAAGCCCTGCGGATGAAAGATTCCTCCAATACCTCATCGACAGTCGAGAACAGCAAGAAGAAATCACCCGAGGCGATCAATCTCCTCACGTCTGACACGGTGTCCTTTAGCAAGTTCACGGCCGTGAACCATGTGCTGCCCTTCTCGTGTCTGGAATTGCTGCTGGCCGGTTGCTTTCTGTTTCGACTGCTCGGCTGGCAGGGCACGCTGGCAGCCGCAGTGGTCACAGCAGGCTGTTACCCTATTCATTCGGCTGTCGTGCGCGGCGAGCAGCAGGCGCAGAAGAAGCTGACCACCGCCAGAGACAAGAAGATCCGGACGGTCACCGAAGCCCTGCATGCCCTGCGGCAGATCAAATTCCATGCCCTTGAGGACCCCTGGGAGGCCAGTCTAGCGGCAGTGCGAGAGGAGGAGCTGCAGTGTGTGCGCAGATGCTTCATCGCTAGCAATGTCCGTTCTGTGTGGAAAGTGGCTTCCCCCTTGCTGGTTGCCAGCGCTGCCGTCATCACGACCACCTCTCTCCACGAGGGAGGAGATATCCCCGTGTCGGCCATCTTCCCACTGCTCGAGCTGCTGCCTCATCTCCAGGCGTCCTTGGGTGTGATCCCCCTCGTCGTGCAGGATTATCTCGGTGCCAGGTCCAATGCTCGCCGGATGGAGGCCTTCCTCAATCGGGAGGAACAGAAAAGCATCCTCAGCCCGAGTCTGTCGGGTCGGTTGGAGTTTCACAATGCCTCTATCGCCTGGCCTGCTGGTGATGATTCTGCAGGTGCCGAGAAAGAAAAAGCCATTCGTCGGTTCTCTCTCGCTGGGATCAATCTTGACTTCCCCGTGGGAGAAATGAGTGTCGTACACGGCAAAACAGGCTGTGGGAAGAGCTTGTTGCTCGCCGCCGCCCTGGGAGAGGCAGATCTGCTTGACGGGCGTATCGAGGTGCCAATGGTCAATGGGAAAACACCTGGAACGGCGTTTGTCTCGCAGACCCCCTGGCTGCAGAACAGCACACTCCGAGACAACATCCTGTTCGGCAGCCCGCTGGAGGCTTCCCGGTACGAGCAGGTTCTGGCCGCCTGTGCCCTGCATCCCGACCTGGCGGCTCTCCCAGACGGCGACGAGACGCTGATAGGGCTCCGCGGCGTGAAGCTGAGTGGCGGCCAGCGGGTGAGGGTTGCCCTGGCACGAGCGCTCTATTCGACCGCTCCCGTCCTTGTCTTGGATGATATCTTGGCCTCCCTTGACGTTCATGTCGCCAGACACGTCTTCTTCCGGGCGTTGACAGGCGAATTGTGCCGTGGGCGCACGCGCATCATGGCCACGCACCAGCTGGACCTGTGTTTGCCAAACGCTCAATATCTTGTTGAGATCCACGATGACTACACCATCACCGGCCAGACCACGCACCACTTGTCGATTGACAGACCGGTAGATCTTGAAGTGGATGCAGATTGGAAGCCTCATTCAGCGGAAGAGAAGAAGAAGAAGAAGAAGAAAAATGAGAGAACAAAGAAAATTGAAGACAAAAGCACGCTCTCTCACAGCAGTGACATGAAGGTATACAAGGCATACTTCAAAGCCGCAGGAGGTCTCACGTTCACCTGTATCTATCTCGGAGGCCTCATCTCCAAGCAGCTGGCGGGTGCTCTGACAACCGGGAGCATTCGTTCGGATCCCCGTCTCTATCTCTTCAGCTCGCTGCTGTGCGTTCTGCTGGAGGTTGGCTTCAATCTGCATCGGTCTGCGGGCTCCCTGCGTGCCTCGAGAGGCTTGTTCCGGGCCATCACGGCTAGAGTGCTTCGCATGCCTCTTCTTTGGTTGGACTCCACGCCTATCGGGGAGATGCTGAAGCGCTTCAGTACCGACACTAGGATGGTCGACACTTTCGTGCTGAGCACTCTGTCTCAATGTGCCGACTGTCTCGTCAAGATGATGGTCATCATCAGCGTGGGGTGAGTATTGTCTATTGCTAGTGAATTCCACCCCAGTATCGGACAGCTGAACCCATGCTGACTGACAGGATGTATACCTCCAAATACACGAGTGTCTTGACATTAGCCCTCGTGTACGCAAGTGTCCAGGCTGGTCGGAGATACCTGGCAGCCCGCAAGACAGTGGCTCAGGCCGAGGCACACACCACAGCCGAGATCCTCGATCTCTTCACCTCCTCCGTCTCGGGAGTCTCGACCATCAGGCCGTTTGGCGCGGTGAACCGGTTCGTGGAGGAGATGCACGACCGCATTGACGCTCTGTCAACGGCCAGACGGCACTTTTGGATGTTCAACCGCTGGATTGCCCTCCAGATGTCGCTGCTGGCCATTCTCTTTAGTGTCGGGATGGGTGCAATCGGGCTGCTGATCTCCATCGAGTCATCGGTGTTAGGGTTTGCGCTCGCCTTCTCCAGTGCCTTCTCCGGCACGCTGTTCACAGCTGCCAACGGCTTCGGCCAGCTGGAGACCTTTATGGGCGGAGCGAGCGGCGTCGTCGCCTACTCCCAGCTCGAGACAGAAGACCAAGGCGGCCTGGACGCCCCCCCGAACTGGCCATCGAAAGGTGAGCTGCAGGCCAGGGGGTTGACCGTGTCGTATTCCCCCGATCTAGACCCGGCGCTGAAAGATATCTCCTTTGCCATCGGCGCTGGGCAGCGAGTCGGCATCGTCGGCCGTACAGGCGCAGGCAAGTCGTCGCTCACTCTTGCCCTGCTCCGCCTCGTCGAGCCCCAGGCCGGGTCGATTCACATCGACGGCATCGACATCTCCACGATCAAGCTGCACGCGCTCCGATCCAGGATCGCCTTCGTCCCGCAGGATCCTGTCCTGTTCTCAGGCACCGTCCGGTCGAATCTCGACTATTTTCATCGGCTGTCGGATGACACGCTCGAGGAGGCCCTGCGGCGTGTCGGGCTGCTAGTCGATAAAGACAAGATTAATGAAAAGTCTGGTCTGTACACGCTGGACTCTCCGATCAGCACCGGCGGCACAAATATGTCCCAGGGACAACGGCAGCTGCTTTGTCTAGCACGTATTCTCATCCACGAGCCGAAGATTGTCATTCTCGACGAGGCGACCTCCGCAGTGGATAACAAGACGGATTCCTTAATTCAAGACACGCTCTGGATGGAGCAGGAGATCGGTAGGACGTTGATCGTTGTCGCTCATCGCTTGAGAACCGTGGTCTCGTTTGACCAGCTCATCGTCCTCGCAGAGGGAAAGATCGTCGAGATGGGAAGGCCGGCAGACCTGTGGAAGAGGAGAGGCTCGTTCTATGAGCTGGTGCAGAACAGTGGAGACAGAGACTTCCTAAGCCAGACCCTCTCGCATCATGATGGTTCGATTTGATATTACTGATTATTATGCATCTATTCAACTAGTCAAGCCGTCGAATACCCCGTAGAGCCTCTCCCTTCCAGCCGCGCATCGAGATCCGGATTCTCCTTGACTGTGTTGTTCATTTCCTCAGTGACGGGGAAGTTCGGGATCTTGTCGAATACCGCCAGGATTGTTTCTGGTTTGAGCGTCGCTCTTCCCTGGGAAGATATCGGGATGTGGTGTTTTGCAGCATATAAGAACAGTTTCTCCGGGTAATCGTGCATTTGCTTGCCAGCAATAGTTTCCAACAAACCGTCGGTGATTTTGAGATTCGTGAATTCGAGTAAAACATCTGATGCCTCCTCGACGTGTTCGATCTCCCTTTGCCAGAAACCCTCCCAAACTGCCTGCAGATCAAGAGGGCGACGTTGCCCTAAGAGTAGACGGAATTCCCTCAAACGCGGACGGTCAGCCGCCTCTATAAGTAGACCCTCAGTAATGGGCACTTTAGATCCGAGTCGAGTGAGAAGCATCTCCAAGACTCCATAACTGGACGGGGAGGCGAGCGCACGTTCGACTATTGCCTCTGTAATCTCGACGTTGTTATTCTTCATGGTAATCAACATACGCATAGAATCGATATCACTCGCAGCTGCCATCAATGCCTTCTCAGTTAAAGGGAGCATCGGGTTGCGGTCAAGCAGGATCTGCACAGCCTTGCTGTTTCCAGCGAGTGTTTCCACAAGGCGTTCGTCAATCGAAACGAGGTTGCGGTCCAGGAGAAGTGAGACCACGCTCGCATTGGACCAGGCTTCGCTTCCTACCTTCACAAGAATGTTTTGGACAGGCGCCCTATTCTGGTTATAGTTCAGAAGGATCTCCAGAACAGGGGCATCGTAATGTGCCGCAGTGAAGACAGTATCGGGCACCATGGTATTCTGAAATCGGCTGAGAAGCATCGTTATCCTTCTTGGATCAACTCGCCAGTTTCTTGCCGCGTGCACCAGGATCTCTTCAGTGACCGGGAAATCTGGTCCCAGAATGCCCAGGATATACTCCAGCATTGTCCATCTGATGTTTTTCGCTGCAGCACACGAGATGCTTTCAGTGACCGTAATGCTGGAATCACTGTTGGCCATCAACAGTTGCATTGTTTCCAGGTCAGCCCGCCCAGCGGCACTGATGAGCACTGATTCTGAAACAACAAATCCTGCCTGCTGTCGATTCAAAAGCTCTTTGAGAATACTCAATCCACTGAGGGGGTTGGAGACTGCTGCCAACATGATCTCTTCATCCATAAGGCGGTCCGGTCCACACCGATCAAGCAGGGCTTTCATTGTCTCAAGACCGAATTCCAAATTCCTAGCCGCATTGGAGAGGAGCTGATTGCTGATCGTGATTTGTTCTCCTCGAGTCTCTAGTAGTAGGCTTAATACGCGTACATCTCTATTAGTTCGTGCGGCTGCACTCAGCATTCCATCTGTTACAACAAGACCCTCTCCATAGACTTGGAGGAGGGCTTGCATCACTTCAAGGCTGGCGGATTTCGCAAAAACTTCCAAAAAAAACGGCTCTCTGCCGATGTCTTCTGCAAACCTCTCCACAAAGGATAACGTTGCAATATCAAGTTCACGACGTGAATATTTTGATAGGGTCGTAATCAAATCACTTGAAAATGCCAGCTCACAGTCTTGTCGCGTAAAAAGCATCTGTAAGGTACCTTGGGGATGCCGCTGCCAGAAAGCTTCTTTCACAAGACTCTTGAAGATGTGTTTGAGACTTGTCTTTCTTTTGTTGAGAAGTATTTCCATCAATATCTCACCACATTCGACATTCCCTGCTGCCTTGAGAAGGATATCATCGGCAATATCATGATCATTATCACATGATTCGATACTGAGAAAACCTTTCACCCAAAGCTTTTCAATAATGGCTTCAAGCTTTGCTCTTCCTTCCCGATGACTTTGAATTTCTTGAATGATGGCGAGTGTGTCTCTCCTTGACAAACTCACCGGGATGTCGAGGAGAATTTCCAGAATTGAGAGATGACCGTTCTTTGCGGCAGAAATCGTTGCATTTTCAAAAGCCTCATAGAAATCAACATAGAAATAGTGCATAGGGTCAGCGCCACTCCGCAATAGGCTTTGGACCATCCATATGAGGCCCATTTGAGATGCTCGGTGGATAGGTGTCACACACTCCTGTGCAGCCATATACCACACATTGCGGTTCTCACCTCCATCCCGAAGTCGTATCCAGTTCAAATAGCATTTTTGATTGAAAAAAAGATGATTAATCCCTTCTTGTAGGTCAGGAGGTGGGAGGTTAGTGTAGTAGCCAAGTTCTTTCATATGTGCATCCCAAAAGGTGGCTGCGTAGACCAATAGTGGCTTCTTCCGGCTGTCGGACTCGGTAAGGTTGTGGTCGCTTTGGGCATGCAGTTCGGAAAGCAAACGGTCCAAGATGGCCCGGTGTGCGAGTTTCTTTGAAATATGGCACCAGCCAGTTTTGTTCAAAGCGGCCTCTGAGATCAAGAACTCCTTGACAGAAAAATGCGCTAGGCGGATGATATTGTCTGTGTCGATCGTGACCAAGGCCGTTGTACAGATCTGAATGATGCTTTCGGCGAGTGGAAGGGAGGAAACGGCTAAGAGGATTTTTGCTGTCGTGGGCCGCAGGGAGAAACTCAGCCAAGTCAAGATACTCTGTGCTCTTGACCGGTATTTGGTGTCGATTTTGTTGAAGATTTCTCGATAAGAGTCCTCCAAAGATGTGGGAATGGACTCCAGAGCTTGATATATGTCCTCTGGTATGTGGCAGCCTTCCAGTCTCTTGATTTGAAGATCAGCCCATCGAAATTGTCGCTCTGGAATGCCTAGAAGCCTTTCCTCGATCTTGGTGTGAATAGAGGCATCGATTGCCTCCCATTTGCTCAGACTTCCACATTTGAGTTCGGCGCGAACAAAAGTCTCAACATCTCGTTCAAGACCATCTTCCAGATTGAGCGACTTATGTTTCTCCAGGCTTTGCCGAATATCCGGTTCAGGCCTGCTCGTGGCGAGAAGGTGAAGCTTGTCAGAGTGCTGTTCCACCAAGGTTTTCAAAAAGGACAACAACAACTGTCTCTCTTTTCGCCCAGGCTCAGAGGGACACTCATCCAAAGCGTCAAACACAATATATACCTTGCCTGGAAGATGGCCGACGATGCCATCCAAGATTTTTATCAGCTGACTGTACTCTGGCTCTCTGTTTGCACGATGACCTTCCCAGATATTTTTAATGGAATGTGGGAGTGGATTGGGACAAAGCTGCCGTATGAGACATCTGACCATGTTTTCGACGCTTCGAGTCTCCTCGTAACTGAATTGAAAGTACCAATAGGCAAAGACATCGGATGGGTTGTCTTGGCAATGCTGATCGACATCGCGAATGACGGTAGAGCTGCTCAAAGTGAGTATATATAATCACTGTTTTATTTCTGTTTCTACCCACCAAAGAAAGGATTTACCGCAGCCAACTTTACCCTCCTGTCAGCTTTTATATTTGGCCATTAACATGAGGAGAGCTTACCGGCGCCATGCAACCAAAGAATGCTTCCAGAAGTAGTCTTCCAGCCGATATATTCTTCTGTCTTGAGCAGCCAGCCTCCCGTATCAGCCGAACGGTGTTTCTGCGCATAGTTCTGGATTGTGGAATAAGGTATCGTTGACAGCCAATCCAGAATATGGAGATCTTCTTCGTCTGCAGGATTCAATTACTCTCTTATTCGAGCGATGGTGTTCTCCATATACTCACTCCGTGTGCGCGAGTTGATTTCCTGCATCTTTGCTACCATCCCGTCAATGGCATTCAGGGTTTCGTCGGCTTTTTGTAGTAGGCCTGCAATGGATTTAGCTAGATTTGATATCGCTGATGACCGAGCAATTTACCTTCATCCTGACTAAGGGTTTTCCATCTATCAACCGTCTCGATTTTGTGTTTGACAACCGCCTTGAGGTCCTGTAATGGCGTCTCAACCAGCGCCATGATACTGTTTCCTATTCGTGCTGTATCACAAATCAGATTGTGCCTCATGATTTTGGCTTCAAGTTGATCAACTTACCGCCCCTTGTCTCCTTGGAGGCTTTATGTACCTCGGCCGTGTATCGCAGGATGGCAACATAGACATCGATCAGAGCATCCTCCAGTCCCTCCTTGCTCTGTGTAGCCTCCGACCGATAGTTGCGATCGACAATCGCCTGGTAGGCCAGCGTCTCGGCCAGAAACTCGGATGCTTCCATTATTGAATCCCGGCGTTTGATGTTGTTTTTGACCAGCTAGTTAACCTCTTGTCAGCCAAGATTTCACAATTCCGCAGAGTAAGGCAAATAATCACCGTAAGTCCAAAGGAAACCACTGCCCACGCAGCAGACGCTACATAGGTTACCATGACTTGTTCATGCCTTTGTCTTGAGAGGGGATTCCCATACCATGGCCGGTCGGGTCCGACGCGGCGATGCCCCCGAGCAGATCTGAAGCCTGTAGGGTGAAGACCAGGATTTTCTTTGCCGAACCACGCATGTCAATGCTTCCTCCATCTCTCTTGCGAACACTGAGATCGCCTTTCTTGTAGGCTTCGTATTTCGCCTTGATTTCGTTGCCGATCCCCGCCAGGACGTCCTGGATCGGCTGGGCCTGCTCGACCTGCAGCCATTTCTTCGTCTCTTCGTCCAGTCGCTTCTCTGCCACCTCCCAAAGGTCCCGCTTCCCAGACTCGTGCTCTGGCTCAGAGCTCTTATTATTCGTGGCCTGAGATGCTGGCCGACTGTGAGCGACGTCTGCTTCTACCTGCGGTTGTCTGCGCGGGGAGGCAGGAGCGACCGGCAGCGCCGCCCTGATTGGGTTTAGCGACATTGGGCCGGGGTTGGGACGTGGATGGGGTTCTGGGTCATTATCCACAGTCTTTCCCCCGTTGAAACACTTGAAACAGTCCAGCATTGGAACCGAGTAGATAGATCGATACCTTATACAATGTTGTTCGGTGTTTCTAGAGAGTTGGCGGTGGAAGAGAGGAGTTTCTACGAAGAGAAGGGGATTCTTCGAGGCGCAGCTGTCAGCTGGCCACCACACGAGACCAGGCGCGAACTACGAAGAAGGTTTTGCTCTGTATTGGTGGACACTTGAGATCCCTGTCAATCAGTTCACTACAGCATGTAGTGGATTTCCTGGTCGCTGGATGGTGTGTTTGCTGCTTATCTGCTCTGGACTGGACTATGAAGGGCCGCAGTCAGGCAGACAAACGCTGCCTGAGGAACCAAGCAAACAAACAGTGCAAACACCAGCCACGTGAGTGTTGTGAGACCGAACGTAAAAGGAAGGTGGTGGGAAGAGGCAAAATACAAGGCAGAAGGTCGACGTTCCTCTTGTTCCTCGCGCTTTCCTCCTATTCCACAGCAAGTCCACGTTGCAGTCCTAGCTCTCCATCAAGATCACAGAGGGCTCCCCCTGTTCCTGGACCGTGGTTAACGGGAAGTCTGACTGAGGCTCTCTGCGGTCTTCTCGCACACCAGGCAGTCAGTCGTCTTATTGTCTTGAGCAGGTCGACTTTTCGTCCACCCGAGGCTTCCTGCGTCCCCTATCCACAGGATTCCCCTATGCAAGCCTACCACATTCAATATGACATATAGCGGTGCCCCGCCCGTTCTTCAGCGAGCACTGAACTCAAGATCACATAGGTACGTGCTGTCCAGAGACAAATAGAGAAGACCAGTCATCTAAGCTTGGATGCTGCGCTCTCTATCATAGACTTCCATTCAGATCTAGCGGAAGGAAATGGACACCAACTAATTCGATCAATGGCAGGGCAAAATCTAGGACATGGTAGAACCAACTGTCGGATGATCTACCATTTCCGAGCATATAAACGCCGGGGATAGGCCAGGAGAAGCCTGAATCGTTAGGGTTCCCTTCGACCCGAGATCAAAACCGATGTATCGACGAAACCAGAGCTACGACGGAGATCAGCAGCGTTGGCAATGCTTCTACAATCAAGGACTTTCTGCCTTCAGCTCCCTGGGTAGGTTTGAACTGGAGACAATGGGAAAGTCGATAGCGTTGGAATCTCTCGGGGCTCCTTCTCAGCAGAGGCTAGCTCGTTCGCTCATTCATCCTGACAATATAACCAGGTTCTATGGGTCGCCAGGCTGAGTCAGGATTGAAGCACGCAGATGATTGGCTACAACGAAGCCTGCTGTTGATTGGCCACATTGAGTTCATAGATCGACTGGGAACATTTGATCAAGGTAATTTCTGGAAATCTGCTCTTTACACTCTACCTTTTGGTCAATTTCCTTCTCAAGCTTCCTTCTATTTGACCTGCAGAAACCCCTACTTATTCCTCCTCTACTCGCCACTGTAAGTCCTTGCCCAACTTCTGATACAGAAGCTCGATAGACTAACCCCTAAGATGGATGTGGCCGAGGCATCCACCAGTGGAAATGAGAAATCTTCCCTTGACATCGGCAGGGGACTGCAACGACATTCGACATCAACCGATTTGACGCCCGATGACAACCTTATCACTTATCCGGAGGGTGGTCGCGATGCATGGCTGGTCGTCCTGGGTGCATTCTGCGGCTTAACAGCATCGCTAGGCTTGTATAATACCGTGGGGGTTTTTGAAGCTGTTGTCTCAAAGGATATCCTACCAGATGTGTCCTCGTCTACGACTGGCTGGATCTTCTCCGTCTACGCCTTTATCAACTGGATCTGTGGGATGCAAATCGGTCCTACCTTTGACGCGATGGGCCCGCGGGCGCTTATTCTTGCCGGCACAGTCTGCACGCTCATCGGTATATTCTCATTTAGTATCTGTAAAGGTGAGAGCATCATGGAGTAAGAATTAAAAATCTCGCCTCTTTATACTGACAAGCCAATAGAATACTATCAATTCTTCCTCGCCTTTGCGATCATGACCGGTATCGGCTCCTCCCTCCTCCTCACACCATCCATGGCGTGCGTCGCCCACTGGTTCATGAAGCGCCGTGGTCTCGCCAGCGGTGTCGCATTCATAGGAAGCGGCTTCGGCGGGGTCATCTTCCCTCTGATGTTACAATCCCTGCTGCCGCAGCTCGGCTGGGGCTGGTCAATCCGCATCCTCGCCTTTGTGCTCCTTGTCCTCTGTGCCATGAGCGTGGCATTTTGCCGGAGCCGCGTGCCTCCACGAAAGGGATCCGCGACCACTTGGCGAGATACCTTACCCGACGCTACCATCTTCCTGGACGGAACCGGGGCGATGGCCCTTACAACCCTCGGCGTGCTGTTCACCGATCTGGCCTACTTCATCCCCATCACCTACATCCCGAGCTACTACATCGACCGACAGCATCTATTCCCGAGCGATGCGCTGACGGGATCGGCGGCGTTTGCCTACCAGCTTCTCGCCATCCTGAATGCGGCTTCCTGCGGCGGCCGGTACGTCGCCGGCGATCTGGCGGATCGCTTCGGCCGATACAATACGATGATTGTCTCGCTGTTCTTTTGCACGGTGTCGGTGCTATGTTTCTGGCTGCCGGACATCCTTGTCCCGGGCCTGGAGAACGAGGCTCTGCTCATCCTCTTTGTCCTTCTGTTTGGGTTCTGCAGTGGTTCGAATGTCAGTTTGACGCCGATCTGTTTGGGGCAACTGTGTGAGACGCAAGAGTATGGGCGGTATTACGCCAGCTGCTTTACCGTCGTGGCTTTGGGGGTGCTGGCCAGTCTTCCGATCGGCGGGAGCCTTCTCGGTGCAGTGGCGAGTACAGGGAGAGGACGGTATTGGGGGACGGCGCTTTTCGCCGGGCTGAGCTATGTGGTCGCATTCCTATGTTTTGTGTGGGTGCGGATCAAGATCAAGGGATGGGATTGGAGGATCAAGTGGTGAAAATACAGCAATACAATATATCGTTTGCATTTCGTCGCATGGTCAGAGTAAGCCTTGGATATATACCCCCCCCCCCCCATTACGGTGCCGCTTTCTCGCTTGTGCAAGTAAACTCAGACTGACGGTATCCCTTATTTTTCAAGCGTAGGCCTCCGCCAAGCCAGTCAAGCCCTCCACCCCGTTCGGATACTCCTTCTTGTCGAGATTGTACACGATGCTGTTCCTCCATCTTTGGAACTCCAGGGCGGTGATGTCCGGGTAACGGGCGGGTTCAGTACGGGAGACAAATCTGGGCAACGGCCCGACGGAGACATCGCGACCCGCCTTGGAGAGATAAGCCATGGACATGCGAGATGGAATGGTCATGGTGTTGGCATGCTTCATGGCGTCGGGCGTGGTGACCTGGTGGACTCCGCCGGTGATCTTGCCGTTGGTCCACCGCGTCAGAGTGTCGCCGACATTGACGATCATTTCGGAGAGCTGCGTCGGCGGCACCGGGATAAAGGAGTCGGGGTCCGGACTGGTGCGATCCTCGATCTCCAGCCCGCCCGTGCTATCCTGAAACAGCAGCGTGATGGGCCCGAAATCGGTGTGCGGTGCGATGCGGCTGGTACGCCCCGACTGCATCTCCTCGACGGTGATGGCAGGGTAATGCGTCAGTCGCAGATCGGTGGCACTGGGCACGCAGCGCGCGACTAGCGACCCGTCCTCAATGCCCCATGCCATCTCCAGGGCCTCCATCAGCCGCAGGCAGATCTCATCGCATTTGCGGTAGAATGCCTCCATAAAGGGCCGGAAGCCGGATAACTGGGGGTCCTCGGGCCACTGGTTGGGGAACTCGGTGTCATATTCGGGTCCTTGGTCGAAATGCTCCTGCATTGCGTGTCAATCAGTCAGTCTGCGACGAGGGCTAGAATTGGGTATCTCGGAAGAAGAAAAAAAAAAAAAAAGCATCACCTTCGAGTCCGTCATGCTCCGCACTTTCGCATCATGGTGAAGCTTTCCGACTTCCTCAACTCTCTAGGGAGTGTAGCCACGCATCGGCCGTGGTCCCGGGTCGTTCGGGATCTTGTTCTTTGCTTCCATGGGCAGGTCGAAGAATTTGTGGCTCTGGACAAGTCAACACCGCTCGAAGGGCGAGATGGGCTGATGTCTCTTACCCACAGAAACATTTCTTTCACTTCCTGTTCATTGAATGTATGACTGTGGAGCTTGGCAAACCCATCTTTCATAAAGCCGGCGAGTAAGGTATGAGCAAACTCTTCACGCTCTGCTTTGCTTCCCGAGGTGAATTGACGATAGTCCAAGCTTAGGATAGCCATGCTTATAGTAATTTGATAGGGATAGATTTAATAGTATAAAGACTGTCTAACCTAGGCTCAGGTGAGGAAGATGCAGGCTATCTTTGAGAAATCATAAAATAGTCCTGTTTAACCATATAGTATGGGTGAATTTATACTTGAATCAGGAAGGATGCATGTCCTGTATAATTTAGCATCCTAGCATTATTTCATAAGCAATTTTATGTCTCATACATCTTCACCCCCCGGTTTATCCCTCATTTCTGCTGATAGATTATTAGCCATATTGAGTACAATGGGCAAATGCTTGAAGAGTGATCTGGATGGTCTTACTCTTACCAAGTGCAGTATACTCAGGTTACACTTCCTGACTACCAGTTCAACCTTCAGTTTATCAATATTTCATGACATGACAGCAAAGATCAACAAGATCAACCTGCCCATCCAGTGCTAGTGATGTAGTACTGAGGGAGATCCTAGATGCATGTGATATGTCGTGTTGTCTAGGATGCTGTCTAGGATGACGCGAGATGAAGCTGACGAGGAGGCACGGTCATCTGCCACTAGGCAGAGCCTTTTGATATATACTAGACTATGTTTCTATGCAGAAATGAATTGCTGCTGCATGTAACACACCTTTAATATTCTTTACCCATGTATGTACTCTTCGCGAGGTGTGAGAGTGTAGGGGGGTTGGCTGGATATGACCATCACCTCAATATAGTCCAATTAAGGGGGGTGAAAGCTATTTCTGGGTTTCCCTCCTTTTTCTCATGTTGATTGACTGACAACCAAGTTTTTGTTCTTATCTAGTCGTGGGCTGGCTAATGATCATACAGGGGAACAGCTATGAACTCATTATAGCCAATCAAGACCAGCCAACAAGCTGCGAGTCAACAGGGGACCCTGGAAGGGAATTGGCAAGAAATGGTACTCAGCAAGGCAGAATGAAGCAGCGCAATGAGTGTGGAATCATGACAGTGTGTGTGTGGGCTAGATTTGCTCCCGGGAATATCTTCGCGCACTATAAAAAGTCATGGATGCAGCCGGAATAGAAGAAGCTCTATGAGAGTGTACTTGACATATCAAACACTGCTGCGCCTTGAGGGACTCCGGGTCTCGATTCTCCCACTTTTGAAAGCAGACCATTGCAATCCCTCACCATGTCGATGATTGAGGTCCAACTACCCAAGTCATACCTGCGCGAAGCCCGCGAGGCTCTCAGCGTCCACGAATGCATGCAGATCTACGACAAGTGGGCGGCAACGTACAACGACGAGGTGGGAGACGTAGCGCAGGACTATGTCGCTCCGAGCCTGGTGGCCCAGGCGGTTCTTCGCGTGGCAAACCGCTCGCCGGAAAGTGCTGCGATACTGGACGCCGGGTGCGGCACCGGTCTGGTGGGACAGGCGCTGGCGACGGCGGGCGCGACGGTGATCGACGGCTTCGATCTCTCTCCTGCCATGCTCGCCGTGGCCAGGGAGACCGGCGTCTATCGCAACCTGATCCGTGGGGATCTGACCTGCCGGATCGAGGTGGCGGATGGAGTGTATGACGCGGTGGTCTGCGTGGGCACCTTCACCCTCGGCCATGTCGGTTCCACGCCAGCTTTGCGCGAGTTCGCTCGCATCACCAGGACGAACGGCATCGTGGCTGCGACGATGCTGGAGGAGGTCTGGGTGCCTGGAGGCTTCCAGGCCGAGGTCGAGGCTCTGGTATCCGAAGGCCAGGTGGCCGTTGTCTTTCAGGAGCTGATCGACTACGTCAAGGGGCATGGCGACAAGGCGATGTTGGTGATTTTGAAGAAGACTTTGCGCGCCGAAGAGAAAGGCTTGCAATCTGATATGGAGGATAGGTATTGAGTACAAGCTTAGGAGCCACAGAAAGTGAATACTTTACATAAGATTGTCATATTAGAGGTTCTGATTCCAGAAGGCTTCGGATGCAAGCCATTCGTCCAAATCAAACCCATCATCTGCCGAGCCTTCCCACGGCCAGTCCGTGGGATTCGAGATTGTGATTTCTCCTGGTGAGACTGGCATCAAGGGCTGTATTCCGGCGCCCATCGGGGCCGCTGGCATCTCTGTGTCTGCATTGCCGTCATCCTTCTCAAACTCTGCCATGTACATTCCGATCGTGACGCCCATGGTCTTCTTGAAGACGCGGCACAGATAGCTCGGCGTCATCCCGGCCTCCTGCGCTAGATCCTTGATCCGGATCTTTGTCTCTGGGTCGGCCTTGCCGGTCCGTAGGAGGGCGATCACCCGGGCGACGAGAGCCTCTCTGTCTCCGACGAAACTCGCGCTGTCCGGTTGACATCGCTTGCACGGCCGGAATCCTGCGCTTCGTGCTTGGTCGGTCGTGTCGAAGAAGTCGACGTTGGCTCGTCGAGCAAGCCGTGCAGGGCAAGTCGGCCGGCAGTAGATCTTGGTCGATTTCACGCCGTAGATGAAGGACGAGTGCGAAGAAGGCGCACGCTGCGTAAGGGCGAGCCACCGAGCATGCGAGCCCTGAGCATCATGGGGATTGTCGAGGCGACTCAAAAGTTGTTGGGGCGGTGGTGGCATCCTGATATTGGAAAAGGAGGCAAGATATTGACGCAAGAGATAGAGGTAGAGCAGGTGTAATTCTGATAAGCCAGACTTGATGCATTGGTAGTTGACATTAAGTAGTTTAACAAATCCTATATGTATTCAGGGCCAATAGTATCATATTCCTATATAATTTACACACTACCCAGTATATCTGATGTTAGTCAGGCCAGATATGTCAAGTAAATAAAAGATTAGAGTATAACACTAACTATATTAGGCTTAACTAGTTAAGTAATAGTATAAATATATATAAATTATCCTAATTAGTAGCCTTAAAGTTATTTTTTTCTATAATATACCTCTCTAGTATTATCTTAACTTTATTATTATCTTTATTATCTTAATATCCTCTATACTAAGTATCTTAATAAACTTTTAATATTATAGGCCTATTAATATCTTTATAAAGTTATCTATAGGTATATAAGCTATTAAGATTTATTAAATCTATATTATCCTAGCCTAGGTCTCCTAGTAAAGCTAGTGCTATTAAATATTAATATATTAAAGCTTAATATATATAAATAGCACCTCTTTTATAAATAAGTTAATAGTCTATTTATTATTATATAAAATACTTAACTAATACTTTATATTAAATTTAATAAATATAAATAATTATTTTTACTAGAATAGCTTTTTTTCTATATATAAGATTATAGTTAATTTAGCCTTTATAATTAATATTATTATAATTTATTATTTTAATATCTTTTAATCTATAGGTCCTCTATATAATAAATAGATATATCCTTATATACTTTTATAGTTATTATTATTTATATATATTATATTACTTATATATATAAATACTAGATAATTTATAAGTATTTAGCTAATTAATAAATTATTTATAAGGCTCTCTATTAAGTATCTATAATAAATAGCTAGAAATCTTATTTTATATAGATATAGAATTACTTATTCTATAGCTTTAATATATTTAATTAATAGATTTAATAGAAATTCTTCTAATTTATTTATAATCTAGGCTAATTTTACTTTTATAATAATTATTATATAAATAAGTAATTATATTAATTTTTAATAATATTATATTTAACTTTATATTATAGTTTTTATATTCTTAATTAAATAATTAACTAATATTAGTATCTATAATAGTTTATAGTCTAGAAGCTTATACTTTATAATAATTATTATAATATAAATATCTTAATATAGTTAAAGCTTTTAGTTAATATAGTCTTTATAAATCTATATATTAAAGAACTATTTAAGTTTTATCTTATATATTTAATAGATACTATTTAATACTTTATTAAATTTATTTATATATACTTTATTCTCTTTTAAGTAGATAAGGATAAAATTATTAATATATATTAATAAGATAAGCTTATTATTTATAAAGAGGTAGAGGTCTTTAGATAGCTTTAGTTTTAATACTTTAAAAATTATAATTAAATTCTTTTATTATAACTTTAATAATCTTTATAGCCTATATAAGGCTTATATTAATAAGAGAGCTTTATTATCTTATATAAATCTAAAAGATATATCTATATAAATCACCTTATTTAATAGGCTATTAATAAATATATTAACTATATTATATTAGTATATCTCTAGATTAAATATAGTAATTAATATTATTAATATCTAGAATATTTATATTATAAGTATTATAGCTTATATTTCTTATATTAAGAAGAGCTATAAGTCTTCTTATATATATAATTATATTTTAAACTTTTTTAAATAATTATTTAAATTAAATTTATAAGTAAACACTTATTAAAGTAAAATAATTATAATATTATTTAATTATTTAATAATTTAAAATATTTTATATTTAGATAGACTATTATATTTAATTATTATAGCCTTAATAAACTAGTTTTTATATTAATACTTAAGTATCTTCTTTTAGTTATCTAGAAATAATAATATCTAGCTTTAATATAGCTATTTATTTATACTTAAAGCCTTTAGGTCCTTAAGCTTTATTATAATTAATATATTAAATATATTATATATATTATCTAGTCTCTATATAGTATATATATTACTATCTTTATATTATTTTAGAGCTTTATAAGTTTATTATCTTTAAATTATATTTTTAATATTTAGACTTAGTCTTATTTTATAATACTTTATATTATCTAGTTCTTAATCTTTATCTATAAATAAGATTCTTAATATTTATATTATTATTAGAGCACCCTATAATTACTTATTTAACTACTTATCTAATTATTTTATTATTATTTATAATTATTATAATAAACTTAATATTACTACTATTATATATATAGTTTATAATATTAATATTTACTTTAATATTATTATCTATAAGATAACTATTAATTCTTAGTAGTCTATTTACTTATTATTATTATTCTTAAAGAGTTTATAATAGCCTTTTTTAGAGGATTTTATATTAAGTATATTTTATTTAATTATTTATATAATAGTATTCTACTTTTAGGTGTCTAATCTTTAATATATATTCTTATTATTAATACTTATAAGATTATTAACTTTAATTAGCTTATTTAATAATAATATTAATAAATCTATAGATAGTTTAAATAATGTCATCTATAAGGTAACCTTAATAAATAGGTTATTTAGATTATATTTAATTATCTTATTAATTATAAAGTTATAATATTTAAATATAATCTATTTTTTTAGGTTTTATATATAAATAATATTTAATACTAATTATTTAATAAAGTATCTAACTAGTGCTTATAATTCTATCTTTTCTTTTTATAGTATATCTTATTATTATATATATATATAAGAGCTATATAAGTAAATATTAGTTATATTTCTTTTAACTATAATAATTATACTATTAATAAGCTTATTTAACTATTATCTTAAGATTTTCTACCTTTAATCCTATATAAGTATATTATTAAGTATTTATACTCTATAATTAATTATTTTTAGCTATAAATCTTATAATATATTATCTTTAATATATAGGCTTCTTAATATCTTTAATATCACTCCTTTAGTATATTTAATATAGCTATTCTATTCTACTATTCTTAAAATTATCTATTTTAATATTATACTAGTAATAAGGTAATTAATATCTTTAGTTAAGGCCTTTTTATTATCTATATAATATATCTTTATCTTAATATTAAACTAATATTTAACCTAATCTTTAAGGTTTATTATTATTTTATAAATATTACTCTTATATTTAATATACTTAGCTTAATAGAATTTTATTATATTATTAATAAAGTATATAATTTAATTTAGGCTATTATAGCTTATAATTATCTAAATAAGATTAAAGTATATATATTTAAATAGTCTATTTATATATATTATTAGTTATCTTAATATTTT